AATTTTTCCAGTTTTAGCGAGTCTACATGTGAAGATATGTGCTACGGCACAGCGGATAATCGTGCTCTCTTATGTTAAGAAGATTTTCGCAGTGAAAAAACTCCAGCAATGGCAGAACGATGCAGATATGGCGGTGTGATACTTCTGATGATTGGAATTTAGTACTGAATAAGCCAGGAAAGTGGACGTATAGTATTGAGCTAAGTTCGAGTTATGAGAAACATCAGTATATAATAACCTAAGGTGTGTGATTTAGCATAAATGATGCTTTTAGAAATTGTAGGTAACGATTTAGGATTGTGCAGTATAACGTGTGAAGTCGGAAGTGTAACGTGTGAAAGGAAGAATGTCGAATGATTGTAGTACAGTGGCATGCGCATCGTTCGAACAATGAAATTAAGCGTGGTTTAGGATGCTGTCCTCTAACTTTAGGCTAATGCCAGAAAACAACTTTTTATTTAATTTTTGGAAAACTATACCAATATTCTAATGAATCGTACGGTGTATGAGATGCAGCGGTAATATCGTCCGTTCTGAAAAATCATAATTCTGAGTACACAATAACTGTCTTTGAATAAGTGTGTAATATTAATAATGTAGATGCTTAAATCTCAGGGAAACTTATTGTTTAAATACTAGAATTGTTTTCTAAAAGTTGATTACGGTAACTACTCTTAAAGTCTTAAATGTTCCCACCCGCCCTAACCCGTTTCAGAAATCACTTCAGTCACTCTGAAATGCGCAGATTTGAGAATTTTAAGTTCAAGTCTTGTTGAATTTCGTCGGTATTGTTTGTTTGAGCACTTTTGTGCAGTCTAACTTGGAATATGCGGATAACCTTTGAAGTAGCAATGTTTTTTGTTTAATGCAGCATTATTCTTGACAGCGGATTTAGTATCTTTAATTTTTGTAATTGTTAGTAGTACGGTATCAGTCAAGGCATCTTCTATTGCATAAAGTCAGAGTATTGTTAAATCTTGTTTGTAGCATTTAACCTTTTAATCCTTTAATTTTCACTAGTTGATCGTAGTACGGTGGCTTCAATCGACTAATACTTTCGTGCTGTTGCCAGTTAGAGAAATACGAAATAACATCAAATGATCAATTTACAGCACTTAATGCTTAGAACAAGAACTTTTTGTCGTTTATACGTTTGGATCTCATGGACGTTCCTGCTCTCCGCCTTTCCACTTCCTTGGACTTCCGGATTGCCAGTTACGCTCCAGGATCCGATGACCTTTTTAACTTACTAACAACTTACCGGACCGTGCGATGTTACTTACTTTTGATGGCACCGGATAGTCGGGATGGAATTTGGCGATAGTGCTAGATATTGCACGCACTATGCGGATGGAGCAGATGTTACTTTTTCCTATGTCCCTATGTTCCTTCCTCTTCGTTCCACGTCGTTCCGCAGAGCTTCACTTTTGTTCCACTACGATCCAGAGAAATCTCGTTTGCGGGGGTGACGTGTACTGGCGTCCCTTAGTACACATCGGTACTACTTTACTACTTCTACCCCTACAACTAAGGCTTAGGCTTTACTACATCTTCTACGCGAGTCCTGACCCCGAGTCTCTACTTCGACTTCTCAGAAATCCCCAGCAGAGAACTTTGACCGCGACTTGCCACTTCGACGTGACCGCGCTTCGATGACGTAGCTCAACCTATTGTTCTAGTGTATTAGTTGACCTCATGTTCTCATTTGTCCACGTGTAGTGATGCAGCGGTGTGATTAGTCCACGTGTCCTTAGATGTCTCTTATTGGTTAGATTCTAAATCCCTATTGTTCTCAGACCCGTACCTGCGCGTACGAAGAGCCAGCACTTGCGGTGCCCAGGGCTATATAAGGCGCTCGTCGCCCACACAAATGTCAAGAGTTGTAATCCCAACAAAAGTAGAGTCTTGTTACTCGATCTGATTAACTTCAGGCTTTTGCTCTGGTCTTCTCTTTCCAAGTGAGGCTGTTCAAACTGACCTCTGGGTGACCTTTCACCTATTGTCAGGGGTCATTCCTCTACTTCGTCGACGTGCATTATCATCTTCGGATATTCTCGTGACGTAACAGGCTACCCACTTGATCCCACTTGCATCCTGTGACCTTTCGGTCTCTTCGATCTTCATGCCCTGTAGCGCCAGGTTGATGGATATCTCTTATCGCTTCTGCTAACATCTAGCGTCGGACAGGTAACGTATACTTCTCCGTCGTGTGTGTATTTCTCGTGTTTGCAGGACCCGGACCTCTTCTTCTTTTCCTTTCCTACATCATACCAGATCAACGTAATCTTCTACCATCTTCCGTAACAGTTTGAGACAGAGTCGCTCTATCCGACTGGACGTGGTCGGACTAGTGGATAACGCACCCACTTCACTGTGTCAGGTCTTTAATTCACGTCAAAGTGACGTGGGGACCGCTCAGAAATGGGCTACTCGTACGTGTCGTAGTATATATGGCTCAACGCGGCCTCTTTGTTCACCGAAAACGGCAGTCTAGCCGGTCTTTAGTTATTTTAAAATTAGTACAGTTATAATGATTTATGCACTGCTCTGATCAGTCAGAATATGGAATATTTGTTAATCCGTTCCTAGCTAGTCAGATGGCCAGTGTTTGTTTGTTAGAGCAAAAATATGTAGATTCTGTAATTTTTACCGGGTTGTTGAACAAAATGGTCCTCTTGTTCGGGATTCATATTTTTCTTTTCAGTGGGATGTTTTATTTCATAAATACGGGTACATTACATATCGAAAATAGTTAGTCACGGATTCACAGCAACAGAATCTCATTTAGTGCTGCCGCTCCTTCCATTGTTCCAAGTACACAAGTGGCGTTGCCTCGCTGAATTTCCAACGATATTCGCTGGCGCAGGAACTCATGGGAACGAGGTTCACCTGTTTGGAGCTGGAGTCGTTTCCCAATTTCTTTAATTAGAGCGATGGCCGACTTTCCCCACGGTTCGAGAGTTTCTTTTCAGTCGTCATTGAAACATCGTAATCTGATTTACAGCTAGCCGGCTGTTAAATTCAGCATGTTTGCAAATAAAATAATTACAAATTTATTGTAGTGTACAGAGGTCAGAGTACACTGTACTATGAAGCCAAAAGCTGGCAGACTGCAGGTTTTGCTGCATCCTTCCGTTCCTTCGTCAACTTTTGTGCACATTTCTTTTCATGACGATTTATACTGCCGTCTCAAAATGAAATAATTTATTCTGAACAGTGGGAAGTCTTTGTCACTGTCTCTTTTGAAGTTGCTCTCTGCATTTGAGGATTAGACTAAAGAATTTTGTAAGCGCCACGAGAAGTCTTTTTTTTTGAGTAAAGTCAGTAACATATTTTGGGAAATGGGTCCTGTAGCAGAGGTAAGATTGGATGATCACGAACTGCTTGCGAACAGTTTTAGTGTGCGTTTGCGTTTTTGGCCAGTCGCGCTTGGATCTGGACGAGTTGAAGCAGTTCTGTGAGAAGGCCTCGCGACCTTTTGTGAAAAACCTTCTCACTGCGGAAATCAGCAAGCTGGAGAGCGACATTAATCGTCGTGCGGGGCAGGAACCGAAAAAAGGGGCCTCTGCCGCGCCAGCGACCAGTCGGACCAAAATCAGCTTGTACGGTGCGTCAAAATGAATCTGTGCCGCTGTCGCTATTCCGCTATTAGCAGTATTACAGAAATTGTGAAGCTTTAGTTATCAAAGGCCAACCATAATGCAGATTTTGAAATCTCGAAAATTGATCGTCTGTGGCTTTCCCTGCGTTAAGCGTGGTCCCTTTGCAGTTACTAAATTTATACGAATTATGGGCTGTTATTGTTATTTATGTTTGCTTAGGATGGGATCAGTCCGACAAGTTCTTTACTTTGTACATCAGCGATAAACTGAAGGATATTAAAGGGATTCAGGCCGAAAATGTCACATAATCTTTCTCAGAACGGTTGGTACAACCGCTGCTATTCATGACATTGTTCATTTTACGCGCTTCCAGAAACTTTTTTTCCTGAACAGGAAACTCAGTTTTTTTCACTCTACTTAAAACTTGCTGGTTTTAGGGGCGCTCACATGGAAGTGAAGGGTCTGAACGGGCGCGATTATTATTTCGATTTAGCCAACTTGGCCTACGCAATTATCCCCGAGGAATCTACTCACAAACTGCGCGGCGATTCTGTGGTGCTGAATCTGCGGAAAAAAGAATCCAAAACATGGGAATGCGTTACCGCGGCGGAGAAGCAGCGGAAAGACAAAAAGGCGTACGATAGAGATATTAATCGCCAAAATGTTCCGGTGTTTATATGCTGACAGTCCTTTACTCGGGTTGTTCGTTGTTGATTGTAGACAAGAAAAATTTGACATGGATTCGGATGCCAAATCGGATCCTTCCGCTAGCATGATGACTATGATGAAAAAGGTGTGTTACGTGTAATTTTGTATCAAAATGTGTCCGCATGAGTGATATAAATTATAACCCATTGCGATTGGGTTTAACGTGTTAATGGTACTGAAAAGCGGTGCTCGTTAAATACGAAAATGCTTACATTGCCCTGATTTTCTTAATTCTGTCATTTCATTTACTTTGTATAATAACCTTCAAAATATTGATAAATCATCAGAGTCTACACTGAGGTCTCAAAAAAAACTCTGCAAAATATGTGATATATTGTCTGATCTTGCCGATTTTTGTTTGCAGATGTACGAGGAAGGAGATGATGATATGAAACGGACCATCAGCAAAGCATGGTTTGAAGCGTCTCAAAAGCAGAATAAGGGAATGAAACCGGAGTCGTTCGGAATGTGATGGCGATTTTTCCTTCTTTTCATGATGATTTGGTTTCGGAAATTTAATTTGTCCGTATTCGCCTTTTGTTCCAGTTTAGACTACTTGTGTCGAACATCTCTTCTGCTCGATGTTTATGAATGAACTTTCTATATGTCTGGCTGCGGTTTCAGATTTTCTAAAATTTTGGGAGACGAAGATTTATTAAAACCGCATACTCGTACTAACAATACGATTGCAAAGGACTACACGGGGCTTTCCTACACTTTTGCCAAACAGTACTTTATAAATTCGATGCGCACGGCATCTTCGAATAATAATTCAGCGAGCATCGAAAAACAGAAAACTAAAAAGCGGAGTATTTCTATAGAATTTGACAGATAATCCCATGAGCAATGGAAACGGGAATCAGATCAACAGAACAGTTGATAATCAACAGGAAAAACAATTGATTAACCCAATGCATGACTGAACCGCAACAATTTCTATTCAGTTACATGTATTGTCACTACTATAATCGTTCCTAATTTCCTACTTACGATTAGTGCCGTTGAGCGTTATGTATCATAAAAAACAGTGAACCATCACCGTGTAGTTGTACGTACTCATTTCTATCTACAAGAGAAAAAAAATAAACTGCTAGACGGCGCATTTCCATAAGGTATTGTACTTCCGCCGTTATTTTCCAGCAGGAATGGTTTCCCAGTCCATATCCTTGCAGTACTTGAAGAAATCTGCATTTTCTTTCTGCATAGCTCGACACAACTTATCCACAGCTTTATAATCATCAGTATCGTCACCCGGGATGACACTCATCCGTTTGCGTGTCTCTTCCAGAATTGGCAGTCCTTCCTTAAATCGTCGCTTCGCTAAGTAATATGTGAACATGTCCATCATTGCAGTCATGACGATTTCGTCGTATTTTCCCAGATGAATTCTGAAAACGAGAGCACAGATTTACAAAACCATTTGTTGATGAACTTGCTTTCAGAATAAATAGATTTCGGACAGTAATATAACAATATATTCGATATAAGTCTACAACAAACATAAAACCGCAGGTGAAAACCTTAAAACCATGCAAAGAAAGCAACACTGAACTTACTCTGCTGATAAGATCATTCTTTTGAGGTGACGAATGCTGTTTGTGTGTTGCTCAATCGACCGGAAATGGTTAGCAAGTTCGCGGTTGGCCATTCCCAGAACCAGATTCGTGCAATGCAACAGACCTTTGGCTTTCTCATACAGTTGATGTAACTGTTTGAACTCGTCCGCAGTCAAACCACGCGATCCAAACGGCTTATCGTTCAGAGTCGTAAACAGCTGCGTTAACTCCAGCATGATCACATCCGCTTCCAGCATCCTATCAGTGGAGACCATTTGCTTGCAGTGATTACATTTGGAAGCTTTTCGAGTATCCAGAGGGATGGCCATTTCGCATTTGGAGTTTACACAGCGCACCGCATTGCGCCGTTCAATCTGCAAAATGAGCAACTATGGACCCACCCACAAAGTAAGCTACAAAACTTAGAAGACCTACCACCAAAGGATCGGTACAACCAGGGCAGGAGCAATTCAAGTAACGCATTCGTAGCTGTTTTTCCCGTAAATCTGGCGTGCTGAAGCGGTCAATCGACCAACCAACGGTAATCTGCGAGCGAATGCCATCTACTTTAAGGATTTTGTAAGAAATTAATGGGACATAGAAATCAACGAAATGCACAAAAAAACGAAATGCAACGAAAAGCATGCAGCTAATCTTAATCTGTGCGTTGTATTTTAAATTAACTAAAACGACAAAAGTATAAATTAAACAACAGCGTTCAGATTGAGCAGCAGAACCAAAAACATCTACGTACCGGCTCCCCATTCGGAATATTTTTTAGCGCTTTAACTGCGATCTGCGTCCCACCCGAGCTCACAGCGGCCGCATTGGGCATGCAACTGCGCTGGTAAGTAGCCAGGCTCAGCGGCAATGCCAGTCCGATCTCGCACGGCCGCTTACTGTCCGTGTCATCAAAGTGTTCACAGACTTTGGCGTGCAGCGGGCCCAGTGCCACCATCATTCGTCCGTAGATACGACAGAAGGTCGGTAAGTCCGCGCAAACCGCGCCGTTATCATCCGCCACTTTGATGAACGGCAGCCAGTTATTATACGTCTTCTGCAGGCGCTCATCCTTGCTGACCAGCGCATCGTTGATCTTGATGTTAAAGAATAAATGAGGAGGAACGCGTGTAGTCCCGTTTGACGGGTTTGCATTCTTCTGCACATGAAGCTAGGAAGGGAATTACAGATACTATTAACACAAGCAGCAGCGGAGAAGAACACGGAAAGCGGCAGTTGCAGAGTACTTAAGCCGAATAAGCTGTTCGACATTTTGGATTCCCAAAAAAACGTAATTTATCGAAAAAAACGTAATTTATCGAAAAAACCTATTGATTACAAATTTAATTACTTCTAATTCGTACCGATATTGCTAAAAGTAATTAATAAATAAATTACGTAAATTATTATCACTAAATTAGTTAAGACTCATTTGTTCAAGAAACTTCATTCGGTCGCTAAAATTAATGATGAGAAAGACAATTAGGTATTAGTAAAACTTGATATAAATTACATATCAAGCTACAAACCAATTATCACCACTCAATATACCTACACTCGTTCATACCTTGAGCTTAGCCAGTACTTTCAAAAACAGCGTGAGAATTTTGGTATCCACGAGAGCGCGCCTATCGAAAAACTCGCGCATCTTGAAAAGCGAACACAGAACTTTGTGCTCCGTCCAGTCTGCAACCTGCGAACAGTCCCCACAATGCAAGCATATCACGTACACAACCAACATGACGAAAGAAATAAACAGCATCAGTTCTAACACACCTGACACGTTTTTCCGCAATAAGACAAATAAGAGCAACTGCTGCACTTCTTCAGCTCCGGCACCGTCTTTTTGGACACCAAACAGCGGCTGCAGTAATCCGCCAGCCGATAGTCGTCCACCGCGAAAGCCCACGGCTCAACGCGGCTAATAACGGCGCCTTCGCGGTGCTGGATGGACTCGGCGTCCTCCTGCATCCGCTTCTTGCCGCGGTACTCTTCGTCCAGAATCCGCTCGTGCTTCTGCTTCTCCTTGTCCGTGTAGGCCTGGTACATCTGGAACATGCGGGCCAGCTGTTCCGCCGTGTACACGGGCTCCCCGTCCTCATTGACTCCTGCCATTGCAGACATTTAACTTATGCTCGTTTTTAGCTGGTTTGTTGCATGTAGAGTATGCATCGACACCACAGCGAGTCTTGCTGCGAACTTACTCAGCCAGTTCATCTTGATTGTGAATTCCTAGTGGTCGAGAACTCGGGAAACTGAACAATGCGTCACAATTAAAAACCAAAGATTTGTAGTTCTGCAGCAGCTACCAAAAAATCACTTCGATTCCCTGTTTAGTTAAAGAGTTTTTCGTTTATTCTTCGCGATACTGAAAACGCCATGCTGCCATGATGAAATTATGAAATTTATACATTCTGAGCTGCCAAACGTTAGTCGACGTAGCGTACTATATCGAGTACGTAACGGCCTACGTAGAGCGGTTCGTTTTTTGATTCCATCCGCCTGCGAGGCAGTTACTGTCTAGATTCTTCGACAGACGCCGTACGGCCCGTACCGCATCAATCGCAGTCAGTGCCGCTTCCGAACTTGTTTGGAGTACGGTTTTTGTGCTCGGATGTTTTAAGAATAAAAGCAACTGTTTTGTTTCTCTGTCAGTTTGTCTGTATACAAAATTTAAGTAACGCAAATACTGCATCAAACTGAACTGCGCAGTAAAAAAATGCCCAGACATTGAGGGCGAAATGCTCTGATGCTAACATTAAATACAGTAAACGTTTTTCCAGAAAAACAAAACTGCAGGAGTAATAATGATGAGTTTAAAGTTATAATTACAGCAACTGCGAAGCAATTAGACTTTGGAAAAATCCTTAAAGAATACTTAATGCGAATATTCTCAATGAAATACCTACATATACCAAAGATCGCATAGCCAAATGTCAGATCCATATAATTATTATTCACGTCATTTCATAATGTACAAAGACAGCGAACAACCCAATGAACAAAAATAACGTATTTACAAATACGACAGACGCCGAAGAGTGAATCAATAAAATATCAGAACCATAAACAAAGTAACCGGAATAATGACACGAAAACATGATTCTGCCAGGCAAAAGATATTGATGAGAATAAAACATCCAGTTCTGTACGACTACGCGTAATGAATCAAAAATAAAACGACAAAAACACACAGTAATACACAAAACGGATAATATTAAAAAACAACAACATTGAATTTGGTGTGCATCCCTACAACTAATCCGCACCGAAACCGGCCTGTACACATTCTTGCCTCTCCCACAGTCGCCATTCTTGGAAAACACATAGCGCCCGAGAACAAGGACAAAAACTTTAAAAACAGCCTAATCCACAGGACAGACCGCTGTCAGAAAATCTCTCTTCAAATAATACTGGATTGTAGTTTAGTGCAAGTGTTTAGGTACAACCATCAACAGAAACAGCCAGAGCTCGGATCTCATGCTGACGCTCGCTCCTCAATGTAACAGTCGTCCTTCATAATCGGCACCTCTCCGCAATCCCGTTTCTCCTCCGTTTCGCCAGAATATCGCAGTCAATTCCCGTGATATTACAGGCTGCTGCCACGAATGTCACCGTACTGCTGCATGTACAGTCGCCACACAATTCACCAAACACACCAAATAAGCCAGCCGTAGCGCATTCACTATACAGCATTTGTGTCCACAGTGTATACACGGTGAATCCGTACCAGCCACATACGGCCCGCCATCAAAACGAGGAACATTCCAATCTTGCCACTTCCCATGTCACTCACCAATCCAACTATCCAAGCCGCACCCAAACTGCTCAAGGGGGAACCGCATGATGTGTCCAGTCCGTGTTCTTAATGATGGATGCGCTTGAGCGTCAAAGAGAAACAAAATGCTCCAATCAGTGACCTGACTGAGGGAGTTTCCGCATTAATCCACCACGAACAAAACAACCACAGATAAACGCATATTCCCGTCCCCGATTTATCGCAGATAAAAACGTAATAAATTTAAAAAAGAGAAAAATTAATCCATCAAACACAATTGGTTCATCAGCGAAGACACCTTTTCCGTAATGGAACGTGCCGAAACCGGGACTGTTATCCGTTCATTCAGTTCATCAAGAAACGAAATTTCACTGACTATAAGATCCCTCTTCCAAAGATTTTTTTAAAAACAGACCGTGGAATAGGTTCGCAGATATTAGAGAAATTCAAAATAAATTCAACAAGGAAACCCTAGTCACCAAAAAAACCCTTGCAATGTTCAAAAATACCATCCCCATGCCGGCATCACCGTAACCCAACAACCGAAAATCAGCGAGTTAAATTGCAGTCATTTTCAGTTCTTCGACGTAGTCGGTGGTGATTTCGGCTTTTCACGTTCTGAAGACAATTTCAATGCCTTCAGCTGGTCTTTTAAAGTCTCGTTTTCCGTTTCCAGATCACGGTTATGCTTCAAAAGAAGCTCTTTCTCAGCAACGCAGACCGACAAACAGGTATCTCTGTTGTTCACTTTCACCTCCATATCGGCTTTGTCGCTGTGCAAGCGTTCCACTTCACTGACTTTCTTGGCCAGCTCATGCCGCAGTTGCGAGCATTCCTGCTGACTGCTGGATAAAGCCACTTTCAAATCCCGTACTTTTTCCTTGCGGATCACCTTATAATACTGCAGATCCTGTAACAAGCGGATTAGCCGAGTTACGATTCAATTCTCCACGAGTCCAAGACATACAGATACCGTGAGATACGTATTACACTTATTTTGGGTAACGGCCTGCATTAACAATAAACGTAAGTGTACGTCCGAAAGCTTACTGTTACTGCATAATCAAGAAATTCAGGTTGCACTGTTACAATAAAAGAATAATGAATCTCACTCAAATTTCGAATTCTGATCAACATTTTATCATTATTCAGATTACTTATTATTCAGATTACAATGAAGTATAACATTTTATCATCAAATTAATATACAGTATGTAATACATATTATAATCGATAATATGTACTGTACATCTCTTCGGATATAAACAATGAAATCATGTAGTACCTTCTCTAAATTGTTTTTATCATGTTGAGCTTGCAGAAGCATAGACCCATATCGCTGCTTTAAGCGCTTAATGCCTTGTACGATGCGGCCTCTCGATTCCGTATCCACAAACTGCAGAACACCATTCAAATCTTCCTCGTCCTCTTCTAGAATTGCGCTTTCCTGACCTGCTCAAAGAATACCACAAAATAAGCAAACCGCGAAATTCGACCGTTAAGCAAACCGCGAATTTTTGTCAGCCAAATATTATACCAAGTACTCGTTTTGATCAACACAAATACAGGTAGTAGTTTCTACATAAATTCTTGTTAAGCCTGTCATACAATAAACAGACGACATCGATAACGAGAAGCCCAATCTCATCTTCCAAATCGCAACATGACCTATGTATGAAACTATGTAGCAGGAACACCACCTACGCTCTTCACCAAAACACCTCCAGTCTCCAATAACGTGACTGCTATTGTTACCATCGGCAAGTTTAATTAGTACAATATATCTCTTTTAGCAGTGCACGTGCTCTTTTATCAGCCTGTCTTATTTATTCCCCAAGACTGAAAAGCTCAACATACAGAAATCAATGGATAGCGTCGAGCTGGAAGATGTCTCATCATCCGACTCTGAGCGCGCTGTGCCACTTTTCTTTGGCGTCGCTGACGGCGCCTGCGCCATTGCATCCGGGCCCTGATCACGGGATGATGTTGAAGGCATGCATGAGTTATCACAATCCATGCTCCCCAGAGCATCCGCCTCGCCGCATCTGCGGCCGATGCTGGTGAATGCTGTTGACGTCGTCGTGGACACGGCTGTCACCGGTTCCGCTTTGCGCTGGATAACTGACTTGGGCCGTGTGACCGGCGGCACCAACGCCACATTAGGCTGCAGTTTCTCATCATCCCTGCAAACACTGCGTGTGCACAGCCACTAAACTAACCAGCCAAACCATTGCATTAGCGTACTTCTCATAAGTCGATGCCAAAATGATTCGCTCCGGATTAACGATAATCGGGGGACCATGGTTCAAGTATGCCGGAATTTGCGGTGTATTTGGACTGTCAACGGCCACATTATTGACTGGACTGTAACAGACAAAGGTCAAATATTCCGTGCTCATTAGATAAAAATAGCAATTAGACCGCACCCCGTCAAAACGCTAACTCATACGAAGTCAAAAAACTCACATCACAGCCTGTGTCGTAAATTTCGCTGACAGATCATTAGGTGATGTGATCAGACCAGGAGGGGCATTAGCACTCCGTGAAAACTGTGGAATATACCAGGCAACTGGACCAAGCAAGCCGCCTCCATGTGGATATATGGCTTCCTCGATTTTGATTCTTTTACTTGGAGTTCGAGCATGTTCATCATCCTAAGAAAGAAACAAAAAAATGCTTTAGAAAGGGTAGCATAACAATTACTTATGATTCACGTTCTGGCCAAACTTCAGACAACTAATCACTAAAATAATAAATAAACCTCCCTCGACCATTTCCGCTAATCACTAAATAAAACCAGCGCAAATTAATTTCGTAACATTCCGAACATCCGCTGAAAATACTACTGCTGGATATTTTTGGTTATTTTTTCACCATCTCACCATCAGCTTTATCGCATGTTACAAACAGTAAAATTGAATTTTTTTAAAGCAAAAATTACGAGACCAGTTTAACAGTACTAGTAACTACAATATTAAAGAACAAATGGTTATTTGGGATTTGGTGGGTTTGAACTTTAACACTAATTATAAGTAAGTACTAGTACCAATTAGCAGTTCGTGCCTTCGAGGCAACGAGTGTATTTACCATAATTAATTAAATACTAGTTGCTGACTGAGAATTGTTTTTCCATTTTTTATTCTACAAGTCTACACGTTTTTCTTCTATTCAACGGAATTTTGACTAATGCACCTACAGTGCTTAGGGTCTAAGAATAGTACTTATCAGAATGCGTGTAGCGTAGTAGTATCAGATCTAGAAAAGCACTTCGCAGAATCCCTCTTACGGCTATGCCGCTATGCGTAATTCGACGAAACGAAACGAAATAACTTATTCCGATTGGGTACATACTGTTGAAAACAAGGTTATTTTTAATCGTATTCAGTATTAGAACAATTCGGCTCATTCGGACAGGACATCGTCTTCCTCACGTCCCATAACAATGTACTGTAAGTCCACAGACGGAACCTGTCGTATCATGACCCCATCCCGTTCTCCTTTGCTATTAACGCAAAATGCGGTTTTCCAGTTCTAGTTCGTGCCTTCGTAGATTGCCAATGGCACAAGCACACCCGTTTATCGACTGCCATGGGCCCACCATTAATAAGCCACCGGCGCAGACATTTCGGGGCCCTGTCTGAATTGATTTCCGGTTAACGATCGACAGCCAGTGCGCCAAACTGGTCTTCTGCAGATGTCTATACGTGTGTGCATAGTAAGTACTCGCACTATATACACTGATGATCCGACACCAGTAAGTGCGCGACGATCAAAGCCAATTGGGACCAAAATTTCATAACATTTCGTCGCAGACAGCAATTTTAATGCACTTATTGTATCTACCAGGAAATGCATACGTCGTGCACGACTTGAAAGATAAATATACATACTTCTACTACGGACTGTGATCGTTACTGTAATTGCTCCTCCATTACGACGTCTAAAGGTGCTTACAATCTATTGGTCTTCTAGACTCTTACACAGTACTGCGCCGTACAATAGAAGATTAATTAAATCAAAAACTGTACCGCGGTAGTAAATGTATTTCACTGAGAACTTTAGAAGTATTCATACAACAGAAATTTGATACATCTCTTTTATGGTTGCACCTAGCGGTAACCACATTTTACAAGACTGTAAATCATTCACTTTTGGGCCAATTTTTCCCAGTGCGGCAATGGCCCGACACAGCGTCCTCACCACTGGGAGAGGCTATAGTAAACACGTTTGCTTGCGATTCTCCTGTCAGAGAGCAAAATAGCTCAAGAGCCATTATTCTGATGTGGCGGTGGTCTGCGGGGAGTCATGAGACATGAATTACGGCCTCCAGTTTCCATAAAACGCATCCCTCAAACGAGCATCGGCATCGTCGCCGACCGGCGCGGCACAAGAGGAAGCTATTTGCAAAATGGCACACACCCTGTCACGCACACACACACGTAGCGATCGTCAGCCACTATGTCCAACAGAGAATTTTTAGCGTCCTGTCTGGCCGCACATTTTCAATAAATTCCATTTGTGATTTTAATCTTTCATGGCAGGGACTATGCAATACTTCCACTGCCTATTATTTGGTAACTGTATGAGATATAGCGTGAGTAGTGTGTACTGCGTATTTCGTTTCCTCCTCAATATCAGACCAATACTTTGGACGACATCCCTAAAAATAAAACAGCTTTCGCAGCTGACAGAAACGTGCGCTCATCAGTGCAAGAAATGTAAGATGATCATGTTATCATTCATGGCCAGATAACAACAAACGTAATTACTGGAAATGTCTTTCAAGTACAGATACACCGCACCATTCCAGTCCTTCCCGTTTTCAAACCAATACACGATAAAACCAAAGCGATAACATTCGTCGAGCTTTTTGTGAGGTTTTAGTGCTACTTAATTTACTTGAAGTCTCGTACAATGAAATCACCCGATAGAATTAATTACATCGCACAAGCCTTGGTGTGCGCACTCCTTTACGCTCATACAAGGAAGCCATCAAATACCACGCATCACGACGATGCTGGACACCGGACTAGACAAAAAGATATACAACCTTAAAACATAAAGTTCTCGTACAACCTTAAAACATAAAGTTCTCGTACACGATAAGTACGAGTATTTTCTCAAACACAACATTTACCCTTCAAAATGATGTATTTAATCTCAGTCTCAGTAAGAATAACATCAACCTAACACAGACAAGCAGATTGTCAAGTCTGAAAAAATTCGAACACGATCGTAAAAATATCGAGCTAGTTACCGCTGTTAAGTTTCCTTCGAGTTGGTACAGACAACTTAAACTGTCAGAGTGTTCAAAATATTCCCGGTACAGCAGCATAGTAGCAGAGAAAAACATCTGACGGTGAGGTCTAATTCCGTCTCAACAAACGCAACGATCAAATGTGGTAATTCGAGTTTCCTGTCAGACACATAATAACACGAGCATTAAAAAGCCGCCACCAACCGATCGGTACGACCACAACGATCCACTGGTAACAGCACACACCACATTCTCTACATTGCAAAATTGAAACAATCCGTATTGTACTGATATTGTACTCATACACTTAAAAATATCGCCATTCGAAACAGAATGATAAGGTTATGAACGGTACGGCTTTTTACTCTTCCCTGCTTCACAGCGATTCTACTTCCGCATTTCAAACTGCTGCATTTTTGAAATCCTAAGTGGAAAGGAGGAAAAGAAGCACAAATACGTTCACTTCTGATAATATTTCCGTTAGCAACAGCATCTGTATTACAAACTACAGCAAAGCTTAATCAAGACGCCAGCAGAGCTTAATCAGCCACCATACATACCAAGTACCAACTATGAACTATACACAAATTCAAAAATTTCGCGCTCTATCTGATTTTTCTAAATTCCCCAGCATTTTTTCCTTTTCCTCAACATTTCCTTTTCCCTAACTTTTCCATTTTTCTTCCACAGACACGCAATTGAGACTGTCTTGCATTAGTTGCATAACAGTCAGTCAGAAATCTAATTACACTGTCTGCCAAAGCGACGGTCATGAGACTTTGAATGCCGCTGTTGAAATAAGGTCGTTACGGCACCTTTACTATACAGGATATCATTTAATTGCCATCAAATTGTATGTATTTCAGCACAAGAACAGTACAGAGAAAAATATAAGGAAATTTGTCGACGCTTGATTAATACAAAAAAAATAGCTCGAATATAATGAAACTGCAAAACTGTTTCTTTCGCACAATTTTCTTTCTTGTTCTGACGATGCTTAAGGGCTAACAATAAGTTCTGCGTCAAATTTCATCGACCTATTGCAGCAGTAGACCGTTACAACCATATGGTTCATGACGGTTATTGCACAGATACTGTAAAATGTACATGTCGGTAAGAGCTTGAATAACAGCCTATGCCACCAAAATAAGACCATCGTCTGCAACCAGTAATCTTTCTTCAAATTATTATTAATTAGTACGACCATCAGAAAGATGAAGGCTGAAACTGGCATCAGATCCATGTTTCTTTTTGTACCACCATCTGTAGTCTGTACCTACGCGGTTTGCAAATGTACTTGTGGAATGTTCAAACTTCAAAGTTGTATTAAAATTAGCTGCTTACTGCTCAGCCCGTTGTTAATGATCATTTCCGCCCCACCCTTCCATACGAACGTTTTATTAAATCCACATCAAGACACTAGTTACGGTTTTCAATATTAGTGACCAGTTATACGTATACACAAATAAACGAAGCAAAAGAAATCTATTATCTGTATAACTATATTTAGCTGCATATCTGTCCATACCAACTGTAAAACAATATTTTCATGAACAAGATGTGCATAAAAACTGCAACCTTTGTTTCTGCAGTTCTGCATTCCGCAGAAGCTACTGTACCGAATGAAAATCTAACAGATGAACACCACCATCAGCTTGCTCCATAAGACAGAACCAGTAGGCAGCATAAAATTATATTCATAACGATCCACGGCTAATGAATGAATGCTTTGCGTATTGTCATTTATAATCCACAAAGACAAGTTTTCTTCGTCTTCCACGACTAACCAGAGCTAATTCATCACTAATATCAAAACGACAAGGTGGGTCTATTATTTTCCAAGTTTGGTCAAACAAGCTTAGGTTTCTGTAATGCAGTAAGTACTTCAGAATTACAGGCAGGGTTGAGGCAGCTATTGTTATCGCGTCGGTGACAGATCTCAATTCTCGACGTTACTGGAGTGTTCTTTCTTCGATATGACATTTTCTGTAACTTAAAAACCTTTAAGGCCATAATTTAGTACTTCTATGGAAATTATTCTGCCGGAGAAGTACTCCCACTTTACATCATCATTTTAAATCAGCACTTCTTTATCTCCAGATAGCAAAATCACCGCGATTTTAACAATTGTAAAACAAAAGTATCTTTCAATGCTAACTGTAGCATCGCTAGCATATTAGATATACAAATATACCAAATAAAAACTACGAAACTACGAGTACAATATCTCATGTCAGCGCTCTGCGGCACTTTCACAATCGATGATATTTATCGATAAAAACTCTCACGCGGTAGAAGATTAAGGGCACAAATTGCAGATTACAACCAACAAAAGCGCCATCAATTCGATAAGATCCTCTCATCATTTAGACGCGCTAGATGTTATCAGTTCAACTGACAGCTTTGTTCTTACTGTGTGTTATGCTCTAATGAAAAACAATCCATCATCCTTCTCATCGAACGGTAATTATCATTTTTTACATGAAACCCCGGCCGGTTGGCGCCACACAGACACACAACCACGATAGACGAGACAGTTCACATACCATTATAGACTACTACCTAGGCCAAGTACCTACGTATGTATATAAACTTACACCGGCACGAAACGTACAACGAGACCTCGAAAAAGAAACTCACAAATGCAAAGGAAATGTCAATAACAGGTGAACCGAGCTGACCGAAACCTGTTGTGCAACATCTGAATATCGATATCACAACACTGTGCAATTTTCCATTTACAATATGTTCCAATGCTTTGCAACAAGACCATAGTGAACCCATTCAGAATATAAGAGAGTGAGTCGGCTAAGAAAATAAACAATTTTTGACCTAACGCGTCTACAGTCTCCATAGCCTTAAAGTCCGATCTACAGACCTGAACATATGAATACTTACTAATCACCATTACCGGTATAATTTCGTCAAAGCCTGTAGCAACTTTTTCTAGATATAAAAACTAGCATTATTATTATCCTTAAACAATATCTCACTGCTTTGGAATTAGTCAAGCAACCTATCACTTTCCCATGTACCAAAAGCACTAATTTGGTATAGTCTAACGTCGATGTCGCTAGTCTGGCCGTAACCTGGCACATTTTCAAAAATTCAAAATTTTAAGGCCTACAGCTTCTGGGCCGTCGTCAGCACTTTTATGATACTTTAAACTGGTCCAGAACAACATGCGGCAAAAACCTGCCGCCTTGTAAATTTACAACATGCTGCTGCTGCAGTCTAGCGACATACTACAGAGCATGCCGGGCATGACAGGCAGCTACCGCTGTGTTGAGCATGTCATTCGCATTTAACATCATCGCTTTCCTACTGATCGATTCCAGTTGCGGAAAAGCAATTCCAAGGGAAAAAACTCGTTAAACTCAATTTCATCCAAATGGCTGTATGCCGATCTGCATTTACAACCAACTCAGCGTATTTTCTCAATCAGCCTATCATTTCTGCACAGTGTGACGATTTTAAAGTTTTCCTAGACAGCTATTGCACAGAGGCTAAATGCACTTCGTCTGGCAGACTATGCGGCTTTTTAGCGTCGGCTTCATTGCAAAATCTCAATACTGTACTGTAGGTACAAAGTTTTCAGACACCACGGACATACACACTGAACATATATAATCCCCCGTTTACGTCGCACATTACCGCACTGAAGTCTCAACGCAAGCACTACACCACACACACTATTTCCTTCTGCAGCTAATTATTCAACACCATAACGAATATGCGTAGAAAGATCTAACTTGCTTTTGCTTGATTTTGAACTGCTGCCAAATACCGCAGAGCAAGAGCACGGCAAACTGCAGATGCCTGCGAATTACTCTGGCTGCTACTGCTTAAGAAGATCGCTTCAAACCCAAGAGAAGCTGATGTATTAAACATAGTAATATGTTTAAACCTAAACTGAGATCAACAAGTAAAATTTTTTTACGATTTACAACAAAAATGTAAAGGTAAATCAATCAGACGTTTCTGGATAAGAGCAGTAACAAGACTAAATCAGCATTAACAATAAGATAAAAGGCGAGCAAAAAATTATAAACATCAATGCACATGCAAATACAAATTAAATTACAGCTGAAACCACAACACAAATGCGAAATATTCTTTTAAGAAAGCAAAATTAGATATTCGACTGTTTGTCTGATATGCATCGCTTTTACTGAAAACATCCATCTGATGCCGCGGTGTGATGCAAAAAAACTTCAAATACTCAAGGGTTTTTAAAACTTTCGCTATTTGTACGTAGCTATGGAATCCAACAAGATGAAAGGGGTAAAATGCGTTCTCAACCACCAAAATGCAGCTATAAAACGTAAAAATTGTTCTGTTTCGCTTGTCGAGCTGTCATATTTGTTCGAGCACATGCAGTAAGAGCACCATGGACACAAATACACAGAAAACCTCCAGTTGGCTTCGTTGCCACTGTTATCGCTCAGGGCATCCGCCTACATGATATTGGCAGCGCTGTTATAATGCCTCACCAGTCGGTTCAGTGCAATCAGCGATAGGTAAGCACTAAGCATACGAACACGAGTTTCATAAATTCACGGCGCACCAGATGTCGCATAGGTACATTGGCGGCTGCTGTAACGATGTCGGCATAATTAAACTTTAATGGCAACACCGTAACTGGCGTAACAGTAAGACCATAAAAATGCAGAAAAAAATGCTCTGTTACTACTTACTAGTAAATGAAGTACTAAACTGAGACTGCTTCTACACTACGGGACCGTCCTTCAGCGGCGCTTTGCTTGTGACTTGTTTTGAATTCTAGGCTAACTCAACTTTTTTTGGGGCAGTAACTTACCGATCCAATTTTTCCCGAGAAGCTCATAGTGCGCTTTGTCTGTACATTGCCGGCGTCATCGAATGATTTACTCTTCAGTTCTTCCAGTAGCACCCTGCACCGACTGTGAGCGTCCTGGCCGATCTCTTCCTCTTCCGGGATCAATACATAGTGTCTCCAGCGAGCAGAATCGAAGCCCCAATGGCACACACCCTGCTCCATTGATCGTGGATGTGTGTGCACAACAAAGTGGCGTGGTGAAAAGAGTCCACGACAGTCCCGGTCCTGGCACTCAATGCAAGGCGCATCGGGATTAACGTACAAGTCCAGAAAGCATTCACCGCGAATCTCTCCGAAACTCCGGTGCACGATGGGAAAATGGCGGCATTTCTCCCTATTAGCAATCTGAAAGCGATGATCAGGCTTACGATGCATTAGTGCACCGCACAGGCGCTCAGCGTCCGTTAACGTGATCAAACCACAGCTAGGTGCACTGGATGGAAGAATCGTAGAAGCCTTAAGGCAGTCCAACTGTGCTCCGGTACACTGCGGCAGATAAATGCGCAGTTCCTCACATACAGCATTAATTTCCTCCAGAGAACGTGTCGATAACACTGTGTTCAATAATTGCGGTAGACACAACCGCTTTTCCCCACCAACACAAAAATATGATATATTATGACCCTCGAAAATGGTCTCAGAACGCTCACTGGAAGTCTGCTCCGGTTGGAAAAAAATGGGTGCCGGCTGAATGGGAAACGGTGGCTGATGGGCTGCAGTAGCGATAAATTCCTTGTCGGACACGCTGTCCTTTCGTCCGACTGGCTTCGGTGACTTGATTATCGACGAGGGCGTCGGAGGATGGATGACCGCGCGACCTCCTGAAGTATTACTGGTGCTCGTCGACGTGGTGATCATCTTACCATCTGAAGTGCTCCATGCATTCTGGAAACTTCCCGGCCCACTCAAGCTACTCATGGCGGTCTGCGCATATGTCTTCAAAACTTTCTTGAGGTGAGGATTAGTGATTAAGGCAGTCGGGCTCTTAGTTCCACTGTTGCTGGACATTGTGCTGTCGCCGCCGTGGTCAGATGACAACATCCATACTAAGGACAAAACAACAAACAAATCGCACTTGTCCTCCTTCTTTTCTCACGTCAGCTCCACGCGAAACACTATTACACCCAGAGAGAGTACGGCAACTGTCCAAACGATGAACGCAATGCAATGCCTGAAAAAATAACAACAATAAATTATTTTCTAACATTTAACTTCAGGTCTTAACACTACTAGAGAGAGCAAACATTATTCTTACGCATTTCATTCCATACTGGTAACTGCAAAAGGTACATTTGCCACAACACGACGACCGAACACAAAATAATAATCGGTTAACTTAATGATTACCCACTATGGATTTATAGGTAAAATTGTTAAACGTAAGCAGAAATCTTTCTCAAACCAGAAGTAGTACGCATCGCGAGGACCGTATGGTCACTATGGTGTATTTACAGTACGCTGTGAATACAGACTACAGCATGAACACGCGCTAGCGTAGATGGAGACTCACGGAGCTGCGAATACGCACTGATGCGGCATCTGTATTGATCGCCGAAGCAGGGCCAAGTGTTTAAATCCCAAATAACACGAGCTCATAGCAGTCTGGTTTTAAGTACAACTGGCCAGACAGACATCACGTCTACAGTCTGTACGTCCTTTCAAGTCGAACACGTCGGTAAACAATGCGTCAATCACCCCTTAATTGTGGTAAAACACAGATACTAGAGTCTTTCAAATGCGGACAGCAGCATGGCCACATCATTGCAAGGAATTCTTTCTACCCTATGTACTGCATCATACACAGAAGTGATAGAACGCTATCAAATACCGTACAAGCGTACATTACAGTATGTGTACGCGTTACCTATCTTTTGTCAATCTTTCACCAAAAACTACAACGCCAATCTGATGTCTGGGTATGCTTAATCATTCTGGTCAATCTGGTCCAGAGTAGTGCGCAGCACAAGACCGGTGCATTCTGCCAGAGTACAACAATGCTTATGCGAGGCTAGAGCTAATCACGATATATATAACCGGATCAGATTCGGTCAAGGACTCACTGGGGCTTTTACCATTTGGTTTTACCGTTTGCTTAGGTTTCTACCGGTAACGGAATGAAAGACCAGGTACCGCGCCACGCTAACACACCAGACCACACTACCAGTTTATGACGGTGACATGCTTCCATACAATACTTTATCGCATAGATTGTAAGTGATATATGTGCGACCCCATCGGTTTCAGGTATTTTTTACGAAATTGTAATGCTTTTGCAACAACTACGTGCAGATCACAATATCGCTAAAGTTCTAAACATTATCGAATTAGTGGTAACATTTCGATGCTGCTTATTGAAAAGGCTAAAGCATGGTCCATGCACTACACACGATTGCCTGCATGCCGTTAAAACTAAATCCTGTCTGCTCGAAAGATTCCAAGCGGCGAACGGAACCGCCGACTGCCTACTTGTGGCGCTTGTGGGTCGATCGTATACGCCGATGTTATTACACATACGTCAAGCCACTCACAGTTGCCGATCGAGAGTAAATAATTCTTGGAAACCGCCTATGTGCTACCATTCTGTGAACTGTCTCTGTGTAGGGCAATTGTACATACTACTTGATACTACGCATACCGTGTTCACTTTATCCAACTTTTTCGCTGCCATGATTGCAGTTTTGCTCCTCATCGATCGAAACGAAAAACGATGCTTCTCTTCTGTATGCACCGTGAAAGTAATTTCGGTGTAAAGCCAATTAAAGCTCAACGTGTCGAAACAAGCTACTCCCCATTATATAGCATAAGTTTTGAAAACAACAGCGTAACTACACTACTACAGAGTACAGACTACAACTACAACTAGCCGTATCCTCATGTTACCTTAACTGACACGGCTTTCTTAAAAGGAGTCAAACTGAATGTCTTAAACAATTACAAAACGCATTACGCAGAACACGTAAAATGATAAATGTAGGGGATAACCGGAGCGTAACAATGCGCATTAATTAAACCCAGCAATCGCAGTGATATTCACGTTTAAGCCCGCTTATATCTGTCTGCTCCAGCTCAACCGCACATTAAAATTATAAAAATCTAAACTGAAGTCCCCGTTTCGCGAACAAATGGTAACCTGTTAAGGTCTCAATCGTAACCTGTCAGTTCTCAAGTAAATCTCAACTATGATTTATTATTGAGTCAACTCCTAACACCTCGAAACTAGTAAAAAGTAAGCAAGTAATTATAAATTATGCTTTCTTACCGATCAGGCGGTCATGTTCCAGTATCCCGAGGTGCTCCTCTAAAACTGAATCAAAAAAGGTCTGTTAAAAATAAAAAAACTTGTTTTTAACGTAAAATCTCAACGAGCCATGGCGAGAACTCAAAATTCAGAATACCATTTTCACAGATCTCCGGTACAGTGCTTAACACATTTGCAGCAGTTGTGAAACCGTGTGACTGTTTGCTGGCTTACGACGACCGCCAGACTGCTTTTGGCTGAATGGGGTGTGGTTTGGCAGCGCCACCAATAGAGATGCCGACAATGTCATTACGCAACCGAGTCTGGCTCACACACTGCCCGGGCATCTACGGTCATAATTTGCGGTGCAGTCGAATACCGGCTTTCTTGCAGCCGCTGTTCTACATCGCTGAATAAGCCATCCAGCATCCATAAAACACCAGATTTCAACAATAAAATTGAATTATATTGCAGCTAGTTTGCGACATTAATTATAAAATTATTTGTTTTAACAAAAATGGAAAGGTTAACTTTGCAGAACTGAAAACGCCACTTCAGAATTCCCAAAATAATTCACTGTCTACGCATGTTCAGGAAATCAGGGCCGTACAAAGCCGGACCAAAACAAGCGGCAGTAAACCACGACCTGCGCCTCGAGTCTGGCTTTCCGTCTGCGGCAACGTTGGTAGTCAAGACCCATGCACAGGGTAGCAATGATCTCGCGTATGCGCTTGCAAAGCCCATTCATTTATGTATGTCTGTGGTTGTACTCGTAATACCAGGGTCTGCTTTGTTTGTATCGTCGCAGAACGGCTGTTTCTTCTGCTGTTAATATCTTACGTTAATAGTTAACACTGTAGATGCTTCCTGTATTGAAATGATGAAACACAAAGAAAATCATGAATTTGAGTTTAAAATCGAACATTATTCATTTTGATGCAGTGTTTTCGAAAGAAATGCTTAAAATTTAACCAGAATCCAGAACAGTCGTAACGCGTACCGTATGTACTATAAGTTATAACTGTAGTTAATTTCGTACTACAGTGTACACATTTTTTCCTTACCGTCGAAACTCGCAAGGACACAATAACATGGCTTATGTGGCACGCAAAGGCCCAAATTTATACGGTCAATTCATTCAGCAAATTTTCTAAATTACGGTATGAAAGAAGATTTAAAAAAAGCTTTAGTGCAAAACGGTCTTTATTGTCAATGTTATCGTTGTCAGCTGTGTACGAGTCGGCGAGTTTTAAATGTTTTGTGTTGGTTGCAAAAAGATAAAAGGGAACTTTAAACAGTTATCGCAGACACCGACCGCACTGGTGCTTTCAGATTCGGTTAAACATTTGTTGCGCGCACTTTTTAAAACATGAGAAAGTTTTCAGGTTAATACCAGTACGTCCAAATTAATTCCTGTAAATTTTGACAGTGTTTGCTATAGCTACACGGTTACACCAGATCCCTTCGGGAATGGGAACAATCTCTGGCTCTCATGCATACTATACTAACGGAAGAGATTTCCAGACTTCAAATTTTAACAAAACTATCCCTGGTAGACTATGGGATACACCCGAATTATGGCCGGATAAAGAAATACAATAATAACCGCACCGTGCGTCTGTGTGAACACGTTATACATAGTATACAGAATTTAATGGAACCATTCCAGTTTACGAACACATTTGCCGATTCAATAAGTGAAGTATACACAATTCATGGAAATGAAAGTCCCCTGGAAAAGCGAGACACGTTACAACAACGACAAGTTCGTCGATAACTTGCAGACTGCAGTCATGTTACGTCACGTAAAAGCACTAGGAAAAATTGCCGACAGTTCCGGTAGTCGGCAAAGGATGGTACGCTTCTGCTTGCCGCTGTTGGCACAGCGGCTGCTGTGTTAGCCGCGCCGGTTCATATTTCGACGGTGGCGTACGGGCTAGAGACGACGACTGATCGCTGGGGAGATTGAAATGGCATTGACATGCAAGGCAGACAACGATATCGCATTAAAGCGGAAGTAGAACGTTATGAATTCTCCAATATATGGAAATTTAATGGCCTCGTTATCCTTCACTGCACCTCAAACCGATTACGGTTTGCAAGAGATACCGTAAATTCAAAATAGAACACTACAGTCTATATCTGGCACACTGGTGCAGCGCATGTAAACAAGGCTGATAAAGAAAGGTGAACGAGCAGATCGCATAGATCACGACAGTGATAAAGTTTGACCTTCCTGCAACATTCCTTTGAATCGAATGCAGCCAGAAAACCGTACGGTGCGACTTCCGATCGCATTTATCAAAACTTTCCAAACAATCACGCCGCTGCGTTTTCGCTGCCAAATTTTGCGTACCACTAGTTGTTTCAAATAAGAAGGCCAATATCACCATGAAATGCCTCCTTTGAACTTCTACGGATACTACGGAATTTACAATCAGTATCAGTGTCTAACAAAGTCAATGCGTTATTTATTGTAACACCATGCTATTTGTCTAACAATAAAGATAAAACTGTACTCGTAGCAAAAGCCATATAATGAAGTTACAAAGCGAATTCATAAAACCAAACAAAAAAATAGTTTAAAAAGGCGGTATTTTCAGGCAAAGGAAGACGATTAAAAAAGGCAGGAATACAAAACCGGGCTTGAAGCGTAACGGCATTGTCAATAGAAATATATTCAAAAGATTCAAAATTTCCGATAAAATTGAAACTACCGACAATATTAAAACATAGCTCAAAACAGCTGCCAGACGGTAAAAAAAGTTCTTTGGTTCGCAAAATGGGAGAAGAACAAGCATCCACCTAGAACAACAAGACAAAGTAAGCTGAATGTGAAGATCATCTGCCACAAAAAGTGGCTACCTTAGCATTACCAGACAAGCGAAAATATATTCTGATTCCACCGTGAAAATAAAAAAAAAAAACAGGAAAAAGCAAAAACCAAGTAATGTTAAATTAGATTTGAATTTTTAAAAGGAATGAGCCACTGCAACTTGCCAGACAGAAGCGATGGAGCACCGACTCCAGAAAAGAGGACAGCAGGAAATCTAAACAGGATCCTCAGCGGACATGAGCAATGGATTCACATATTCGAATCCTTCAAATTCCGATTGATCAATTTCGTCGATAATTGATCTGGAAGCAGCAACATTAAAATGCCCCCAAAAAATTAGCAATCAGCCCAAACTGAATGCAGAAGAGGCCTTTGGTTCACTAAAGGACATACGGGTCATCGGGCGTTAGCCGAACCGGCTCGTCGGTAAATTGTGGGTCGAAGTTATGCAGATCGAGTGCACTCTGCACCTTGGGCTTAAACGGCGGTATTTTCTGTTTCTTTTCCAACTGTATAAAATGCCACACACAGCTTTGTCATAACACATATCGCGCAATATCGAGCAAAAGCAAATCGTAGTTCGTTATCATCAGACCGCAACGTTTGTCCACGTACCGCTTCGAAGTCAATTTTCCGAAAGAAAGCGTGATGTTTGATATCGTCAAACCCAGTCTGCGGGTGACATCCTAATCTGTCTTCGGGTATCTAGGTAGACAAGGCATCCGATAACGGTAACAAATCAATATAATACCAGTCTAGTCAACGTTACGAGTACGTAACTACGAAAAACAATATAGTACTCGTCCAGGATTAAACAACTGCTGACAACTCAAACTTTCACTGTAAACCCGGTTGAAACTACTAATTCTGGCAATTTATAACTTTTGCGAACTGGGTATCAGCTAAATCTACATTCGCTTTGCATGCGTAAACCAGTTACCAAACCATGCACGTTGTACAATTTATGGCAAAAAAACATAGGTCACAAATTTGTTGCTATCCATTTGGCATCGCATGGCAAAATTTTATGGCGAAGGAATTATTGCGAATCTACTGTTTTACGAAATACCTTATTCAGAAAGCCTTTAAGCACATTGGCCGCTTCAATTTGCAATGTCCTTGGAATACGAATTGTTTTCTCAAGTATAACTAATGAGACAAACGTAAATGGGGTCACACAAAGTCAGTCGTCATATGGTAAACAAACAAGCAACATTTGTGGTACGTACCCTGGAACAAATAGTCTTCAGTCTGCTGATCTGGATTTTCAGCACCCTGCTGGTTAACATCAAACGGGGACTTGCCAACCATCATTTCGTAAAGGAGAACACCAAGGGCCCACCAATCAACACTAAAAGCTACAATAAAAAACATATGACTCTGGAGCTGCAGATCGATAAAAACGCTTTCAGATTAGGGTCAAATGACATCAGCTGTTTTTCGAGCGTACTGTACGGTTGTCCTTTAAGGATTTCCGGTGCGATATAATTCGGAGTGCCGCAAAATGTTTCCGCTCGGTCTTCCGGTGTGAGAATTCCTTCCTGAGGAAAAATAGAAAACCTCAAATTTATCAAAGAGAGGAAAATAACCGCAATTATTCAAAGAAATGCTTTGTATTAAAAAATCAGAAAATTGACGAGCAACCGGAAGATGCAGTCCACATGCCTTACCTTACACATGCCATAATCTGTTAGTTTAATATGTCCATCTTGATCAAGAAGGACATTGTCTAGTTTCAAGTCACGATATATTATCCCTGTAAAACAATCAGTAAGTGGACACACATATGAAATGCCCAGTACACTAAACTACCTTTTTTGTGCAAGTAATTCAAAGCCAGTGTGATTTCCGCGCCATAGAATTTAGCATGTTCTTCGGGTAATTTCCTTTGTCTTTGCATGTGATACATGAGATCGCCACCAGTCACAAGCTCGATCACGAAGAACAATCTTAAACCAATCGAAAGCTACTATGAAAATACTAACCATACGAATACGGCGAATCGGAAATCTAACCTGCTAGGAGTCTGGAAACATGAATGCAAACCAACCAAGAATGGATAATTCGATGCTGTTTCGAAAACATGCTTTTCTGTCTGCACCCATTCTATATCCTAGAAATCGGAACAAGTGTTTAGACCTTTCAACGATATCCCTTCTCACCGTCACACATCCACCTAACTTGTAATTTTTCCGCTAAACTTTATCTTACTGACTACTCACTTCGTCTTCTTTAATGAGCTCCTTCTTAATGACTTTCATGGCGTACGGACGGCCAGTCTTCTTCAGTTCCACCGCCAGCACTTTTGCATAACTTCCGCGTCCAATTACTTTAATCAGTTCGAAATCATCTAAAGACAAGGCACGAGTATCCCCCGCAGCGTCTTCGCCCTGCAAAATATCGGTTGCTAGCTTATGCAGTCATATCACTTGGAGAATAAATTTAAATTGTTCCTCTGCTATAAAAATGTTACCGCGTCAAGGTAAACATAATAAACCGCTGTCAGACTAAGCAAACCAGCAGAATGTTCAAGGATCATATCGGAGGGAGACTTAACCACTTACATGTTTTGGAAAGCCTGGTAAATCGACTGCTTGTGGAGAACCATTTAAAATAATCGGCTCTGCATTGTTCTTCTGACGAAGAATGTTATTCGAGGAAGCTAGAGAACACAGAAGATATATATCAGGTACACGAACAAACGCCGTACATCAAAAATCAAATACATACGGCGAACACTTAAGGAATGCGACACTTCACTAGCACGCTTCGAATCCGTATGCGCGTTCGTTATAATCAAGGAACGATGATTACTTTCAGAAAAAGAAGCATCCAGTGACTGAAAGGAGTACAAAATTTTAATACTCGTGCTTTACTGTGGTATATGTCTAAGACAGGACAGTCACACATGGTATTCGCATTTCGCACCTTCGATTCCGTATCATTAGGACGAATTTCACAAGGCATACGAGCCTGTTTATGACACCTCTTGTGCACCATAAGTTTGCAATTAAGACATTTGAATCCTTGTCGTCCCAGCCCCCAAACTCTATCGGAGCAAACAGCACAGAATGCTCGCTGCAAAATAGCAATTAAAACGTTGAGATTTTCAATGCAACCATTAACCATGGACAGCGCGAACTCACTCGATTAAAACGCTTTGCGCGAAAAACGTGTCCGTTGACATGGTACTCTTTTAAATTGCGTCGGAGAGCTCCGCGACGGTACATATTTTCTGAAACAAATTTATGGATTGCCAAATACAGGAAAATCGTATTACACGTAAAAATATTGTCAGCGCACACAGGAAACTGCCGCGACCATATTCCTACTAACCAGTACCAACATTCCGCTCTAAAAACAACTATTAAAAATCTTTAGCATTATACTAGGAATGCTCCCCGTAGCTGACCAAAAATATTTACAGAAACCAGTCAATCGGCCATTAACCACTAAAACAATCAGAGGTACACTAGCGGTTGTATGACAAAATATTACTCAAATATCAGCAAATAAAATTTTAATATTTAAAATAGCCAGAATATTTACAGAAGTAAATAAACAAAATAAGGAACCACTAAATGCCTTAGTATGTCAAGCTAAACTTTCCATGTCGTCAATTAACACACAACCTTCATAAATTTTAGCCATACACGATTTATACGCTTACTGTTTTCTCCAGGGCAAGGCATGCCGGGCCTTTCCGGAATTGAAGGAAATACTATCATATACGGAATTAAAAGACAGTATACTGCACCGGGCTTGAACACAAATTTGTTGGCAGTAAAAATATTTACACTTACTGTGAAGAACTATTTCCTGTTCTTTATTAACTTCAAATAATCGAACGGCTTCGTCCAATTCGGTCTGAGATGAAATTGTGCATGCATCACCTAAAAACAGCAGCATAACTCGAAACAACTATTAGCAACCAATCGGCGCGTGGCTTACCTTCTTCATCTAACCACTTTACAGTAAACACTTGGTCTGCTGGAAACCGACAGATTCCTCTGATTTCATCGTGTAGACCACCCAACGAAATATTCGGCTGAATGTACGTAATAAATACATCGCTGCGACAAAATAACCTCGTCAAAATTACCATAAACGATTTGTCAAAACAGCTCTCCGACAGTTCTTGAGGAGAATTACGACCACCCACTTACCCGTTGTACGCGGCCTTAATGCGAATATCTAACATATCGGATTCATCTGCAGGTTGATTACCGTGAAAAATCGGCATTCTGAGGTCTTCTGTAATGCACAAAATGTGTTCAAGGCGTAGTACTAAGACGCGAGTGCAATGCTAAAAAATAACGTTCAAATTCATTGAAGGGGTCCAAATTCAGTATACTGCATATGAATTTTTATTACATAAACCTTATGTACGAATTTTACGCATTTTCACAGTAAACAATTACAAAAACGTTGCCGAAAAACCACCTTATTGATAACATTGATGTGCCAAGCCAACCATAACAACTTCTGCACGACAACAGTCTCAATCTGTCTCAATAAACAAAATTACTGTACGGTACACAACATCGAGGGCAACGGGTATATTACCCACCATCAAGCGCAAGAAGTAATTATGCAAATTTCGAACAGAATCATACACAAACTAGCTTCGCTGAAACATTAAGCGAAGAAATATACGCATAAACAGAATACAGGTGCAAAACGGTATCAAATCTAGTTAAACGGTAGCTATTCAGAACTAATGCAATTAATACAACCAGAAACAATTATTAAGGCCGTGAGGTAAAACAACTTGCAATGTTAGACGCTATTGTGTAAGCAAATCACGATTTCAGTTCATTTCTCACCTATAAAAGCACTTCTGTGCTACCTCATCATCTAATAAGTAGCGACAACTGTAGTAAGAGTCGAATAATGCACGTAATAAAATGAAAATGTGAGCCTCATACAACATTTCGGGTAGAAGCGGTTATCAGCAACTGCTTATCACAATGCAATAACTATGCAAACCTTCATACACATTCAATCCGTGGAAATTAAACATTTCGTCGTAAACCGATTATTACTAACGACTAACAGACCGTTTTGCAAGATGCTGTCCTTAAGTTACTTATCACTGCCTGCATAGATGCAGCCGAATTCTTTGAACATAAATTAAGGGTGAGAGTTCGCCAAATGTAATTTGTTTTTACCTTTTGTGAACTGCGTGCCACTTCAAAGTCGTCAAGACCAAAACGCGAGCGTTCCCCGTGTAATGAACCTGGAAAGAAGGAAAATTTTTCATCGTCAATATAATACTTTGATAATACTGCCGCTAATTAAAATACATAACCTTAACAATTGTGTCTGAGATCTCGACAAGGAGTGATTCCTTATATCTGCAGATGTTAATATTTAAATCTAACATTGTAAGCCAACTAACAAGAAAAGGAATGTTAATGATTACATTGAGCTGAACTTGTAATTTCGTATACTCGTCCTGTACGGAGCAGTCCCTCAACCCTTTCCATTCTGCTATCTTTTATTACTTGCTATTGATATTGCAGTAATTGCACATTAGTTCGGACTGCTGAATCTCTAAACATAACATCCTCACCTGATTTCAATAAGGCTGGAGTGCTTAACCACCAAATGAATGCATCAGGAGTTTCTGGAATACATAACAATTTTTAACAATAATTTGTAATGAATTTGTGATAATAACAATCAGTTACTAGCATATATACCATAACCAATAAGTTACAACTTACAACTAACTTCATTAAGACTTTTTCCTTCTGAATACGAATAAAAGTGTATAAAAAAATCGAAGAAACACACTGATTAAGGCTCATAATTTTAAGTTGATTAGTAACACTGCAGCTGAAAAAGCGAAGTTGCAGTCATATCCTCCTACCAGAATTACGACAGTGAATTAAGTCCTCAAACTGTAAATTACAAATAATCCTAAAACTATACAGTACTCGCATTCCTTATTCGGATACGATCTCACATGAGCTACGATAATGAATGCCTATTGCAGCTGCATGCTTTACAGATCACAGTCAGTGAAAAAACTCACTGCTCCATTGTCCAGTAAACGTGTTCTTCGGCCTTCCGATGCCCAATCCAAATTATGAATTCTATCAGCTGGAACACAAATGGTAGATGGAGTTTTTGCGATCTTGTTAGGACGGAGTGCTACAGCCAGTCCAGTTCCGCGATCAGGTTCCACCGTTTCACATTTTGTCTGCCCATGCACAGTTACAACATTACACGTTACAGCACCACGATCCAGTATCCACAAGACCACAGATGACCAAATCAATAAGGTAAGTATTAAACTGCAAAGAAAAATATAATTTCATAATTAAAGTAAACGACATTGTCTATAGGAACAAATTTTGTCAACGATCTACCATTTTAAAACGTGAGTTACCTTTGATCTTTTAGTCTACCCTAGTCCTTTTACGATAATGGACAGAGTATCATGTAAATAAACGCTGGTCTGCCTTATGGCACCCTACGATGGCGACCCACAGCTAAATAGCTAACATTCCCATGCAATGAGAAGCCACTTGAGACAAAACATTAAGTACTTTTCCATCAGCACAGCTGTAGCTAACATAGTTTATTTACGGTAAATGCAAAGTGCAAGCATTACTTTTGGGATTTCACTCTTATCAGAATTTCGTAATTCTGAGCTGTGAAACAACTTGGTTTTGGTGTATAAATAGAATTTTTTTGCTCTGGTAGCCCCGGTCTGTCTTCTATGGTTTAATAAGAGTCGAGAGGCTGTACACTGTACTTATAGTATATACACGTTGTAACCATCGGCTTGCCATAAACAATCCGCCGACTGAACTGGCCCCTTTGGTTGATTCATTCGATGCGACGAAGCAAGAACTATTTTGGATCCAGTAGATTACCTGATTTTAGTGTCCAATTGGATCCTTTGGTTCTTTTGGTTACTGTTTTGTCAAAGTTTTGTTAAAGAAAATAGAGGTTTAAAAACAGTCATTATATTGTGATACATTTCGGTCGTTATTGTGACGTGTTTTCGTTCTTGTTCAAGGACTGAGCACACTCAACAGACCATCTGGTAACAGCATTGGGCATCATGGTAAGCAGCCCGTCAGCCCCGTGCTTCTTGGTGGAGAAATATGGAGTACTCGGAGATTCAAATTAGTTATTTCGACAGCTCTATCGTTCCTCAGTTGTATAGCTGCTTGCGAATGAATTGTGAACAAGCTGGGATGTCTTTGCAGTATAAGTCGACAACGAAGTCCTGATATGTACTGATGTACATCAGTGATCACTGACATACATGGTCATGATTGCCGTAACTTGCTGAACTTTGTTGTTGGATTTCAGACGGATCAGCAACTTGATTGTGCTTTGGACTTGATGCGACGCTTGCCACCCCAACAAGTGGAAAAGAACTTAACGGACTTGATTGATTTGGTGCGTCGATTCTTGATTGGTCAATTCGTTTTGGATTCTGCGAGGTTTCTGTTATTAGTGTGAGTTACAGTAAGTAATTACCGCCCTGGTTAGGTGCCTAATCTGTGCGAAGAGCTGCTCTCTTCCGTGGATCAGCCGCTGAAGATTGCGAGGGATAAAACTGTGGGAAAGGATTACTTGCTATGTGATTATAATCGCGACGGAGATTCCTACAGGTGTGTTTTGTAGTTTTTAATATGATGCTGTTTTGAACTCCGGATTACGTGTTTTCAAATTCAGAGAGTATTGCTTTTTTTTATACATCTTTAGAATATTTACAGAATATAATTTACTGTGTAGAGTTATTACTGTAGCTGAACTGAGTGAAATCTTATAAAGAATGCATTCTTTAATTTCATTATGGTGTAGGCGGCGTGTATCGGGTCTGGGTTGCGAACGGTTTCATATCTTTGTTGTCTTTGATTGCCATTGCCCATATTTAGCTTTACTGAGTCATTTGCCCTATATGGATTGGTCTCAGATGTTCCTTGATTTTCATCGATCTTTTGTATGCAGATATGTTTGCTTGTATGACAGCGTTATTCTCGGCGTGTGACACCGTGTGCTGTTTGTGACAATAGCAAAAACATATAGTATAATATAATAATAGTACATAAATAGTATTACATGCTACCTTGATTGTTGAGCTTTTGCAACGGTAACACCACACTGCAGTCATCAAAGCGTATAATCCTGGATGCCAGATGCATCGTATTCAAGTATATTTGCGTTTTAGGTCTCCTTGGAGCAACAAATACGACCCGCCCCTAGAAGATGGCACTGTACCATCGGAAAAGCTTCGCAAACTGGAGATTGAAGCCAATAGTGCCTTCGATCAGTACCGTGACATGTATTTCGAAGGGGGTGTCTCGTCTGTATATCTGTGGGATTTGGAACAAGGGTTTGCCGGTGTCATACTTATAAAGAAGACTGGAGACGGTTCCAAGAAGATCAAGGGTTGTTGGGATTCCATCCATGTTGTGGAAGTGCAAGATAAATCTGGTGGTCGGAATGCCCATTACAAACTGACATCCACGGCTATGTTGTGGTTACAGACAGATAAGCTTGCTTCCGGAACGATGAATTTGGGCGGAAGTTTGACCCGACAGGTATAGGTGTTATCCATACTATTTTATATCTTACTGCTTACGTTAAAGGTTCATACTGAATTGTTTGAAGATTGTTCTTATTTGTTGCTGTTTCATAGAAAAACTTGAAACTTTTGCTATAGGCAGAAATGGATTCTCCAGTTAACGAAGCATCCCCGCATATTGCGAACATTGGAAGAATGGTCGAGGTGAATTTAGATTTCGTGTTTATTTGCTCATCATTTAGGGATTGACGCTAACTATCTTGTGCTCCAGGACATGGAAAATAAAATTCGTAACACTCTGAACGAAATTTATTTCGGAAAAACCAAAGATATCGTCAATGGACTCCGATCTGTCAAGCCACTTCCAGATCAAAAGCAGCAGCAGCTTTTGAAACATGATTTGGCTGAAGCAATCAAGAAAAGATCAGAGCGGGCTGATAAAACAGACCGCTAATGTTTTTTGACCGTATTTTATGGTGAATCGGAAAAATTTTGTATACTAATGTCATTTTCTGATTTTCATAAGAAAGCACGCGGATGCCTAATAGTAAACGTTTTCCAGTTCTGGCCGTGATGATTATATGTTCACTAATTTCTGGTTTTATTGGGTAATTTTCGATTTGGTTTCGTGTTTCATTGTTCGTAGCGCATTCTGCTATGGATTTTTAGTGCAGTTTGGTTAGCCTTTGTGGCGTTATGCAATCCCGATGTTCAAAATCAGATAATTTTCCATCTGTACGGTACGCAAACCTCTCGCAAAACGGCAAAAAAAAGCGCAGTTATTTTATTACATGTCAGAAGATCGAAAACTTTGGCGAGATATCCGCCTTTGAGTAAGCGGCATTAACTTGGTACTGAATCAAAACTACCAAAACTGGTGATACCTAAAACGTACCAGTCCGAAGCTTAAACGGAATGACAACATGAAATAAACAGGAGAGAAACCGCAGAATTGTAGCGTCAAAAAACGTAGAACCAATCTACAAAAAGTGATTGCGTGCAGAAAACCGCGACAGCAATTTCCCAGCGTTTATTATTGTCAAAACCAAAGAAATTGTAGATGGGCAAACCGTAACTGGGTGCGGATAAATCAATACCTGCGAAATAAACCACTCATCACAAAGTGCAGCTGGCAATTAGCGTCGCAATGTTTTACTGCGTAATTCACTTCTGATATCACTGCCTTTAAATGCGTTTTCAGTTCCCGTACAATTCCGAAAAATAAGGAAATTTTAGCGAAACCTACCGTTTCAGAATGGGATTTAGTTGGAAACCCATTCTTTCGAAGTATTCACCCGCCAACCTGTTCTTGGTAAACTTCAATTACCTACAGCAACAACACACATCACTGACATCAGTAATTGTTCATTTCGAAGTTCGCCAAAATACCAATTACGGCTTACATCATCATTTTCCATTTCCAGACCAGTGGGAGTTTCATTATCTTCCAGCCGACGTCCTTATAAGAAAACCACCCCTCTATAGCATTAGCACATAATGAAAGCTCGCGATGAAATGCACGTACCATCGAAGAGGAACCGAAGAGCAGCCACGGCGACCCCCATCCTGTCTGCGTAGCTCTTTTTCAGCTTTCCAAGGGCTGTCGAGGCTTTGACACGAAAATGTACTTCGTTCCCGTCTTGCGCGACCACCCTGTAAGAGAATGAATTCGTCTCCGTTATTGAGGTACTGGATATCTAAGAAAACGGTCTGGTGAACGGCGTACCGTAATTTGATGTACTCATCGCTTCCCTCCTGTTTCGGCATCACCGTCTCCCGCACCACTGGCTTTTGGCTTGGTATCCTCTGTATCAGACATTTCGTCTTCTGTCCTGATCGATAATACAAGAGCGCACACTGGAATCAATAGCAAAAATACTTAAAAACAACTGGTAACTGAGGAGACCACAGGAGATATAACGAGAAGCAATGTGCAAAACCAAAATTCAAAAAAATCGTCGGATGAAGAAAATCGTCGAGATGGTAGATTTGGATACTTTTGCCAGTTTGATCAAGCAGGATGTGGAATGAGCGGGCTTAACATGGACACTAAAATTACCGGCTACAAGCCGTTGGGCTGCATTAATGGGCAGCAATAATGAGTACGAATGAAGGACCGCACAACCGCCCGTGCAAAAACCGACCGTAGACTGGAAGGCTTTCCCGGAAGTCTATCATATTTGTGCACTGCGCGAATGCGAAACACACCGACTAACTGCGTCACTGCGGTGTTTTGTATGAGTGCGAGTACGGTCTAATGTTTTCGTTTTGGCAAGCGGCAAGCCACGCCAACAGGTGCAATATTTTGTAAACACCAAATACGAAAAATAAACACACAATGTATGCCTTAAACTTCGTTTTAAGTATTTGATGATTTTTTGGATGTCTGTTGATTTGGATAGACTATCCAGGATAGTTAATCTTAAGTTTTTCGGCGCTGTCCAAACCATTGGACACTGACAGGATACTGTACCCAATACCCATCACGTTTGTAGCTCTGGCCTCTGGTCTCTGCGAAGTGCAGGCATGGATAATCGCGATGGGGACCTGACATGGACTGCCATTGTCGCCACGACACGTACCACTGCAGAAGCAAAGGCAGTCGAGAAAGGTGCTTAACGATAACCAATAAGTGGAATATTTCTAAATGTTCAACAGGAAGTATTCTCGAAGTTGAATAATTATTTTTTTGCACGCGGACGCAGAGCTCCTTGTGTATCGGCGAAAGGGAATTATTCCTTCCAGCACGCATGTGCTGACCATTGACGATCCATTTTCACAGACAGGGAACGGCATCGGAAGTGGAGGAGCTACGATAAATGCCTTATTGTACGCAGTCGAGCAGCTGTGCTCTTTACGCGGTTACCAGATTCTCTCTCCGGAAGTTCTGATTGGCGCAAGAATTCTCATATTTCATCATGTAAGTCACAGTAAGTGATTAAGTTGCTCGCTGTTATCAGTGGATACGCAATTTAAAATTCTACAATAAGTACTTACTCTTGTTTACCTCTGTTGCATTAGTTTAGCAGCGAGCTAATTTGTGTTCGGTTGAGAAATGTTCTGCTTCAGGGACGACCATATCCTTTCGGCAGTTCGTCTCGAGCGTTTTCCCTGCTTCCTCATTGCGAAATTTTATCAGAAGATTACGTGGAAATGGCATCGAATATTTTGCAGCTGTATAATTTTGTAACGGAAAAGGTACACAGTTTCGATGAAATTTCGTTCATATTTCCCAAACGATATTACAAAATTTACAGCTGATGCCAGAATTCGGTGATGGAGTTTGGATATGCAGCACGGATATGCTTATTGAATATGCCAACTCTGCAAGTAGATACGGCATATTTCGTTAATTATTGTTGCAACATGCATATATTGTATTTGTCGCTGCGAACGATTTGGACAATATTTTGTAGAACTAATAAAAAGTATCGCTAGACCGGATGCTTGCATAATCACTGTCGGCGCAACACCTGAATATGCGTCATATCACGGGACTGTCCTGACAAATGAAGATGTGGGTGAGATTGGATCCGTGTTTGTTGATGTTTGTGGAGTCATAAATTGTGCACTCAGATGTTTTTTTTTATTTTTTAGGGGTCTGTAAAAGACATTCTCTATGCTGCTCAAACCGCGAGGCTTTCCCACTACGCCGTTGATGGTTCCGTTAAGTTAATCAGTGGAATTGTGTATGTTTCTCACGAAATCGCGGAACGGTTGTTGTCCCTTCAAGCTGCCCCTCCGCTGGAATGCTGCACTTATATGGGTTTCGACGTCGGCGCCCATCCACATCCAGTAACAGCATTTTTCGACACTTTGTAGATGTTATTAGTAATTTTTCTTCTTACCGTTGGCTTACGAATGTGTGTGCTGTCGTGTGTGATTCCGCAGTTTTCGGTTTGATTGCAGGTTTCTCTTTATTTTGATATTATCTTGGCGATGTGCAAAGATATAAGTGAAGGCGATTTCATGCATCGGTCCAGTAGCATCACACGGATGGACGCACGCGAGGGCGGAGATGCCGATCGGGATACGGCTTTCAAAGTGCGCCGCTTGATTTGGGATAATATGCGACGGTTTTCTCTTTACTCAGGTATGAGCTGTTTCTCAGCAAAAATTTGTATGACTGAATTGCAAATGTTGTAGCTCATGTCGATGATTCGGCTCACCATTATTTTTCCGTTGGACTTTGCCTTCAAGAGCATTTGAAGACGATCTACTTGAATTCCAAGTCGAAGGCTGTACATACGGTAAAATAACATTATACTCGCACGAAATATCTGTTTAGTTTCTGCAAAACAGTATTAGGTTTTGAAACCTGTAGGCCTGTTAACTGATTCTTGCATCATGCATGGTTGGGGTATTTTTGTAGGTTATCAGTTCTTCCCGTGAAAATAAACTGGATGAAGCTAAGGAGGAAATATACGCAATTAACACGTGTTTTTCAAATTCGCGTTTATATGAGGGGCCAGTTTATGCATTCAACTCATTTATTGATGATGGGTTAATTTTACAACCCAATACCTGTGTCCAAAATATAGACACGCGACAATCCGGAAATGCGGTGCGTTTGAGAAGTTTGACTCTTTCTTTCAAGTTATCTCCAGCGCTTGGTGTGGTTATAGATTTCTAACAATCTGACATTGAAATCGGGTTTATGCTTACAAGAGATCCAAATGATTCTGCAGTCCCAAACAAATACTAACATTCGAGTGCCGGTGGTTTACGGTATATCGGATGTTTTGATGGTAACTGCTCTATTTTTTGTATTAGAAAATTTGTCGATAGTTTTATCTGGTAAAATCTTTGCTAGGAGCCATTTCGCCCGGAAGGGAAATATTGTGGTTTGAAGTGGGACGAGTTTTTCAAAGCTACACAGTTAACCGAGCTTGATTTGTGGCCAGCAAAAAATACTAGAAAATCTATATGGACGGCAAAACTTTTTCCAGTTTTGACGTCTGCAGGCGAGCCCAAACTGGATGGGTTGTTCTGGGCATTCGACAACCTTACGAATAATCAGTTGGATCCAGAAAAGTATGATTATACTGTACCACTTTTTCAAAAATCTGTATGGTATCAGTTCTGACTTCATAGATGGAGATTTTCTTGGCGCTATTCCTTGGAAGAAATCTTTTTGAGATTGGACACAGCTGCTGAGTTTGCTTTGAAACGGTAGGAGCTGGTCTAGAAAGTTACTATCGACCTCGTTAGTTCTGTAGAATGAGGTTTAATGCTTGATTTTGCAGTTTCCTTTTTTACGATATTTTGGTGGAAAAGCTGATGACCGTTCTGAATCAGGGACAAGATTTTTATTTTGTACCATATTTTAATTCTGCTGTTGTGGATGGTTTCGCGGAAAAAATTTTGAATGCTTTGGATATGGGTGAGTGTTTCGGGCACTTCGGGAAATTCTTGTTTATATGTTTTTTTTACCTTGAATTGGACAATTAAATGTATATGCCAGTGTTTTTTTTATTAATGTGAAACAGTTCATTAGCATAACGAACTGGGGATTTTTCCGATTTTATATAGTGGCCGCGGGATCGTCGCATGGTGTGGCTGCACGCACTCTTAACCTTATTGGTGACATGATATCCAGCATGGCGCAAGGGCATGGAGGGCTGCGAAGTGGACCTGCAGCAAACGAGGCATTCCAGCATGCTTTTCAAGCGTTCGAAGTATACTGGATAATAAGCTAATGATTGTTTATTTGTTTGTGATTACATAAATTTTTTCAGAATGGTCATATACAGAGTGGTGTGTATCTTATGGCCAAGGAACGGAAAAGCTGGTTATCAAGGCCTGATTTGATGATTCGTTGCGCAAGGCATTACGAAGGAGCGTCCCAAATTCTGTGCCGAAAAGCTGTTGCTGCAGCCAAGCAGGTATATCGTATGTTTGGTTTTAATAGCAGGGGCAGTGAACTTTAAATGTCGCTACTGATCGCTCAAGTTAAAAGGGATCATCCAATGCTGACTTTCTGCGGTACCTTTCGAAAGTTGAAATTTTGTAATCAAAATGGTTTGAAATGCGTCTGGTTGTAGTTTATCAAACTGGATTCGCAAGAGCTCCCTCTTAAGTCGCCGTATACCACGTGGTTCATCGCAGAGTGCGGTGCGCGCATTGACCTTTCTGGCGGATGGACAGATACACCCCCAATAGCTTATGAAAAGGGTGGTGTGGTTGTCAACGCCGCTCTGCTTATTAACGGGAAGGTATGTGCGTAGAACTCATTTGACGAGAAAATACGTTACTGAATGCCTAATATATTATTTTTTGTCATAGCGACCTATTGGGGCAAAAGCTAGACGCACGCAAAGGTCTGAAGAATAAACCATTTCTTAATAATTGTGGCTTTATCCTGTGCTGGGAAGATTGGTCTCATTTTCATATCGGTTTAAAGGTTCAGCATTGTGCTGATAAATGAGTTTGCTGATAGTCTCGGAGGGAACGAACTGACACAGTTGGCAGATCTGAAGGATTATTGTATACCAAGCGCTCCTGGTAAAACAAGTATTGCTGTAACGTTTGTTTTTTAATAGCAGTTCTGTTATTATAGGGGCCCTACTAAAGGCGTGCATTCTGTTTGCGGAATTGGTGGATATGTATTCACAACAGTCGCTAGAGGATCAGTTACGATCAAAATGGGGATGTGGCTTTGAAATTGCCACTTGGTCGAATTTGCCTCAGGGTTCCGGATTAGGGACCAGTAGCATTCTAGCAGCAGCGATCATATCGGCATTGTGGTCAGTTGCGGAAAAGAAGTTCGATAATTCCGCTGTCATTCATGCCGTGCGTTGGCTGATGCTCCCGAGTAAAAATTTGTAGCAGTTCCATTTCGAATCGTTGGTAGGTTTTATGCGTGGAACAAATGCTGACTACAGGAGGCGGTTGGCAAGATCAAGTTGGAGGTGTCTATGGCGGATTCAAGGTCGGATCATCTCCGGCTGCGCTGCCTCTACACGTCAGTGTTCAGCCTATTCCGATTGGGGCTAACATTGTGGATGAGCTGAATTCGAGGATAGTTTTGATATATACTGGTACGATACAAGTTTACTTTTTTTGTGCTTTCTGTGATTCACATTTGCTTACCTGGGAGATGGTAAATCGGTTAAGAATGCATGGTATAACTGAAATCTGAAACTGAAATATAACGATGGAGTACTTGTATAGGAAAACCCCGCTTGGCCAAGAATCTTTTGCAAAACGTTGTAAGGAACTGGTATGCCAGACAGCCACATGTTGTGCGCACATGCACGGCCTTAGTGGATAACGCAAAAGAATGCATGGACTCATTGACAATGTGGAATTTTGAAAAGGTTTGAAGAAGAAACCATTATTTTCCACTGACAGTGGGGAGGGAAAAGCACTGATGTTTGTTTTACTAGTTCTGCTCCTGCATTGTGAATTACTACGAACAGAAAAAGTTAATGGCCGCTGGCACGGAACCGGCTAGTGTCGGAAAAATCATCGATGCTATGAAACCATACATATGCAGCCATACATTAGCCGGTGCAGGAGGTGGAGGATTTTTATTCTGTTTGCTGAAAAATTCATCTGATCGAGAAAAAATTGCTGCTCTGATTGGCAACATAAAGGTAATTCAGGAATCAATAAATTCTCGTAATTAGTTTTGCTTTTGACCGAATTATTGTTGCAAATTGCGAAAGCGTTTTTTTTTCGAAAACGCATTCTGTAGTATAATTTTACAGGGTGCAGAGGCTGCGGCGATTTATTCAGCATCCATTGATGAAGAAGGGATCAAAATTTTCACTGCCGAAGAAGATTCTGCGGCTAAATGAATTTTGAAATTAACTATCCAGAATGCACGGGGATATGGTTTATTTGTAATGTACGAAAACACTTTGCTCGAACATCACATTCCATTTGAAAGGTTGCTCACAAGTCTGACTGAAGTTGTTGTTACAAAATGAAATTTTATTGATTTTAAATGATTGTATTTCATTTATATTCCAGTGAGTTTTAAAAAAAGATGTACTTTTATGTGTTTCACGCTGCCTTTATTCTTGCGCAGTGCGATATCAGAACAAAAATCAATCTGTTATCGATAGGAACGAACAGTACGTACACGAGTTTTTACAGTACAGATTTCGAAACTGACTATCAGTAATTCAATCTGCAACCAAACCTGGGAAGCACTTACCTATTTTCCTACGAGTAGACAAGGAGTCGATATCAACTCAAACAGATGCGTATTACCATTCAGTGTTTATTTAGAGTAAATTTACAGTACATGTGACATTTAAAGGAAACTCAAAAAAAGTTTTTCATTAACATCCAAACAAACCGGACAGCTTTGCAGAGGAAGTCGATTCTACACCGATGTACGATGCGCCGCTCTGCATCAGGGCTGCGAAAGAAGAGCGTGAATTGTCGTTTTCTAAAACTCCGTTGTGCATTCGCGGATCGGATTTGCGATTTGTGTTTGGTATGGTTCCGCTAGCGGATGATGTAGATATTGCAGGAAGCGGTTTCATCCAAGAGTTTCCTTGCTCATTCTTAATCAACGCGGGTACTGTATAGCAAACAAGTGCACTTTGAATACAGCCGTAATTAAGGGACTTGAGCCAAACTAAAATTACATAATTTCAATGTCCAAATCTTTAGTTTATCGAACCGGCAAGATATGCTTAACGTTCTAATCATAATGATAAGACATGCCACATATAATCGTATAATATCATATACAAAAAGGGAAAACATACACTATTTTGCTTAAAGAGTAAACATTTTATAAAACTGAAATAAATTTGTTTAATATCCAGATACACTGATGCATGTCAGGGTAATACAAATAATACACAAAATTCTATAGTATGCAGATAAGTGGAGCAGGGAGTGGACAAGAACATAAAGGTTCATGCATCCAGATGGTGCCCAGTAGCATTCTATTGTGAAGCACTGTTATTCACCATTTGGATACTCATTACCCCTATCAAAAACGCATTTTATACATATGGCATGAGAATTGTGTACACTCAAAAGTACTGTATTGACAATTAATGATACAAACATCCGGCCCCTCAAAAAAGCAACGAATTTATCTAAGGTTAAATAACTTAATAACATACGTAACAAATTGACTTAACTGAATTACTGAATTCGAATTTTCTAGTTTCTGAAGAAGCTCTGATTATGAGCATTCGTGCTAATAGCCATGCGTACAGAATTTCAAAGAAAATCTTACTGCCATCTACTGGACAGCAAAACTTAACAAGTGCGTTAAAAATTATTATCCATACAAAAGTTTGTTGTTGCAGCTGCATGCATTATGATATATAATTCTACAAATTGATGTTGATTTTTATCACACTTCCACAAATGCAATTAAGGTGATATTATTGTAAAAGACTGCATGCAGGATTCTGATTGAATGAGTAATTGTACAATAGGTCTACTTTAAGGTCGATGTAGTTCTATATAATTATGAGTAAATAATATTCTGGAATGCACATACAGACTTCTTTTACCAATGTGAGTACAGCTCTTTCCGAACGAGCGCGCCAGACAAAACTGAGATATGCAACCAAAGCGTGTTTGTTTGGCTTACCGTCTCGGGTGCAAGAATCATTAATACTACGGGAGGGTTGTCCGGATTGCAGCGTATGTTTATCGTTTCCGGTGCTTTTAATAACAGAAATTGTGGCTGCTGTTGAGGCATCGGGCTGTAATGTTCCTGCCTGCGACTCGGAATCGCCGGTGGAAGATTTCGCAAAATTGTTAGGGTTGGAAGTGTCTTTGGTATCGTCTTCGGAGACGGGCGATGACATTCCGGAGGTGGTGCTTCCATTGGCAGTAGTACTGCTTTTTGTGTGCCGCTCTTGCTTACGAAACTTCGCACGACGGTTTTGAAACCACACCTAGAAATGTTTAATGAAGGTGTAACTCTGATCGGATTATCGAGATTACGGCACATACATAAGATACCAAATGGAGCTGCATGATACTCCTTTGGTTTTTCACAGTACACTCTTATTTGGACCGAGAAAATAAGTACCTATAGTACGAGGAACGTTAAAGGCCCGACAGTTTTCTCATACTTTGTTCAGTGATTTTGTATTTAATAAGATCATACGCACAATTTTCAACCTATCCAAAACGTAACCGTAGCATTAAAAGGTCAGCTTACTCCAGTTACGATTATTACGATTGTAATGCTGTACACCATACAAAAGGATACATATAATTTTCTTACAAAATATGTGCAACAGTTTAACGCACTTCGTGTACGCAGCAAAGTTACGTTGTATTAAATTTTTTCTCTGTTAATTTTTTTAAAACTGAATATCAGTCGGATTTGGGCAACTTCACAAAACAATTAGTATGGCTTTTGCGTTACATACATATAATTTAATCCTATCACACTTAACAATAAAAACTTTCTAACGCAGGTACTAGTTTATTTTGGAAAGGTCACATGCATGATCACATCACAGTGGTTGGTTCTATATAAGATATAATATAAGGCAGCATCCCTTCATCGGCCGCAAGTGGTAAATCCAAGTTTAGCATGTTAGTGTGTGCGTTCGCCTAGACTTACAACCGAACTGAATCCAATCTTCCAGACATAGTTAATGCCACAGGTAAGTATATCATTATACTTTGATTACTATTATTATTATCACTCTACAGTAGCCAACTCCTACAGTAGATGACACAAGTAAGTAATGTACTGTATATAACATTACGAACTGTTACTGCATGAGGCATGTTACAGTTACGAGGCTGTTACTGCATTATGTGATAATTAGTGCAGTACACAGTGATAAAACTGTAAAGGTCACCACAGAATGACGGACGCTCTTTAATTATGCTTACCTGCACTCTGGCTTCGGTCAGATCAATTTTCATAGCAATCTCTTCGCGAGTGTAGATATCAGGATAATGAGTTTCCTGGAATGCTCGTTCAAGTTCCTTTAATTGTCCACTGGTAAAGGTTGTGCGAATACGACGCTGTTTCCGTTTTTCATTCGGCAGCAGTTGCCCGGCCTGACTGTCACCGGCTACATGATGATGCACTGGATGCTGCGGCTGATGTGTGTGCGAATGCATCGAGTGCTGCAGCGCTGGATGGTGATGATTGGGATACATTTTATAAGAGGATAATCCTACAACATATTGGGAAGAATTTAATTTATTTATTATCAGATACGACATTGGCGACATGGCGTGGATCCGCCTACGTTGTTGTACACAGACACTTTGTTACAACAAATTGCGTTATGCGCCTCAAGAGAAGAACTGATAGAATCATAGAAGGTAAATTTCGTTATATGTCGGATAATTAGATATGTGTTAGGCGTAACCATGTTGGCGGGGTTAAATTAATCACATTGTACTGCAGCACAAACTCAGTTATGTGCTTTTTAATAATGGCGATTCGATTACATATTGTCATCCCCTTTAACTGGCTCGAGCCAATGAAGTAATCGAGGAAACAGAATTATTTTCTCGTCAAAGGTGCCCAATCGTTTATCTCGATTATCCACAAACCCCAACCGAATTAGGCAGCGACTAACCAAATTTCCTCAAATGTCATTAGGGGCACATTTTGTGACTATAATTAGATTTACACGTCCAAGTTGCACTGAATCAAATAATCGTTCACCTGCTGGAAAAACGCTGTCACGCGGTCCACGCGGCGCTCCAACCATGGCGCAATTGGCTGAACCCGGATATGAGCGCATGGAGACACTGGCGGCGGCGGCCGTTGTGTTGTACCGATACGCTGCTGCCGATGACATTTGCGCGGCATTGCCGCCAAAATCGTTATAACTGCACGACAATCCCATGTTGGCATCCATGCCGGGAATGCCGGATGTATCATATGCTGATTGATTTAAATAGGAATAGTCCATTTTGTAGGTATTCATCGAAGATATGTTTTGGAGGGAGAAGATTATCCGATACTCCACAATTATCAAGATATTTTTAAGAGTCAGCCGGCAGCCATAAATGCCGCACGATCGGCTGTTGTACACTACGAAGTTATACTGATCAGTGATCACCGATCAGCATGGGTTGGGAATTGCAATTGAATTTCGGAGATTAGCGATGGGAATAATAGAAAACAACTGATCAACGAGCGATGTACCGGGGGATGAAATGGACAGTTGACTTGGGACATTCCGTGTGTAATACACTGTGCACAGTATACTGAGCCGGGTTGACCGGTCGATAGTTGTCATTCAATATTCAAGCCGATAGTCGTTAGTGGGAAATGCATGTAATTTGATTAACTACTTGCTTTTCCTGGATTACTGCACTTACTGGTTGTAGGCTGAGTTGATGAGGAAGAAGTGGAACATGTCAAGTCGGCCAACATTGACACTTACTGCCGACCGCATATTTATCAAAGCTGTATATGCGCACTCTGGATGAACGCGGCGTCCTGTCGCCGGATGAACCAATCCCAATCTCGAGGCCACATCGTAGTGCGCATTAGTGAGCTCATATGATTTACCTCACACGCTGCCATGCACTTAACGCACACAAGTCTGCAAATAAACAAAAAAGCCACAAATTTGCACACCTAATGCTTAAGCAAAATCCTTGGTACGATCCACCAACGATGTCCTGGTTTGAAATTGTCGACAAAATTTGGCTGCCCAGTAGGTGATACTTCTGGCTCGCACTACGTAATACCTCGTATAATTAGCTCATTCTGTGCATCTTATAAATTTTTTCCGCATTTACATGCGGACTGATGTATTTTAATCAATGATACCCGAAGCTTATATAGTCGCCCATTTCACACAGAACTGTTTCTCGTTTTTTGTGCATGTCATATCCCAAACTTTTCGGGTGAGTTTAAAAGAAAATGTTGAGTAAGTTTGCTTAAAGCGTACTAATGTGCTATTATCTCATAAATATAATAATAATCATGGTTTCTACCGAGTACAATATTCTTATACGTAAATTACCGCGGAGTAAGTTTATTATGCAGAAATTTATCATGCAATCTCTGCATATATATACGTATTAGTTAGTGCAGACTACCGCCGTGCAACCACTTCGACCGGCAGTAACGTTATTTTTAATGTCATTAGTGGGAAAGTGATATAATTGATAAAACTAATTGTATAATACGTTCGTCATAATTTTAACATCAGTCTTTCTAAGTTTCTCTGTTTAACTGATATGCAAATTCTGGCGAACATTTTGTTAAGGTAATACCGAATCTTTTGGCACATCTTGCGTTGTAAGTATTGCATTTGCTGGATGTACGCACAATTGAGTACCGCGCGCGTACATACAGGCACTGAAACCAACAACTAAACGGCTATAAACACTGCTGGTGAGTAAACCGACAATAGTTATCACCGATCTCTAAAGCAGTGCTCCAATTTTGTCTCACAATTGTCCAATGCATCCGGCACTGTGCTAATTTGCCTAAGTGATTATTTGACCTTTCCATGCTAGTGCAAGCGTTTGTTCTTGGATGCACGTGCGCGATGGCCATTATTATCCAGCTTATGACACTTCATGAACATGCAAATTGATGCAGTACTAGTAAAGTTGTGAATTTAAGGCACGAAAATAAAATTTATAATTATTAGAATTTTATAACCAACTGGATCCTTTGGCGATCGCGATGCATTTGCACCAAAATTACTGCGTAAACAACAATATTTATGAATGCCAACCATTAATATTTATTGTTGCGTAATAATATTATTACAGATATCTAAGGTACAAGTATAGGTGGCCTATGCATGAGGCTATGATACAATGCTTTGTGGTGTACCATAGTGTCATTAAATTATACTACCTTAAGCTTATCATTTCTACTCCTCGTAATATTCTGAATGCCACTATTATTGATAACTAATTAATTAAGGTCACCGGTTGGTTAAGAACCTTCAGCGCCAGTAATACACAGTACCAACTACCAACTACTTTTCATTACAAAATTCTTATGAAATGTGAATTTGCTCTACCATGTTTTGGGCAGATTTCGCTAGAACGGATATTTATCAGCATCACCATTGCTGTTCAACTGACCGGCTGGAAGCGCGACAGATCTGAGATGTTTTCATAGAAAAGAAACAAACTGTGCACCGGCTGGCAAATCCCTAAAAGGCCCAGTAAATTTTCAATCAAGTTGAATAAGTTATCCTGTTATGGGGTATTCAGCGCACTTCATCCTGGTGTGGACAAGTGGTAAATGCTGTTTGTTTTGCATGGACAGTTACACTGCTATACAGCGATGCTGTCTGCTCCAGCGAACATAAATCCATATCGAACCGATGAGCCACTATATATCTTTAGAATGGCCTCACTCTATTATCCGCTCTCCAGTGTATTCAGAAATGCTGGTTGCCATACATCAGTAAGCTCCTGTAAGAAAGTGCAGTATCCCTTCTGTTCTGCAATTTATACAGCTATCCGATTATCGATCAACAGCATTAAATGTTCCCAAATGCACAGAGTTTTACAAAGTGAATCGCAATCGTACTTCCTACGGGAACATTTATCCATTTCACGAAACGGTGTACCTCCAAAACTTCCAGAAAGATATTACTACATTGCATTATTAAACTCCGCACGCAACCGCAACAGACAGACAGCTGTGGTTATTTTGGAAAACAACTAACGTAAATACTAACAAAAGTGACAAAAAATCTTAACAGAGAAATTATTACGAAAACAGTTCCTTTTCCGCGAACAGAGGCAGTATGCAGGCTGTGGAATGCACCCTCGGTGTGTAATATCGCAAATTCCATGTACTACCCGTATGTTCATCCGGTGCCCGCAGAGCGCTTCGAAAATTCGTTTGCTACAAATAGGAATATTTACGATGCATATTTCACGCTAAAACAAGAAAACAAACATACTGGATTTAAGCCGCAAAGAATTGCGCCAATCTGTCCACAAGGATAAGAAGGGATACTGATGCTGGCGTAATCCACTACAGGAAACAATTCCCGGCACGAATTCATCAAACGCTTTATAAAATCCAAATGCAACCATATACTTTCGCCTGAATAACGAAACAAATGCTAATGCATTTAAAACCAACCTAACAAAATAATCGAATATTTACCCTGAGAACAGACGATTCCACCAGTACGCAAAGCATTTTTCAAGAGTTGGTAGTATGCCGCACCAAATAAGCCTTCCGCCGGACCTGCAAACAAACGCCGCGTCACAGTATATGGGTTACACCACAACGATTTCCGTAAAGATTTCTGGAAATGCGCGATGTATGCTTTATCTTCACAAGTGACCAGTTTTTTCGGTGCCGAATTCCGAAAAACATAAACTGCAACAGTATAACAGATAACTGCTGCACAAACTCACACGGAATTTATCACCATACCATTCAATCTATCATTTAAAATTCACCCCAGGCCGTTTGAGGCTCTTGACAATTTAATATTCATCACACGAATAACTAACAGGTTTAGTAAAATAGTAGTATGACAAAAATCAACATTAATGTTAAAGTTACTGTACTTATACTGTTTTACAGCACAGCTTTTAGCCGAAGTATAGGAAAAATTTTTCCTAGTGATCTTACCAACAGGATCGGATGAATCGGTAATAATCACATCAAATTCCCCTTGATGATTTTTCAGAAACTCAAATCCGTCGCCAATATGGAGTTTGAATTTCGGGTGTTCGAATGCCGAGGACAAGGACGGTAAAAACTTCCGACTGACATTAATGACTTCTTCGTCGATCTCGCACTGCACGACACTCTGCACGCAGTCATGTTTGACCACCTCGCGCAGAATTCCGCCATCTCCGCCGCCAACAATCAGCACCTGCAGTCACAGACGGTAATGCTGGGTGACAACTGTCGAGGAAAGCATGCTCAAGCGAGAACCTTCACGCGATGACAGCACCTTCTGGGGATTCGGATGGGAAAACATGGGCATGTGCACCATCATCTCTTGGTACGCGAACTCATCGCGCTCAGTTACTTGGATCATTCCGTCCAGTACCAACACTTTTCCGTACGTTCGGCTGTGTGAATACAGAAAAAAGACACTGTCGAATCATGACATAGAGGGGGTGATGACACCATGTCAGAATCGGTAACGTATCGGTACCGTACTGCCAATGATAAACGATCGCAAAAGGTAAAAAATGTGCTTCGCCTATGTCCTATGTACCTCTGAAAAAGAAGGATGTCTTGGTACTTCGACTTTCTTTGGTCCAATACATCATCCATTTCCAACGAGAACGACTGGCCGGGACATGTCTCTTTGGATACTTCGGAGAACCATTGACCTGTTTTGCGCGATTCATCCATAATTACAGGTACAATCGTCGGAAAAACACTCAAAATCGTCGGACAAACACTCAATATTCATAAAAAAATTCAAAAACGATCTTTGGCAGAAGCCGGTTTATCAAAATTGATATGTCTAATTGTGTATCATCTTGTTTGGAAAATTTTCATGAGGCTGGGAGCTCACCACAAAATTTATTACCACTCCCGGCCGGAGGCGGTTGCTCACTGCGCCACAAGTGGGAAGTTGGCAACCGGCAACGAGTGACAAAAGCTGACCTCCCAGATTCCCAATCCAGGACCGAGCCCAAAGATACCGGAAACTAACGATACCTGCCTGGCTATCGCTTATCGCGGTACCCCTCCCGCGATCCGAACCAGCAGCGGCACAGGTCGAACAGAATAAAACCGCGAAATACTGGAACATGATGCGGGACTGTCTAAGTTTCTATTCTGTGCCGTGGGCCATCGATCTCCGGGAACGGCGCTACGCCGCGCTAGTTTCGGCTAGTTTATTTTTTTTCTCTGTAATTTGCGCAATAGACCGTTGTTATTCGGTTCGAAATTGTTGTGTTAAAGTAGAGTCTCAATATTAAATTACCGAACGAAAACAAATCACATAATTATTGAAATTCTGGTTAAAACAATTTTGAACTGAGTCACAATGGTCCATTACGGTAATATGGTATACACTATCCAGTTTCTACTTCCTAAAAAACAGTTCAATACAATTATGATCTGTTTCAGACTTTGCGGCAGTCTGCCATACGCACTTCACATGGCGACTTCCCACTCGCAGATTCAGCTCAAGAGTAAAACTACGTGGAAATGGGCCACCTGAGTTTTCGGGCAGCATATTTATAAGCGAATACAATATTATTCGTTTATTCTACACAGGGCACACAAATTCACCAAAGGTGCACGTGCAGACAAAGTACAAAAAATTAAGTATTCACAGACCTTATATGCATAGCTGCTACCGCTAGCCACAGTCCTTTCGTATAACAGCAAAATACCAGACTTCTCACCCCACAAAACACTTATGCTGCAACCTGAGAAACCACCCTGAACGACTGAACTGCATAACACAGGAGAAGAAATACTACTCACTGACGTGCCACCAACACCACCAACCGTCATCGGTTCCGAACATCAACATGCACACTACACGCAGAAAGGAAGAAAACTTCGCAAAACCCTCAATAATCCCGGAGCATCCGTCGCAGTCCCTCTTTCTGCGCCTCCGACATGGAGCGATGTTTTCGGACATTCTTGGGTTTCCACACATCGCTCTCCAGCAGAAACGGCGTTTTATCCTGGCTGGCCTGATATTTGCGGACGTACTTGACGACGCCGTCCAAATACCGTGGTCGCTGCAGATAATGCAGCGCTTCATGCTCCACCACCGTGCGCTGATCCGGTCCGCAGAAGGAGCACAGGGAACAGTGGAAGCGATTCTGCGGTTTATCCCAGTGCTGCAAAATATGGTCGGAATAATCCTCCTGAATTACCGTCTCAAAGGGGCAATGGCGACAGCGATAGATCTCCACGGTTTTCGAGATCACTTTCGGTTGGTAAAGATCAAAACTGAAGCGATGTCGATGCTGATCCATATGCGCCACCACGGTAGCGGCGTCGTTCGATGAGAAGCTGCAATTTGGGCAAGAATGCTTGCTGCGTTTCGTGTGGAACGGCATGTGCATGGAAAAAATGTCTTCCTCGCTCGACGATTGAAAACCACAGTGCGCGCACACGTAAATTTTTCCATCGTCTGTTGTCACGGCTTTCACGTAATCGGCGTGCTCCTTCGGAAAGCAGCGTGCTGGACTCTGTGTCCGCGCTGGTGAGCGCGCAGCATGCGCGATTGAATCCTGCGAACTGCAACGCGACAGGCCGCGGCTGGGTTTCGTCGGGCTGACTGGAGAAATCGGTTCCGCGACCGTCGCAGATTTTTCCACAATAATTAAGCTCGTTTTCGTGACTTCACCGGCAACAGTTTCCGGCTGCACAGGACAGGCGATGGTTTCGAACACCGCCAAAACCGTTTCCGTGGTATTTTCCAAAAGCAATGCTGGTTCCGGCTCCTCGCCAGAAGGAAGACTTGCCGTTTCCCCAGCATTCTCGGTATCTTTCACGGCCTGCAACAGCAAAATTTTCAAGAATGGCTTACCGGAATTCCGTTGCCTTTGAATTTTGATTATCAATGTCGACTATGCATAGTAAATTCTAGTCGTAAATATGTACCAGCTGCGTAGAAGTACCACCGCAGCTGTCCGTGTCTTCCGGATCTGGAGGAGATGGAACAACAGGAAACGCGGAAGAAACATGATCCAGTTCAGGCATGATGCTGTACGAATATAACGGTTTAGCGAGTATATTACTCCATGCAAACTGTAAAAACGGTGGTGTTGTTGTCGCAGCGTGCTGAAGGTTTGTTATGCGGCTCAGTCTTATTGCGATTGTGCTAGATCGCGCCTGGACTATGACCCATTTAAATTTTGCGTGTTTTCGATCTTCTTTACGTGTGTGTGACGTGATACTGCCGTGCAGTCAATGAACCAGACGATGCGGTTTCCATTCATTTGCATTCATTCATATGGATAGCCAATCAGGAAATTCTTTGAAAATATCTGTGTGTCTGTGGACATAAATATCCTTGGTGCCGCCCTAAGGCGTGATTTGTGTGTGAGTTTGCAAGGTAAAATTACAAGTTTACTGTCTGTTTACAACACAAAAAAATGCAAGTCGAAAAAACGATTACTTATAACTTATAAGTTGCAACTTACTTCAACTTTGCTTGTTTATTTGGATTTTCAGCTTTGAGTCTTTGACTAACATGTGGCAAGGTTTATTTGCGGGTTACTGGTGCAGTTATTGGTATCTTCTTTGAATATTCCCGCTTTGGTCCAGGATTGTCGTCAGCTTGGCGGTGAAATAGTTTTCTCTGAAGGTTTCTCCGTTTCTGTATTCGAGTTTGCTCGGTTGTAGCAGGAGGCTCGTTGCTCTTCTGGTACAGGAACTTAATATGACATCACCGGGCCGATTTGCTGTTCCTCTGCATCGGAATGCTGTGGTTATTGAAATTGGCTCGAAATTGACACGGTATGCTTCCAAACTACAACAATAAGCAGAGGATTGCGTAAACCAAGTGGCTCTTGCATGTTGGTTAATGAAGTACGAATAGTGAACTAATCGTAAGAACGTTCCGCCATTAATAATCCCATGAGAATGTTACCGGACAGTCCTGTTAGTTCCCGCATTGTTGTGCCACAGGCTTGGATTCGCTGGCGAACCTGCGCCCGCCGCAATTGTGCCAAGCTTGGGTCAAGTGGCGGAAGGCAGGGTTAGTGCAAACTCTTTTTTCAAAGTAATATGCGATTGCATATTGATGGTAAACATTCTGGAGACGCGTTTTGCAGAGAGTTGGAGTTACTGGACGTCGGGGTTGGTCAAGCTGAGCGACAAGAAGCACTTCGGAAGCTTTTTCAAGAATGCCTACTCTAGGTTGGATTTCTTTGGATTTAAAAGCCCTACGAATTTTAAATTTTTATATATTCGAAATATGACGAGCCTGTGTGGACTCACGTTTTTGTGTATTCCCTTTGTAGGATTCTGCTAACAAATTCAAAGGATCGAAAAGTGCTCGTAATCCTGAACCCCTTTGTTTCGGAAAAGGTGGAAAAAGCTATTTTGGATGTTTTACTCGTACACTTTGAGGTTTGTGAACCGGAGCTTTTTAGAGTTGATATCTTGCAGTTACGACTGAAAGTGGTTAATCGTTAACTGCACAATTTTTTCGTGGTTAAAGTGAAACGTGAAATTGTAGGTGCCATCTGTTGCTTTTGTCGCTCCTCACATGACAGTTTTTGCCGCTCTGGGAACACTGCACACTGGATTTATTATCGATGTTGGAAATACGACAAGACTGATTCCAGTAAATTTGCATAATTTAAACCTGTGACCATTTCGCAAGAAATTTGTTTCCTCAGGTTTGTACGAACACCGCTGTTGTGGGGCTTGGGAGAGTCTGCCGCACATGGGCTTCAGTGCACTTGTCAAGTAAGTACTTATTATACTGTAAATTCCTTCTGGAATGAGATGCACTGAGGGTGTTCGTCTTTTTGAAGGTATGTTGAACAAGATTTGCCCAAAGCTCTCCAGGTTGTACGGTCTTTAATAAATTCAGTGCCGGATGCGGAAGATACGCCTTCCGTAGTTCCAGTACAGGGTAAATAAATGCATCGTTCAGTTAAAAAAATTTACTAAATTTTTTCGTTTGGTTGCAACATTAAACTTATACTGTATGTATATTTTTGTTGATTTTAGCAACTGCAACTGAAATTTGCCATAATCTGGATATGGAGGACTTCACCCAAAATCTGATCGGTGCGGGGTTAAATCAGTGTCAGTCACTGCTTCTTGTTGTTACCTGACAGAAAATATGTTTTTGAATATAGACCGCTGGATACCGTGCACAATTTCGAAAAGGGCTAAAAAATTAAGAAACGGCGAAGCGTATAGTGAGGTAAACAATAATCTGTGTCGGTGCATTGTGATATAAAAGTATTTACTCCATCTCTGTTATTTTCTAGACATTTAAGGCTTTTCCGGATCTTAGACTGCATTTGAAAACAGGAAATCAAGTTCATGAGGTTGTTGTTTCTGGGAGATTTGTGTAAGAATTTGTAGTCTAAATTTCATCTGCAGACCTTCCATGCTATAGTTATTTTAGAGAAGAAATAATGGAGACCTACTTTGCTCCTGACACCGGATGGCCAGAATTTTCCCACGCAGATACTGGATTGTATTCTTCGGGTATGTGATGGTTGAGACGCAGTGTTACATCAAAAAGCACCACCTAATGTCGAATTTCCAGGATCTTAAACGCGAACTTTTTTTGCAGTGCCCAGTCGATCTAAGAACAGCGATGACGCAGAATATGCTGGTTATGGGTGGATTAGCCGAAATAAGAAACTTTATTCCACGCCTTAGCACGGAATTGTCGGAATTGGTTAAGGAAGAACCATATGCCACCAGGTTACCCAATGCTTCGTTTCGGTTCATCTCTACAGAAAAAATTCCTCCCAGTATTGTGGCATGGAAAGGATGTTAGTATGGCATTTGTTGCTTCACCTACCCTGACAGTTATTTTCTGGATGATCGCAGACTCAGTTTGAATTGTTTAATTAACTGCTTAACGTTTACAACTTTCAAGAGACAGTACTCGCATGTATAGTCCCCAAAATTTTTCGCACTTGGTGTTCTACACTCCGAATTTTCGTTTGGTCTTTTCAGGTAGCATACTGGGACATGCTAATTATTATCCGGATTGCATTTGGATAACTAGAGAAGATCTCATGCTGCGAGCTACTGGAAGTAACGCCTCGCATTTGTTAAAGGAGTGGTGCTACGTCGGTAAAGACCGTAGGGTAGTACGGTAGAATACGTTGCACAAACATGAGTGCATTTGTGTTAACTTTCAGTTTGACGTTGTCTTTCGTTCATAGATGTTCAACATTTTATCATGGTTAACGTTATCAAGTAAAAACTTAACAAGTGCAGGCTGTGTAAAATTGTAAATGGACGTATTAAGTGGCCGGTTATGTGTTGTAAAGTCTCAGCCAATCCGTAGATGCATTTTGCATTTCCGATACATGTTTGTACACCACGCAGCAACTTCATACGCCAAACATCGAAAATAAAGAGTTGTTATAAGGAGAGACATGCTGTTATAAAATTGATAAAAACTATCTGAAATCAAGACAAGAACCCTCATAAATATGCCAGTACATTATTGGTAATACTTAATATTGTATATGTACCTCTCAATCACAAATTCAGCAATAATATCGTATCGGTACGATAAAATGCAGAAGAACATAAAACGTATGCCCATTCGGTAAAACTGCCATTAAAATTAACTAAAATTGTTGTACGAGTGAAGTTTTGAATCGGAATGTTTATTCCAGTAGATCCAACTTTTGGCTGTCAGCTTCATAGGTTTTGCTGCACCTTTCGTTGCGGTGGTCGGTTTCAAAGTGGTGGCATCACCTGAAAGAAAAAGCTAATTTTTCCTTTCTGACACCACAGTCCAGATTCTGCATAGACTGTTTACCAGTCTTGGTCGTATCCCATGTGTCCCATGAATCCCACGAGGTGGTCTGATTACCTGCCTTGGGACTGCTGGCTGCATTCGTGGTCGGCTTCAGCGGCGTAGTAGCCGTCCTTCCCGTGGAATTATTTGGCGCTTTAGAAGGCGCAGCTTTAACAGTAGGCTGGAAACGAAGTGGAATTACACACGTGATGTACAAGCTCAAAACTATGATATTCGAATCAGTTTAAACTTACAACAACATCTACTACTTAGCCAGAGCAAACCCTTTATGGGGTTCAGAAAATTCAGCGACTTTTTCTGAATCTGTTGTACTATTTCAACACGTGCTATGTAACGGAGATAAAATTTACCTTAGCGGTGGAAGCAGGAACTCTGGAGGAAAATATATCTTCATTGTTCAAATCAGCGAACGGCGACGCATTGCTGGATGGTTTGACAACACTACCCGCAGGCGGTGGGGGCTTGATAATGGGGATGCCGGATTTCGGAGCCGCCTCGCTCTAAAGAAATTTTGCTCTGTAACTGATGGCGTACCAAGAAACTGCGATCACCTACGATAGGCGTGCTCCAGTCCGCATCATCCCATCCGTCGGCGTTTCCACTAACCGGTGACGTTATTGGCGCGTTGGGGAGGTTCGCTTTTGCATCCTGTGGCAACCGACAAATTTTCGGGTTTTGCCCCCATAAATTAGCCAGTGTTCATTTCATACTTGCAAAAATGACCAGTCATCAATGCCTTCATCCCACCCCGAAGAGGAGGCTGCGGTGGGTGATTTTCCACCCGATGGAACGGGAGATGCGGCCATTGGCTGCATGGGTGAGAGCTTGCTATCGTCGCGCTGATCAGAAGAGTATTTCAAATTTCCATTTTCTACGATGAGCGTACAATTTCAGTTAGTGGTGTTTCTTACCATGATTAACTACTATGAATCAAAGCAACACATAAAAAATCAGGAGAAATAAAGACAAGGCAATTACAAACGCAGATTCTTAGTACTTTCGCTTATCACATAATTTCACCTTCTCCTTTAGCTGCAATATTGCTTTGGGACGATTGATCTCCCGGCTTTCCTTTGTAAAATTTGGCCGTAAGTGAATTGACTGCCCATCCAGCCCAGTTAGCCGCAGTATTGATAACGTTTATGCTGCCAGCGTTCACTTTGGATTCTAACCAAACAGATCCATACGAAAGGTAAACAACGGCAAATTCCTCCGCACATGAAGTATTTCAGTACCCATTTCATCCTTTAATTCTGGTTTCTCGGAGACCTGCTCCAAGCGATCCATAAACAATTTGACGCTCTTCAAAACTTGATCACGGACTTCTTTCTCCGGATCCACAGAGCGCAACACAAGTGACGGCAACACACGTGTTGCAACGTCTTTCAGCGAAAAATATTCAAAGGTTACGGCAAATCCAACAGCACCGCTCACCCGGCAAGGAGGAAATGGGTCTCGCAAGGCACGCGAAAACGCTGATACTAGCACCTTCAACCGCACCTAAGGAGTACAGTGCACAACAAAAGAGTCAAAATCTGTACATTTAAAACAGTAAATTTTAAAATTGAACTAAGAAACGAAAAACTCACATCTGGTACCAAGCACGGCGCCAGCTTTCCAATGCAAACGGTCGTGTTAGTTCGTATAGCACCCTACAAGGAAAAATGAAATGTGTGTTACTGCCCATCGCTTCACAATATTAAATCAAATAGGAACTATATTTTGTAGTAACATAAAATTCGTACCTGGTCATCTTTTGCTTGGATCCTGGCAAAATGCTTCATCACTTCTTCGTTGAGATTTTTTGAACTGAGTTTAGGAGCAAGCAGAACAATTGACTACAAAGCAAATCACAGCCTTAAATACAGTTTTATAAATGCGCATTTCACAAGATCATGGCGATGTTGATGTTTTCTTACTTTGACCGTTTCTTCTCTGATCGCTGGATTCGTATCAAGAAATCCATTAGCAACATTTGGAAAAATCTGATTGTTTACAATCGACGAACTCAGGTGATCAATGTAAAATTTCATCTGAAACAAGAATAATAGTCATATTTTTGACCCAGAGCGAAGATATTGTTACAGGTCAGCTGCCCTGCAATTTAATTCCAACAATCAAAATACCATTGATGTCTGTCGTTGTGATTACGGCCTATTTCCGGTACATAGAGAATTTCAGGAGTCGAAATGTATAACAGAACAACGCTGACCACAGCAGGACTAACGATTGCATACTTGTTGCAAAAGCTGCATCCGCACAGCGCGATCCGTGGAAGAAAACTGTTTTATAACTACTGGAATGATTCGCTTTTGGTATTCGTCATCTTTCAAACCTTTCCCGAGCTAAAAGTGCACAAAAACAGATACTGCGGGTATGCGATAGCTCAGTTTTATTTCTCCTTTGTCCCTAACCTTTAGCAGTATAGGAAGAGTTGAGTTATCTGTTGGTCCAAATTCGAACGTATTAAGGAGTTGTGGCAGAACTCGATATGTACACACTTCCTCTGGCAAGGATTCTACTAATTCCACAAGCCTTCCGAAAAACCTAGTCTTCTCGTCCGGCGACTTCAGCTAAATTAAGATCAATAAGAGTTACTTATAAATTAGTCGACCAACTGTAGCAGCGAACAAACCAACAAACATTACAACGGGGGCTCAAACACATAACAGAAAACGTATGCTAAGCGTATTTAACAAAACCTGTACTTCATCAATCATTACCTGTACTGATGATCATTACCTGTACTTCATCAAGAAAATTCATCGCATCGATAACCGGATTCTGGAAGAAGCCGCGTCCCGTTGTACAACGATTAATAAGTTCTGTCGGACTAATCCGCGCCCTGGGATCGGTCGATATTAACGATGGATAATGCGGGCGAAGAGACTCTGGTAACTGAAAATCGGCGAAAAATCATCAAAAGCACTGCCAACTGATATTTACGACAGAATCACACTTAATCCAATGCCTTGTCGAATTACGCATGTACATTGTGGAGTTGCTTCAGGGCGTCTTTGCTGGGCACATTCCCGTTGAAGACTTGATAAACAAGGACGCCGTATCCCCAAATATCCGTCGACCACTTCTCCCCATTCTTACGACCGCCTCCACCGCGCGTATATTCCGGTGGTTCGACATAATTTTTCAGGCTGTTCAGCGACGGAGCCGAGTCGGATTCGGCTGGAGTGACGTAATCCAGACCACCCAGTTTCCATTCGCCGGCTTTGCTAACGAACACCGAATTGACGGAAACATTATGGTGCGCGAGATTGGCCGTTTCATTGAGGAAACTCAGTGCTTTCTGTCACAATGAATAAATGATCAACGAAACCAGTTTTAAGAAATCGACAAGTCTAACACCAAAACATTTACACACAGAAAAAAAGAATACAACTTACCGCGATTTGAAAAAGTCCCCATGCTAATAAATGATCATTTTTCTTGGTACACTTCAACAAGTATTCGGATAACGGTGTTACTGGCTCCGTCACAATATAAACAATTTTATCTGTCTGCAAAAGAAAACAGTTGAGGTTGTCTGTGTTTGCGCTAATGGAAAAAAAAGAAAGCAGTTTTCGCATACCTCTAAACCATCGACGTAAGTTAAAATATTCGGATGGCGCATTGTTTTTAATCGCTTCAAGGATGCTTTTGCGGCAGATAACTAAGCATGTAAAACATTATACAGCTAGCTGCAAAGTTAACCACATATACTAGCGACAACAGGAGCGCACGTACCCATGATTCTCCTTGTTTTTGAGCATCGTATACGAAAATGGAAAATTCTTCTCCACTTCCCTAAACAAAACACAATTTTTTTATCCCTTTTTCAGTGCTCTGTGGGATCGACCAGCCGAACAAAAACCTTTTTAATCCCTTTATGCAGAGTCCAGAACGAGCATCCAGAATACGACAGGACAACGTCCTGAGCCTCGTATTCAAACGCTTTGATAGGATCTCGCGAGAATATCGACGAAAACATTCCCAAGCCAAATTACACTAGCCTTGAGGTAAACACGCAAGAAATAGAATAAAAAACGGGTGTGATGCCAGATGGTAAAATTATGAACTCATAATCACATCATCAAAGCCAAGAGCTTGTCAACGTGGATTGGAGATCCTACAATGGTGGCGACTTTCCAAGGACATAAATATGTAGTTTTAAACTACGCAGCAAATTGCAGAAGTATTTAATAGATCCAACAGTATGCCGTACAGATTTTTTAAAGAGAAAACAATCACAAAAAGTTAATTTTTTGGTAAATTTTAACGAATTATTTATTTTACATGCATGCAAATTGTAAACAGACCAGATGTGCAGCTTGAACTGGTACGTATGAGCATTGTGCAGTACTTTATACAGTACCTTAATAGTACTTTAAAAAAGAACAAGTGCGGTGTGACGTAGTGGTGTGTAGTGTGTACTTACACTGTTACACACATAGTACGTCATGTCTTCCAGTTGATGCAGTATAAAAGTCGTTGCCGGAACTCTGATCGTTTGAGTAGAGTTAGTAGAGTTCCCATTTTCGGAGGATTTATATTTTATTTTTCCGTTTTCGGCTTTCGAATTTCGCGAAACGTGCGGTTATTGTTGGATACGTGGACCCGGAATAGGGTTACTTAACAACACTTCAGCAGCAGTTAAAACAATCTTCTTTGATTTACTAGTGCGTGCGCTGCCAACTAATTCGTCGCTTTGATCGTGGAAGTCAGGAAGTGGAAAAGTTAAACATCCCGGAATCGCTCACTTACGATCCCTCCATCGAACGCTTGCACTGATCACTGGATGATTTTGCCGTAATTATGGATTCGGTGCCTACAGCAGCCGTCGCGGAGCGCACATTAGCTCAGGTGAGTCTGTCGTTTAATGCCGCACGTAATTATTGTGCAGTGCACTTAATTACAGTACAGTATTCTGATTTTGCGTAACGTTAGGAAAAGGAAACCGCAGGGCTGGAGCAACAAGTCGCAGATATGAAAAGGTCTGTGGACGCTCTAGCAAATGACGGATCTTCCGGCGATATGGAGAGCCTGAGTGATACGAATGCTCGTCTCAAGTTTCGTATGGCGCATTTACAAAAGGTACAACGACACTTTTAGTTGAACATTGATTTTGTCAAATATTGTAAGTGCTTTACAATGTAATTAATAATTAAAATTTCATCTTTTTCTTGCGATGTTATTACAGCGCTTCGAAGTCCTTACTTGCTGCCATTTTACTGATTTTAAATTTTTAGGCCTTAGAAAGCCGAGAATCACAGGCCTCAGCGGAGTCGCATACCACCCGAAAACGACTGGAAGCGTTGTTCCACGTCGCGGTTTTGTCGTGCTATCCGAACATTGAAGAAATTCCCAATGCCGTCAACGCCTGTGATCCCCGCCATGGAGATTACCAGTGCAACGATGCTATGCAAATTTGCCAGGTAGGATTTCGATGAATAACATACCGGATGGGCTTGGCCGTTGGTGCATTCCTCAACCGGCGTAAACATCGATATCAGCATGATGCAAGAATTGTTTCGAATGTGCTCATTCCATTGTTGAATGACGTGCCTAGCCTTGTGCCTGTGGTTAAGATTATTCAGGGATATTGTTGCTGTCGATGTGACATGTCCCCTAAGCTTTTAAATACGACAAAGATCCGAAGTTATGCCTAAATCGAAATCTTTGCAGTGGTTGAAAAAACAAGGAATCAACGAAAAGCCGAATCTTATCGCTCAAAAATTGTTGGACAACCTACCCAAAAATAACTTGATCGCATCAGTAAGTAAAAACATTTTTCAACAATTGCATTACCTGTCAAAGAAATTTCAGTATTGCACACGCTCATAATTTTGTGAGGTGCTCTTGCCTGAAGATTTCTTTTACCATTTCTAAAATAACCACCGCCATACATCATGATACGTACTTATTTTTAAATTCAGACTATAACTTCTTTATTCTTTCAGATTGCTAAAGGTTTTCATGCACATTTCCGAAAGTTTTATGCTTTATGTTTTATGTTCCACCGTGTATAAAATGTTTTAATGAATGTGCTTACATATTGTATTGCCTATTTTGCAAGCGATATGGCCAAAAACGGAGTGATCTGGAAATTGAAATTTATGGAAATTTTGCAGAGTAAAGTTGCCCCTGCCGGATTTATTAATGTTGATCTGAACAAAGAGTATGTCGCGGATCAACTGACAGACTTAGTCAAGAAAAATTATCCGCCTCCTACCCTACCAAAAAAACAGCGCGTTGTGGTAGACTATTCTTCGCCGAACATTGCCAAGGAAATGCATGTCGGTCATTTGAGGTAAGACTGCAGGTAGTCTGCAGCATCGACTGCACACGCAGAATTGTTACTGTATTTTAGAATGTTGGTGCGCTTTAACCTGGCTGAACTAACACTAAGGATACAGGATTTGTGAAAACTTTTAACACAAATGGCTAACGTTTGTGCCATTATATGCAGTGGTAGTTTACGAGACTAGACTACTGCTGGCAGATCCACAAGTTGTTTTGCAGATCCACAATTATTGGTGACAGCATTGCAAACATGCTAGAATTTGCTGGTCATGATGTTCTGCGACTTAATCATTTGGGTGACTGGGGAACGCAGTTTGGAATGTTGATCGCACATCTGGAAGAACAGTTTCCTGATTATCTGACGGTATCTCCTCCTATTGGTGACCTGCAAGCGTTTTACAAAGTACGAAAGTGTTTTTTTGCTGTAAAATGTTGTGATATTTTCATAAGCGTAAATCCTTTTAAATAAATGTTTGTTGTGGTGTTGGGTGCTAATCATTTATAGTTAGCAATGATTATTTATAGTTTCGCAAACAAAACATACAAATTTCTGTAAAACCTAGTCACAAAACCTTTCACCAAGTCCACGTACTGCCCTTTGCACTCCATGTCTAATTCAAATTCTTTGAAAGGAATCCAAAAAACGTTTTGATGAAGATGCTGAATTTAAAAAGCGAGCCTACAATCGGGTCGTGCAGCTGCAGAGCCATGTGCCGGAAATCACGAAAGCATGGCAGTTAATCGTCAGTGTTTCGTACCAAGGTTGGAATCACGCTTAATATTTGTATTCCTCCGGCAGTCTGACGTTGACTTTGTGTTCTGCAGAATTCACGAAGGTTTACGAACGCCTATCTACCAGCAAAAAACTGCAAAACCGGGGTGAATCATTCTATCAAGATCATATGGTGGATCTGGTGAAAGAGCTAGATGGGAAAGGTGAGGTTGAAAATTTTTAGGTAGATTGACAATTTTTTTCGGTCACGCTTTTTTCAAATTAGTTTTCAGTTTGGAAATTAGTATGCGAATTTTTGAATTGTTTTGCGTAGGTCAAATGACTGAAGAAGAAGGAAGAAAGCTTCTTTTTTGTTCCTGGAGGACAGATTCCCTTGACCATAGTGAAATCGGATGGTGGATTTACTTACGATACATCGGATTTAGCATGCATCAAACACCGACTACAAGTTGAAAAGTGTGATAGGAACCTATACGTGATTGATAGCGGACAAGAGTTGCACATAAATTTAATCATCAAAGCAGCAGAATTCCTCGGATTCAGCAAACCTGAACAACTGAGTCAGTTCGTCGGATTTGGACTTGTTCTGGGAGAAGACAAGAAAAAGTTTAAGACTCGATCTGGGGATACCGTTCGCTTGGTTGACCTTTTGGACGAAGGTACTGAACATTATCTCATTTTGTTTCCGAAGCATGTACAAAGTGCCCTTCGCCAAAATCTATGTGTTAACGCTAGGAGTGAATCGTGCTGCCGCAAAACTGAAGGATAAAGGTCGAGATAAGGATTTGACGACGGAAGAATTTGAAGCAGCACGAGATGCTGTTGCGTACGGGTGCATCAAGTACGCGGATTTAAGCAATAACCGAACGAGTGATTATGTGTTCTCTTTCGATAAGGTGAGACGTGTAGCCCTCTCGATTATATTCGAAATGGATAAATATCAAATTCAAACTAAATTCAGTGTCGTGACATTGGTAACAAAACAGACTCTGGTTTTCGGGAATGCTCAGATTGCTTGTTGCTTAACTGAAATATCTTTTCTTTACAAAAACTTTCTACATTTTTAAGAATACCCTTCATGGTTACTTGGCTTTTGAATTTTTACGATTTTGTTACTTATTGTTCTTTCACTGTTAGATGCTGGATGACAAAGGAAACACTGCGGTGTATTTGCTGTACGCATATACTCGAATTCGGTGAGTATAGTCTACTCTTATTGCGTATACGTTGCATGTCTAATTTGAGTGAAAAGCCTGACAGCGATATCACAATGATTCTGTGGATAACTCCAGATCTTTGCAGAGCGATATCCCGAAATGCCGGTGTTTCACCTGATAGCTTAAAGGCATACGTGGAAAGCGTTGAGCAACTCCCATTGGACCATGCTAAGGAACTTAAACTGGCGAAGAAACTGATTCAGTTCCATGAAATGCTGCTAACCGTGATGGATAACTTGTTGATGAATCAGCTGTGCGACTACATGTATCAACTGTCGGGAGTGTTTACCGAATTCTACGACAACTGCTACTGCATCGAAAAGGATAGGAAATCAGGTAATACAGATAAGTAAAGTTCGTGCCGAAGATTAAAACGGATCACCAAATTTTTTGTAACAGGGGAAGTTCTGAAAATCCATATGCATCGTCTGGCTCTATGCGAGGCAACCGCTGGAGTGATGGATCGGTGCTTCCAGATTCTGGGGATCAAACCAGTCGGAAAGATGTGAAGCTGTGCTATCAGAATAATATATTCCCTGATTAACGCATCAGTTTTTTAATGTTTTCTAGTAAACGCTCTTTCAAGAGTAATAAAGCTAACGCTCTTTGGTGCCGTCAAATCAATAAAAACAATCAAAAAAGAACAGCTACAAACGTGATGCACGCAGTTTTTTCAGGCGATAATACAAACAAAGATATTTTATTGTTCCAGTGAAAACTAAAAAAATGCACCGATTTGTGACTGGCGACTCAAAGCGTCTTCCAAAGCTCTGCGGGAATGCATTATCTAAAAATTAAACAACGTGGATACCAGCTAGACATGTGGTATGGTCGGGCTAATGTGTATTATGTACCTTTCGTTTTTCGAGAAATTTTGGTAAAAACGAATCCAAATCCAACTTGCCTGCAGAACCAACGAGATATGAAATAAACTTGACATTTGACAAACGAAACTGAGGTTTCATTAAGTACTGTTAAGGCTACGCACCAGCTAAAAAATCCTCTGCAGTTTCCTCTGATTCATTTTCGGCACTGGCAGCAGCTATTCGGAGCTGGTCTTGGATCATAGAAGGCTCGTACTGTCGCATAACGCCTTCCTGTTTCCGTTGCAAATCGTCGAATTGTTGCCGCATTTCACCACCAAGTGAATACTAAAAAAGTCGTCCAAGGTCAACCGCTAACAGCGCCTTTGAAATCGATAGCCATAAGAAGAAGAGAACGCTTACGTACCTTTTCAAACAGATCTGACTTTATCTTTTCCATATCAGTTTTGCGCGTTAAATTCTCTTCCGCCAGCCTACGATTTGATTCTGACAGCCGATCAAACTCATCACGCAGGGATGCAATCACTGGGGTTTTAGCGATTTTATTCAACAGAATTTGTTCGTCCCTGGTATCGAGTATGGCCTGCAGTTCCGCATTGCTAAAGAAAAGCACAGTTAAACTTAACTATTTGGGACCTGCAGTCGTCGCAGCCGACACCACCTCATATTTTTCAATTCAGGAAAATTATCCCCAACGGAATTAAACATCGATTCCTGATGGCGGAATGTCTACACCCAAACAAACAATGAATTAGCTGCTGACTAAAACACAGCTCCAAACACAATGAATCATACCGAATGCATATTGTTTGTGGGAAATACGCTTGGGGAATCTGAGCGGCGCGGCACGGGTGGTAGGACGAAAGACGGAAATGAATTCATACTGGCATTTGGATACAAGCTGGGCATGCTCTCGGAAGGACTAAAAATAAGAACACAATGAAATCTTATTGACAAACAATAAGAGGAGGTGAAAATTATTAAGCTTTAGTAATAAGTAGTTATAATTGTGATACCGTGAATACGAAAAATGCTTCAAAATTCAAAATAGTCACGTTAAACAGAAAAAGGATGACATCCGCAATTTTTTACGAAGATAGAAATTTGTTATAAGTAACACTGGTGACTGGAGCATATGGACATTGAACACTACAAAGATATCACACTAATGTACGGGATTTACGCAAGCGACTATTAAATGCATAAACCAGTTGACACATGATATCACAGAAGAGTAACATTTCATTGTGTATCATTTCACTGTGGTAGTACACTCTTATCTCCGACGTGCTTTTTTCCCGGTCACCTCAGGGCGTTTCGACTTACGGTATGTCCCTAGGCATTGAGGGAGGATTCCTTTGGAATTCTTCAACCAGTTCCTCAATCAATCGTCCCAGGTCAGAATGCATGTTGAACTGCGTAAAACACAAACCATATTACGGAGAAACTGAGAATTAAGTGAAAATTACAGTGTTATTACCTTATCTTGCTCGTATATACAATCACAAATATTAAAATTACTACTATGACTTTTATGAAACAAACTTAGTACAATACTCTTGGTAACACCAAGACAAACAACAGAAGCGTCAACACAACATACTGCAAGCAGACATCCCGGAAGACATCTTCTCGTAAGCAAAAATATTAACGTAGCGGTGGAATTTAGATGAATTAACTGACATTACCCACGACGTACCGAAGTCAGCTTGGGCCACTTGATGATTCCACTGGGATCCACCCAGGGATGCGTTCCTCGTGGATTGAGACGCAACATCGGCGGCTCACGCGGAAACATCACAGTCAAGTTTCTAGAGGCAAACAAAACATAACCCGTAATTTTCCTGACTTAATTTTTTCTTGTATACTGGCGAGAAATGAGGATACTCCACATATCAATGAAGAAGGTTTGTGTGCCAACACTGAAAGGAACTCGGTACGAGGAATCACGTGTAACCTCTAAAATGCTGCAATGAAGTGAAACGTCAGGAATGGACACTTGTTCATCGTCTGCTGGTCAAAAGCGCCTTGTATCGGCTACGCCGCATGTTCCATGTCAACCAAACCATGTGTTAAGTAATCGTAGAAAACCAGCTATATTCTGGACAACAATACAACATACTTGCGATGTTGCTGTCGCAGCGCGTCGATCTGCTTCTGACGCTGAGCTTGGTGCGGGGAAACCTGAGCTTCTTCGGGCTTCTTACTCCAAAAATTGGAAAACAAAGACATTCTGACAGGGTGGTCGCAATAAAAGTAAAGGATTTCTAACAGCTGCTGATGTATCCAACCGTTGTCTTTCTCTTAAGGAATCCCCACCGTGAGATTGAGAACCAATAATTTCAGACACGTCAGACTAGTCACCAGTGACTAGTCGTTCACTAGTAAATCACTTTATGCAAATCCAACAGCAGTTCACAATGTTTAGAAAAGGGGACTTCACCAGCACGCAGATCGTCCACATTCCACATACGAAAGACTATGCCATTGAGGCGTCGATAAACTCAGCATAATGAAAAAATATAATCAAAATTCTTGATAAAGCGATGATTATGAAATATTAGAAATAACAAAAGGCACTGTTGGTACTGCAAGCATCAACATGCGACTTCTAAGCTGGTCCGAAAGAAGTCAAAGAACTGAAAGCTCACTTGTCAGCGGAAACGTTCGAGTCGTACTTTCGTAGTTTGTTAAATGTCAACACGAGCACAGTAGTACTGTATACATTTATCATAGAGACATCTATAAATCATTTAAAGAAAAAGAGCAAAACTTTCAAATTAAATTTAAATAAAAGTTGCACTGTTCTGAGTTATAATATTCATCGTCGCAGAAGCAAACTGCGAAAATCAAAAACGGCAAAAATAGCTGCTGTTGGCTTCCTGTTTAAACCAGTTAAATGTGCATGCCACACGATACTCCGCCTACCGTACATTTTATGACGCACTCAGTAGTCCGTACACCCAGAAAATTCCGTATTTTTTGCAAAAAAACACACAGTTCGAAAGCAATTTGAATTATCTGTATCTGTTTGCACAGCGCTTTTTCTCCTATTAAATTATTGATAATACTCCCCGCTACCATTAATTTTAATATTTACTTTTGCAAAATATATATTATGTGCGTGATCATCATACCGCATACGCGACTGTTCAGTCTCGACTCTCGAGATAATATGCTTTGCTGAATTCGAAATTTAAATAACTCGTAATTTTGTAAGTAGTATTCCAGGCCGAGGTGCAAGTTGATGCAACTACCTCGTATCCTGTCTTATCTTGCGAGAGTTATTATTAGGTAAACCTCGATACGTTTTGCATTTAATTACGAACATGCTGTCGCGGAGTATCCTGCAGCGCGGTGAGTATTTCCGGGGCACTGTTGATAATGCGCACTGCGACATTTTTCTCATGCAGGCCTAACCCTCTCCCAGTTCAGAGGACGATGTGCTGCTAGCCTGCGCTTCTTCGCCAGCGAAGCAGAAGACAAACAGCCAGCGGAGAAGAACGACAAGACCCCTGGTATCACAACCCACTACTCCGCTCGGCCGCGTAGCAAGGATCCGCGATGGGAAGGTTAGATTTTGAGTAACGCTTCTTTGGTGTCGTTATACAAAGAGTTGGCTGCGGGCAGGCGTGGATATGGAGCGTGTTTCGGACGAGGCCGACGTGGTGATTGTCGGTGGCGGTCCAGCTGGGATGGGCTGCGCTATTCGACTGAAGCAGCTGGCCCAGGAACGCGGCCAAGAAGTGCGAGTGTGCCTCTTGGAGAAATCAGCTGAAATTGGTGAGTCTGATTTCCGCAATTCAGCTATCGAAAACATCGTTTTCGCCTTTTCGGTGTAAATGTGAAGTGATGTTGTCCCAATTTACATGAGAAGGGACTGTGCACAACACACTCATAGCATTACCACGCATGTAAATTGGGACAAATTCTTCATTTGATTGGTATCATTGAGCGAAGCTCGCTGTATACATATTGAGAGATTAAAGTATGAGTGATGTTGTTATTTTGTTGTATTAAGTACATAAATTTTGTTGTTAAGAGTCTCAGTCGGTTGCAGTAAATCTAGTTTCTAAGTTTTTCTTTAGATTCTTTTAACTTCGTTGTCGATTACCATCTCCATTTTTCATGTTTGATTCGCTAATTTCGTATGTACCAGACTACCGTAACTATTGTAAAAATAAAATATTGTAAATCGACACGACGACATCCAATGGACCTTTTTATTTTTAAGTTTTTGTTTGTTTTTTGTAATACTTGTTTGCAATATCATGCTCAAAATCGTGTCACCGGGATAAATTAATAACAGGATAACCATTTTGTAAGTAACCTTTATAGGCGAATTTGATAATCGCTGTAAGTTTTCAGGACTTTGGTTACTTTCGGACGTTTCGGTGCTGAATGCTGATAACCATTCTTGAATAGGCAATCATATCTTATCTGGAGCCTGCTTGGAAACGCATGCGCTGAACGAGCTGATCCCCGATTGGAAGGAAAGAGGCGTAAGCTGTCCGCAGTGTTCCTCTGTGCTTCCTGTTTGCACCGCTTCCGTTACCTTTTCAGGCCCCCTTACATACCCCTGTCACCAAGGATAGGTTTTATTTTCTTACAGAGAAAGGAAAGATCCCCATTCCGATTCTTCCTGGTTGGTGCAGTTAGAGTTTATAAGTAGCAGTACTTTTACAAACTGCTTAAAATATGTTTTCACCATGCTTTTCCACAGGCTTTCCGATGTATAACCATGGAAATTATATAGTTCGTCTTGGAAATTATGTCAAATGGCTTGGACAACAAGCGGAGGAACTAGGCGTTGAAATTTACCCCGGAACCCCGGCATATGAGGTTAGAAAGGATTTTTAATTATTGCGCTAGAGCGTCACAATTAAATTTAGCATTCATGGAGCGTCTACAATTTTATAGTGCTTCCTAAATCTGTTGAACTGCATTAATTATTTCGCTTCTACGTGCAGGTGTTGTACCACGAAGATGGAAGCGTAAAAGGAGTAGCGACGAATGATGTGGGAATCAAAAAAGATGGATCACCTAAGGTACAAATGTCTGACTTGTAAGGCAAATTACTTTCGCGATGCCTTACTTTTGCATGCCCTGGCAGGCTAATTTTCAACGCGGCATGGAACTCCATGCCAAAATTACCGTCTTTGCCGAAGGATGCCACGGGCATCTCGGAAAGTCTCTTATACGCAAATTCAATCTTCGTGCATATTCCGAACCACAAAGTTATGGCATTGGTTTGAAAGAACTTTGGGAAGTGGATCCATCTAAGCATGAGCCTGGCCTGGTGATTCACACCGTCGGATGGCCTTTCGTAAGTGCATGCGACTGATGCAAGTATACTCGTATGCGCTAATATGCGCTAACTAGAGTTTACTAAGAATTTCTTTTGATTACACTCACTGGGTTTTTTGTTTTTTATGAACCTTTTTTTCGAAGTTCGCAGTAGATGTCCCGGCTGCTTTGCATTGGCCCCAGTATGTTGCGCTTTCTGTCTTTTTGCTGACGGAATGCTTTTCAGGATCGCCATACTTATGGTGGAACGTTTATGTACCATATGAATGAAGGCAGTACACCGTTGGTTACGCTGGGATTGGTTGTGGGTTTGGACTATCAGAACCCGTACCTGAATCCTTACAAGGAGTTCCAACGTTTCAAACACCATCCGGCCATTGCGCCTTTCTTGGAAAATGGCAAAAGGCTGCAGTATGGGGCAAGGGCATTGAATGAAGGAGGTCTGCAGGTACTATCTTTCAGTCAACGTGTGAAACGAAAATTTTTCTACTTGAAATATACGGGTATGTTGTAGTCGATACCCAGATTGACCTTTCCGGGCGGATGTCTCATCGGATGCGATGCCGGCTTTATGAATGTGCCCAAGATCAAGGGAACTCACACGGCTACCAAAAGTGGGATGGTGGCTGCAGAAAGTATTTTCGATGTTTTGTACAATCCGGAATTTAAAACCGAACAAAACACACAGGGTAATTTTAATCGAAAAGTTCTGGTTAGTAGTTACCCAACTTATGTAATTCCGAAACCCATTTTGCAGCTGCCGATCCGATGCTTTATGAGGAACGTCTGCGAGGCAGTTGGGTATGGAAAGAGCTGCGTAAGTCGCGGAATGTGCGGCCTTCGTTCCATTCACCTTTAGGAGTGTACGGAGGCCTAGCGTACACTGGATTGTTCTATGTTGGTCTTCGTGGTTTGGAACCGTGGACGTTTGCGCATGGAGGTATGGCGTAGAGCAAGTACATAGAAGTTAAGTACCTTAACAGCAGCGTCCGTGCAGTAGTCACCATTATGCCTTTTACATATGCAGTATTAAATGTTCTAGCGGTTTTGCGTCAGTATTTTGGAAATTTGAATATGCTTTTCATATATCATAATATATAATAAAGGTATAAGCATCTTGTGGGCAGTAAGAGAATGAATCTGGTTGAAAGCAGTATGTTTCCCAAATTTATGGCTTTATCAGAGTATGGTTTGAATGCACATTGCTTCCCAGTGCTTGTTGTGGCGATAACAGTGGATTTATTGAAGGTCCGGATTATCAAAAACTGAAGCCGGCTAGCGAGTGCAAACCTATTGAATACCCTAAGCCCGATGGAAAGCTTAGCTTTGATTTGCTCACATCCGTTGCCCTTACCGGCACCAACCACGACCATGATCAGCCTCCGCATCTCGTATTATACGACGATTCTGTACCGACATCCAGGAATCTTCCTGTGTTTGATGGTCCCGAAGCGAGATTTTGTCCAGCAGGTAACAAAATGGCAGTTGTTATAGGTATCTGTACATCAGTTGTACAGTTAATGTAACCGTGTTCGAAGTCTTTACAGATGATTGTGGTTAACGTTTTGCATGTTTGATAACAACTTTATAATGTGGGTACAGTGATGGATAACAGACAATATCGATTATAGGAGTGTATGAATACATTACGGATGAGGCCACCGGAAAGTCGCGATTTCAGATCAACGCACAGAACTGCATACACTGTAAGACCTGTGATATTAAGGATCCCAGTCAAAACATCAACTGGGTTACCCCAGAACCAGGTGGAGGACCGGCATACTCTGGCATGTAAATGCCGATTGATTGGACTGTGGAGGGTCGATGTTTCACGCAGGAAATCTGTTTGATTAAATGTTAACGATGGGCGATCGATCGTGTGGGTTGCTGTAGATTTTTTGTGAGTTTGTGGATAGAAATAAATGAAAAATATATTGCTGCCAGTTTGGAAATTGAGATTTTCTCAGAATTATTTTTGTTCTCAGAAATAGTACAAGCAGAAAAAAATCAAGAATGAAAACTGTTACAGTATTTGCTCTTTCGACGCTGGTGTCTTTGTTGTTACTTTTATGTACTGTAGTTTTTAAGTCCGAGAAGTCTTAAATTAAGTTTCGGTAGTTGATTAACCATGCAGGTAGTGGACATTCTGTTACAATGTTGTGTACGATTGTATTACAGATTCGAATATGTACTTGTGCCTAGCTCTTGCCTTATACCTCATGGTCAGTCATGAAACTAATACGGAAATATTAATACATCAAGGTCATTCAGCAGCAGTAACGCTCGAATAGTAATTCTCACGAGCCTGATTATGCCCATGATGCGGTTAAGTCCGGCGTTATGTAACCTCTAATGTGGCCGTTACCTGATTAGCCGATCGAAAAAATTTTGTTAGGATGATGACACTTTTAAGAAAAGCAATTTGCGTTATCCGAAGTTAAAGGAACAGCATTAAATTTTATCAATAAGATTGGAAAGTTTCTGTTTTAAGATTAGACAGATTTGTTACTCAAAGCACGACAAATTTGGAAAATTTTGTTCATAAGGTTTTACGTTATGGTTACGCACAGTACAGTAATTGTAGTAGATTCTGTACCCATTATTTTGTCAGAGCTGACCTGAATGTACATTTCTGAAACAAAAAATTTGGTTGGTTTATTAATGGTAAGCTATTCCTAGACATGCATGCAATTTTAAGTTTATAAACGAAAAGCACCATCGTCTGTATGAGAAAACATCTCGACAAGACTTTCACCGGACGACCGTTACCCGGGCAAGTGGCTCAGCACACAGGTTGTGTTTGACCTGCTAAAACATTACATACGACATCGATGTACACAGGCCCTATGTTTCTCCAGAGGTCGGCGCATTATTCCTTTGGTAATGCGTGTTCGGTTTGTTTATTCCGATTACTGCGTGATCGTATTGTTGTTTGTTCGTCATACCAATTGACCACGTTATGCGTTGTGCAGTGCAAGAGGATAACAAAGAAAGAAGAGCACCGCTGATCTTTCTGTTGAGATTAAAATATCACATCCTCATTGCTGCTAGCGCGATGTGATTTTAAAGATATTAAAGAATGTGGAGAACAAGATAGGTATGCGCCGGAAAAACGATATCGCCATCGGCATATACGATATTAATTTGGTTACCTAACACATGGATGTGAAGTCCTTGTGGCTTACGCATGCCGGCCGTGCCCGTATCGCACGCATGTCTGCCTGCGTCAATGCACTTCATCTCGTTTTTCTTCGATTACTGCATTTATTGCAGCCATATTGCAGAATTAAGTCCTCATTCTTACACTACAATTTCTAATTAAAGAGAATTCATTTGGCATTGCATCAAACTTTTACATAATATATGGCTGCGCACAGAATTAGGTAAATTTATCATGTGCTAATTCTTTAATTTTTAAAAATATTTCCGCTTTTGATTGAAATCTTTTCCGGCTTTAGTTTTAAAGTTGTTGCTACTCATCTAGCAGCGCAAAATCCAGGTTGCAGACATGAAGTGCTGGCGTTCGTTGAATCATTATAGCCTTCTGTCGATGCCATTTTAATTTTTGTGGATGATGTAACAAGGATGTCACAGAGGCGTCAATTTCTGAATTGGCACTGCAAGGTCACGGTCTATTAGCTTATTGGATAAGCCCGCCCTTCAGTCGGCATACCGATACACGCATGATGTTTCGTGTTCCATATTCGTTTGCAAGTTTGCGGTTTGACACTGGCATATTACTTATTTTCATTACATACACTTCGGCAAAAATCTGTAATCTGTTCTCTTTATGGGGAGTTTAATTAATCTTATTAGCTCCACAACTGGCAGCTGCATTGTCGCGGATAAGATTGTGTGAAAAGTTGAAAACCATCCATTTCCAGACAATCATTCATCGGATCAATAATCATGTACGAATCTGACAATGGAACAGCTTGGCCCGATATGTATGACGTGACGTAACCGGTAGAATTCCCATTGCTTTGCGCGCGGCTGCGCCGTAATACATGTGCAACATGTACGGCTGGCGCCTCGCGGTTCTACTTTTGTACTAAACTGTCAGAGACACGGCAAAAGATGTTTCCATTCAAGTCGATCATCTGTGATCGTCTGATGGTCTATATTGCTGTTGGACTGAATTTTTCACGATTAAACTGGTGTTTTTCCTGTTGTACGCACATCATGAAGGGGTGTTATTTTGTCAGTATTTTTCAGGTGGATTTTGCACCCTGAACATTTTCTCGTCTTTCTCCTGCGTTTCAATGGACGGGAACGTGTAGCACTACGCAACTAAAGACTTAAAGAACCAGATAAGTGTACAGAAAAGTACACGGAAAAGACCTGAACTACAGCGTGCATTCTTTTCCCGACGGAGCATCGTCTAATTTGCGGTACTAATTTGCCCTTCCCGTGTCTGGAGACATCGTGTAAAGTGACCTCGCCTGGCATCGATCTCCTGGTTACGGGTAAGCCAACTATGTGTTTCATAATCCCTGTACTAGCTGACAAAGGACAAGCAGTTGTTGTTATTGGCGTGATCACATTGTGCTGACGACGTCCTGTTTTTGGAGAAATGGAGCGGGTGCTGGCTTTATACTGTGCGAACTAAGGGTCTTTTGAACTGCTGTAATCTAGGAAGGTTAGTTATTTTTTGTCATCGTTCGGTTCGTGGCGGGGGTTCTGCTTCTGTAGTTCGCGTACAGTCTTCAACATTAATCAGGTGTCCTAGATTTCCGCCGTCGTCTGATGCGCGTGTGTTTGTATGTGGTTAAATATTATGGCTTCGGAAACATTTTAGTCTCTTAAGGCTGTAATGTGAAACGCATGAATCAGCAATGGTAAGAAGGCGCATCGAGCGAATATTGTGAAGCGTGTCAGCTGAAATTTTCTTGAGGGGGTAGTTCAGCTCAGCTGAGTTTCTGTTGGTATTCCGCACGTCACATGGTTCGTCATAAATCGCCGCTTGTGATTATGCCCGTTCCGACTTCCGGTTAATATAACCGGGACTTTATGTAACTGTCGAAACATGTATTTCTTTGAGCGTCTATGGAAAATAAGATTGGAGCGTTATGCTGTTTTGGTTAGCCGGAAAAAATGCTGAGGCCAGCTTGAGATGAAATAATGGATTTTTTCAGTCTTAAGAAAAAGCAATTTTTCTCGGCTGCATTTCTCGTGAAGGTTGTATAGACTGCGGCAGCACACTGGCAGATGAGGTGAATATGCGCATTGCGGGTGCACAGATCCTTGAAATTCCTTACGTAATCAAGGGTTTTGTGAAGTGCAGTCAGCCAGCATCTGCCTTGCCCACATCCGGTGGCAGTATTAACAAAAACAGTTACTGTATTATTACTTACGTGCGTTAATGTTGTCTTTAATTCTTGTTGAATCGCATATTATTTATTGTTAACATATTCTCCTGTCACAACCTACCCTATATCGGCCACGGTGTTCTTCTGTCGTACAACGTTCTACTGGTGAATGTTGACTGCGGATATTTTTAGTGTGCCAATACGGCATTTTTATGCATGTAAGCATGTGAGATGCCACACATAAGGGTCGCTCCATGATGTTGGGCAAAACTGGAATTGATTAGGTTGCGTAATGCCATCATGTGGATCGATTGAATGTGATTTCGAGCGGTTTCATGCGTTTTTCTCTATGTGTGCACTGTAGAAGACTGATGGGGGATAAGAGTCAGCGCGAACGACGTCGACGCCGGGAATCTGAGCGTTGTGCGATACAGCGAGAAAAATACAGCACAGATGGAACTGTCGCGCGCATTTCGTGGCAGGAATTTTGTTTGCGGTGCATTTCCAACGTAGATGAGCGGTTACATTACACGAAGGAGGCATCCATCCGTCGCCAGTATACGGAACAGTAAATATTAGGAGAAATTCGCTATCCTGATTTGTGTTTTCTCGGATGCGGCGGTCGGTGAGGTTGAGGGTAGTGAACTTGCCAGTGCAAGTGGTCTTTTTTAAAACGCTATTGCATAACAAGTGCCGTGCTTAGTCGTCCACAGCCGAGCGGTTCATCTACACGGGTTATAGTTGTGACAAGCGAATGTTTGTTTAGGTTGGTGTGGATGTTAGTCTTCAAGTCGAAAGACAAGTTTTTTGGTGGAGTCGGTCCGCCGTCTCACTGTGTTGAGTCTTTAGTTTAACCACTCAAACATTGAACTGATATATTGTGTGAGTGGAAGTCGTGGTACTAGTTAATAACTTATGGTTTAACAGTGAACAGGTGGCCGAAGAATGGCGTAAGCAATGCATAATAGTTACCGATCAGCTGGTGCCTGTGTTTAAAATCCGTACTTGCAGTAGTAGATGCGTTTGACCTTGCAGTTGGTTCGGTTAGTGATGTGAATGTGATAAACTGCGTTGGATTTCGATATACTGCTAGCCGGTAACCTAAATTAAATGGGCCATCGTCGACCCGTCGATGGAACAAATGCGAGGGTATGCGACAATTTTCACAATTCTTCCTGAAATTCAAAACGTGTTGTGTGTGGGCCTGATGGGGGTTTTACTGTTACCGGTGCGAAACACAGTTGTAACGCGGATTCATCAGGGCAATCCCAATAACCGCGTGTTTTTTAGTCTGCGCGTGGTGGTTCCTGTAGCGTCATATTGCCGTATTTTGTTTTCAGTTTATGTAGCATCTTTTTCGGACAATACTGAAAATAAATAGTACTGACTATATTTTTGCGGTATAACTACGCAGATCTCTGGCTCAATAGTTAACGATGGGTGAATGCGGTATTAGGAAGTTTTGGCAGAACTTAAATTTGATTTTCCTTGTTCGATAAACTCAACTTTGTATTTTTTTCAAATCTCCGACTATACTTTATGTATAGACCGATTTGCTTGCAGTTGTTAGGTATCCTTTGTTAGTGTCTTCGGACATAATTGAATAATGGATATTGCATGTTATCTGTTTATCGTGGTACCGTGGGTAATTCAGCTTCTAAACTGCTACCAACGGGCTACCGACAACACATCGCGATAAGGAAACGTTTTCCGTGTACGATACTGCAGTATGCGCCGCTAACAGTCTGAATTGTCTCAAGTACCGGGTTTGGTGCAAGTCTGCATTCCTTTCAGAATTCGCCAAGTTTTGTCTCATGTTCCGTCTACATTTTATTAGTCAGCTTTTGATGCGCATATACAAAGGTATCAGTTGCTGATTTTTTTGGATAATACGTACGCCAGCTGCGCTCTAATATGGTGTTGGAACATTTTCCCAGACAGACTTCTTAGATTTAGGACACCTCGGCTTGTACGGCTCTGGTACTTCTTATTTTTGATAATTCAGGAAGGTGGATGCTAGTTGGAAAATTAGAAAATTCCCTACACTTTTTGGGTAATTACTTTATTCTTCGTTGACTGCTTTTTGAAGTTGTGGATAGAAAGGTTTCGACTAGGATATTGGAACTGCATTGCATACTTGCGGTTAGGCAGTAACTGGGTAAGCGCTAGAAAAACTACTACGCATGGAATAGCGGGTGTTCCTTAAAGTTTTTTTTTGCTAAAAATAAACGGAATATTGCAAAATTTTAATTTTTCCGTCAGGATGTCCTTCGGGTCGCATTACTACAATAACCTCACGGAGAAGCAAGATTATAATTAATACAGTACGAGTATTTTTTCTCTCGAAAAAGTGCGTGATTTAAATGGTAGAGGATGTCTGGTGATTTGTTTTCTATCTTTTACCTTTATGGTAATATTAAAGCGTACCTATTCAAATAATTAATTACACTTGTGGGAATTCTCGATTATAATTGCTGGATGTTGTTACCAGTAATTGTGTATTTGAACACGTTGGTTGCTGTAAATTTTGTCATCAGGACATGCGCCTTGTTTACAGAATGGTTTTATTATTTTCCGATACAAGTAACACAACGGAAGCAATGATGAAGTGTTTTTATTGGTCCGCACGAAAAAATGCTTATGCTGTTTGTTGGGCCGTGATTATGCGGCATCCTAAATAACTAGTAAAGTGCAAGAAAGCATGCAGTGCGTTTGTGTGGTGATGCTTAACATATGGAATGTGCAAGACGTCTGTGGTGAAATATTAGGCGGTTTTGCTTGTGAAACCAAAAATCTGACGGTAATTTTTCTTCTCCTTGGCCGTCCATGTTATGTATGCTGTTCGAGCGCATACATGGTTTGGCAGCCAGTGTTGAGCAAAGTGGGACAACGAATATGCCGGTTAACATTGTTTTGTTGAAAAGCTTTTAGTGCGAAAGTGTACCGCTAGGCCAAATGCTGCTGTTAAGCAGCTGATAAGCGAAAGCTCTTTCCGCATGATGCTAGCAATCTTTATGTATTTAATATACTGCTTTTTATTGAATTTCGTGTGTCTCCGACTCAAAGCGGCTGCGGTGCAATAGAATGACGGACGAGGGCTGTGTTGCACCGCTTATGTATGTGGCCTCGCATTTTCAGGCTCAGAAAATATTGATGACATAATCGAGCATCGTGTTTGAAGTTAAATCGGAGATACTTGAACTGGCTAGTATTGCCTTCGACAGATGCACCACTTGTGGGGCGGAAGACAGCATTTTAATAGTTCACCGCTGTGTGATTTTTCCTCTCACTTCGGGGATTCCTCTTGTTTTTTGTCCACCATGTGACTTGTGAGTGAATAGCCGTAAAGATCTACGGTTTCGACAAGGCTTTTTTATCTTTTCGTTGTGCGTTATCTTCGTGCGTTATGCTTGCTGCTAACAGATTATCGAACGGCATTTCCGTGAAAATTGTGCGCTGTTGTTTTGTGTGCTGAAGCTGATCTTTCGAGATGTTTCAAATGTATTGGTGTCGGTACGCAGTTAAATCATTCATGTGTTTCTTATGCCCCCGATACTCTGCTGCGTTTATACGCGTAATATAGACTGTCCAGCTCGTGGCGGATTTGCTGGCTGCATATATTGTATGATGTCACAAGCGTTTTTGCTGAAGAGCTATTTTATGGTTGCTTAATTTGGTTGTTTTAACGTTGCAGGCTATTGTTGTTGATTCTTATGTAACAGCCAACACCAACATTTTTTGACACGATACGCCTGACCTGCTCATCTTCGCGGATGGGCTGATCATCCGGTCTTTTGTGAAAGAAACCTTTGCTTGAGCGTCTGGTTCCGAAGGTGAAGCACTTGGTAAGTGGTGAATTTTTGGATATTTTGAAAATATTTTTTGTAACTAAAAGGTTATTAATTGTGAGCTATGGATGTACTGTTATAACGGGTATATCAGGAGACGAGCGATAATTTGTCAAATCATTTAGGCAGTGACGCGAGAATGGCTTTATCGTCTTATGATTGCGGAGTATGTTTAGTTCGTGAAGGGAATCGGTCAATTTCATTTCAGATTAGATATTATACTTCTATTCGTGAAAAGTTTCTCGTTTTCTTGTCCGACATAGCGTTTTACAAGAATTAATAGCCATTTTGAAAATGCTGGACAGCTGAAAGACGATCATGAAATGTCTTTAATTTGTAAGTCGCTGGGACATGGAATTCTGCTTGAATGGAAATGACTGGGCGCTCGTAGATCTAGATATCGTTGCATGTAGTTGGAATCAATTTGCTGCAGCAAGGTCAACGATGTTACGGCTGCACAGCGTGGTGTGTGTGTTTGTGTTATGTCAGTGCAGCCACGATTAGACATAATCATGTAAAGAGCAGAGGTCAGTGGGATAGTAGGGCCTTTGTTGCTTGGGGCGGATCTGTGCACTTGTTATTTTGTGGGTTTTGATGTGCTTCTCATCACTGCATTAGATATTAGCTGGCGCTGTTAGCTGTAGGCATCATTGGTCACAAGGGCTGCACGTTTTTCATGATAATTGAATAATTAAGGAAATTTAATCGATTTCTGGTCAGTATTTTCGTAAAAACTGAACGGCCCTGTCTTAATTTGGCGAACATAAGTATTTATTTTTCTTTAGCTGACCGCGAGCGGTTTTCGACTTTTTTGAGCAAAATGCATTAAACACTAAAAACAGTGAAAATGGAAGGTATGGGGTGCATGAATTAGGCATTCATTTACTTTTTAATTAAGCAAATATGCTGTTTGGTTAGCGTACTCGTACGAGCTTGTTTTAATACTGGAAGCGCATTTTGTTTGTCTGTGAACTTGAACGGAGTGCTTATCTTGTATGCATTGTGACATAAGTGTTGGCATTGTGCCGCAGGTGCCAACATGACATCCTTATCACCAAGTGGCTCTTCCCTGTCTTCCGACGATATGGCATCCAGTCTGACCGGCGGTCAGCGTACTTCACCCACCAATTCTCTTACCTCCGACGCGTCCAATCTGGCACCGGAAGTGAAGCTGCACTGCACGATTTGTTCAGAAACCTTTCGATCTCCTAAAGTCCTGCAATGTATGCATTCATTCTGTGCGGCTTGTCTGGACACACTGGCCGCTCAGGATGGCCCGGATCGCATTACCTGCCCGGAATGCCATGTTATGACCAAATTGCCGCCCAACGGAGTGGCTGGTCTGCTCCCGGATTACGGCATGATCCGTTTGTTGAACTTGGCCAATCCGTCGATTAATCAGTTCGCAAGTGGAGGAGCGATCGCCGCCGAGCGCTATTGCACGTCCTGCAAAGGAGCCGAAAAGTTCGCTCAGGCGCAATGCATTGATTGCGCGAATTTATTGTGCGCGAACTGCGTGGTGGCCCATCAGCTGATGCACTGCTTTAACCGCCATCGTGTGTGTCCTCTGCAAACCGAATATCGCCCGGCCAATGCATTCGGCTTTGGTCAGAATTTCCCCGGTGCTGAGTTCGGAATGGGCACCGGCGGTATGAAAATGGGCCGGTACGATGCATATGGACGATTGATCGGTCCGCCTCTGGATAAGCCTCAGGTTTCGTGTCCGGTGCACGCGATGGAACGCTTGGATTTCTTCTGCTCCAGCTGTGATATTCCAGTGTGTAAGGACTGTATTATGATTGACCACCCCAAGAGTCAACATGATGTGGCCGCCATTGCTGAAGTTGGTCAACGGGAAATTGCGGGTCTGATGCAGATGAAGGAGATTGCGCAAGCCAAGGCCGATGAGTTCTCCGCTAGCTCCAGTGAGGCGAATCTGACACGGATTACCGCCAGTTACCATGCTGCTCAAGCTGCTATTGAGGATACTCTGCAGTTCTATGTTCAGGTGGGATGCTGCATAGTTTTGTAGTTATGATTTACAGTTTATGCACTTTATGGTGCTTATAGCCTGCAGGAAATAGTCAACAAAAATTATCGTAGCCATATGGATTATTAATTTTCAGAAGTGAGGTAATTACCGAGTTCAAGCAAGAATATGTTAAGTTTTCTGCCAATAGAGTGTTACTGCACCATGGATATCAGAGACAATGCGTTTAGTATTAAGTGTCCATGATTCTCTTTCCATTTTCGGAAATCTTCTGATTTTTAAGTATACGTCGGTTCCGAAAGGTTTTATGAGCCGCGTATAATTGTACAAAGTGATAAAGTGGTGATTATTGCTGTATGCGACGCTTCCGATGGACGGCATGATAAGAATTCCGACTTACGTAATGTATCTAGTACCGTTTCGGGGCATGTGCATTCGCTGACTTCGTAAACCGGTAGCTTGGCTTTTTATCGTCGGTTTTGCGGCATGTGGTGTAACATGTAATTGTTGATGAAGTCATAGAAACAGCAGCGTTTCTGTGTTGACATAAATTTTATACACCAGAACATCGGACATCTAGTGCACCAGAGTTCCGTGAATATGCGAGAATAAGTTTTGTTGTTTTACCTATGTGAAATTTGTAACAACGAACTTACGGTGTGTTCTGCAACTTTTTTATGTGGTGGGATGCGACTTTATATATGTCGGTGCGCATAAAAGGCGGAACCTGACTGGATTTTTTCGTACGCCCTTATTTATTGGTGATGTCTTCTGCTTTTGCAGGTACTGAAGGAACGTCGGGATGAATTACTGCAGAATTTGGAAAGTATTTACGAGGAACGTCAGGTGGCTTCGAACCTTATCCAGGAGCGGAGCATCGACTGCAGCCGTCGCCTGAGCAGTGTGTGCCAGTTTATGGACCGTCTGCTGACGTACGGAAGTGACGCGGAAATCCTCTTGTTTAAGCGTCAACTGACGCATTTGGTGGATACTATTATGAACGCCCACTCAGAGAGCTCATTCGGCTGGTCCGGAGATATACAGTTCAACACCAACTATCAGGCTATTCAGTCCAGTGTGCAGAATTCCTATGGGTTTCTACAGAAGAAATCGGATAATACGGCCCTACCCGTTTTGGCCCACTCACGCAGTGGGCACTCACTGAATCGTCTCTCCACGGCTAACTCGGGATCCCATCGCTCCATTCCATCTTTGGCGGCACTGAGTATGGGAGATGGGCCAAATCTGAACGGTGGTAATCATCCGGGGAATTTTAACTTTCCGGCTGGGAATGGTATGAATGGTTTGCCGAATGGGGCCTTTGATCGCACGCTACCGTCGGCGGGGAACGGAATGAATATCAAGCGATCCAGTCCGGCAATGTACCCTTTTGGAAATGCTGGCGATATGAATATTTTCGACAAATGGATGGAGAACAACTCTAGCCCATCGTCTAACTCGGATTCGTTTTTTAACTTGAGTTCGGATACACTGATCGGCGATGATGCCACTCCTAGCAAAGGATTTGTCGGTAAGTTAATACTTAATCACTATTGGTAACGTTGGCCCTGGTTGCGATAAGCTCTAAGGTCAGTCGATTCTTCGTTGTATAAAGATGTTTTGTTAATGTGGTAATGTGGTTAAGTTTTCTTAAACATTTTTCTGATATGCTACGGCTGTTTGAGGCTCAGTTATCTTAATCATAGCAGTTGAATTGCTGTTACGCATGAAGTTGTCAGAATTACAAGATTTTTTATCGTTGTAGGAGCACCTCCAGCGCGTCAAACTATCCGTCGTTTGAAAATGGCTTACATCGCTAAATTTGGTGATTTCGGTACTGGAGATGGTCAGTTTTCTGAGCCGAGTGGCGTGGCTGTGAATGCCCACCGTGACATCCTCGTTGCCGACACTAATAACCACCGCGTCCAGATCTTTGACCACGAAGGCCGTTTCAAGTTCGCTTTTGGCGAATGTGGCAAGCGCGACGGACAGATGCTGTATCCGAATCGTGTCGCGGTGGCGCGGAACGGTGACGTTGTGGTCACGGAGCGCAGTCCGACTCATCAGATCCAAGTGTACAATCAATACGGCGCATTTGTCCGCAAGTTCGGTGCGGACATCCTGCAGCATCCGCGCGGCGTCACCGTGGACAACCGCGGCCGGGTGATTGTGGTCGAATGCAAGGTGATGCGGGTGGTGATCTTCGAGCCAAACGGACGTATCTTCAGTAAGTTCGCCTGCTCCCAGCATCTGGAATTCCCGAATGGGGTGGCCACTAACGATAACGAGGAGATCTTCATCAGCGACAACCGGGCGCACTGTGTGAAGGTGTTCAACTACCACGGAGTGTTCCTGCGACAAATTGGCGGAGAGGGCGTGACCAATTTCCCCATCGGGGTATGCATTACGGAGCGCGGACATGTCATCGTGGCGGACAATCACAACAACTTCAATCTGACCATTTTCCGCCAGGACGGATCGTTGATCACCGCGTATGAGAGCCGTGTAAAACACGCCCAGTGTTTCGATGTGACGCTGATGGATGAGGGATCGGTTGTGTTGGCCAGCAAGGACTACAAAGTGTACGTGTACCGTTTCGCCAATTTCGGCAACAGCTTCCCCGTAGTAAGCGACGCCATGCAGCAGCATTCGGTCAGTTCGAGTTCCTCTTTGTCGGGACGGATGGGAGCCGGCGGTAACCCCGGTGTTGGTGGTGGGATGGGTTTGAATGAATTCCACATGAATCCTATGAAGAATCTGGTCAAAATGCCTGGAGTTCTCGGCGGCGCCAGCAGTGATTTTAACTAATGAGCCTCGACTGTGTCGGATCCGTGTTGGTTGGGTTTGTTTCTTAATTGTTTTCTTATGTTATTCGTTCATCCCTTGCTCTCCCCTTCATCCCATAATCCCCACTCGACAGAATCCCGGTTGAGAAATTTTTCGTTATCTTCCAAATGAAAAAAACAGTGCTTATAAGTTATTAATCCCTTTTTGGTTATATTTATTAACGGGCTAAAGGAATGGTTTTTGTCTCTTTATTTCTTTGTTTCTTGTACCATATCAAAGCGCATTCGTGATCCAGTAGTGGGGGCGATTTTTTGTGGGAACATTTTCGGTGCAGTTCAGGGATGTGTTTTTATTAATCATGACATTGCGGCAGAGTGGCTGTGCCTGTTCTGTTCGATGTCACTGATTCCATTTAATTAGCTTTACCGACTGTTGTTATTTTGAGCCGTTTTTTTCTAAAGAAAAACTTGCTGTTTTTTCTTCCACTCTTTGAATTTTTAATACCACGTGGTTTTCTTGTTGTTTCTTTTTTCTCGCAAATGTTTGTACAGTTGATTTTTGCTGCGTTTTTTTGAATTTAGAATTTGAGCAATTGTGCGTTTGCATTACACACACGACTGGACAGTTTGGGTGATATTTATTTATTAGTTTTTGTTCGAAATTTGTTTGTGGATATATAATTGGGTGTTCTGTTGTGGTTATACCGGTTGTAAAAATTACGCTTTCATTTCCTGTTTGGGTTTAATTGTTCATCCGATTGCCGGACCGGTCAGAGACGTCGTTATATCCGGTCGATCAGTCATCAAACTGCCATTGCTACATCGTCGCACTTGAAAAACCCGTTCGCGACGTCCAACAAGAGTGAGCAGTCTTCGATGTGGTATCGCGTACAATAGCAAAATGATCTGCTTTTGAGACTTTTTCTCTGTTTTTCTTTCGTTTTACTGGTGACTGTTCATTCAGTGACCGCATGTTAATTAAAAGATTCAGTTTTATTTGTAAATTTGCTTTTGGTGAGATTAATAAAGTTAGCTGTTGTCGCATCATTGTATCGAAATTATCTCTGGAAGATATTGAGAATTTAAAAATCATATTGTTAATAAGTTTATAGTTTGTTAAACCTAGAACTCCAAAAGCAGTTTAAGAAAGGAAACTTTCAAAAAGAATCTGCAGAGGCAGTATTTCCAGAGTAACTCCAAAAGCAGTTTAAGAAAGGATACTTTAAAAAAAAATCTGCAGAGGCAGTATTTCCAGAGTAAACATGGAAGTAAAACCTCGTCGGTGAGTCCCATGCAGAGTCCGAAGACTCCGAACGCTTTGAAATGAAGGTAGAACAGCCAGCGTAGAATAACCGCTGTTTTTGGCATTTTCTATAACGATCACTACTTTATACCACACTGTCAATACTTTGCATGCGTATGTATACCTGACCTTTCACGAACGTGTACTGTATACTTCTGTAGCAACTAGCAAGCAAGTAGAATAACCACAAATAACCCACATTCACAACAGATAACGAAATTAATAAGATTCATATTCTGTGGTTTTGTAAGGTAAGACAAACAGCCGGCATGGAGGATTCGGGGCAACTTTACAAGTACAACAAAAAGCAACCGGCACAATATGAATAGTAGAATACTGTACAACGACCGGAAGATCCGACTGTATGACCGGAAGATCAGCAATAGCGAGCAGTGCGTTATCCGGCTGTATGAGTACCGTTTATTTGTTATTACGTCTATAACAATCTTGCTCCGTGTTTTTCACATTCGAAGCTTCCTCTCCCCATCATTTTATCATACATTTTATGATGCCCTTATGTTTTTAGAATACTTCCCCATATAAATATAAGACCCCGACCAATGTAAATTTAAAAACTGGGCTAATTATAATTCGAAAAACACCGTCAGTTGCAACGATAAAATAAGTATATAACAATGATAAATATGTAATCCGTAAAAGACCGTAAAAGATTCATTCTAAACCCGCGTTTAGAATGATCTTTATTTACTAACTAAATCTACCTCCCGTGTTTACTTTCTTGTGTTTCGTCAGAAACCGGAAACAGGCAAAATAATCACACATTAACTACGAACAAAGCAAACGTAAATCGATAAAAAAACCGTCTCACACCGACCACACGCTTTCCTGATATCAATTCGGCAGAATTTACAATCAGGCATCCCTTAAGCAATTCTTATTCAGGCAACACAAATCATTCCAAACCAACAGCAGCAATGTCTACAAACCACCACGAGTTGCGAGTAGCATATTATTCGGGAGCAACACAAATGCAGGAACGGTTTGTGGAGGGATAGGTGAAAAGGGGCAGGACGAACATTCTTGGACACGACAGCATACAACGAAGAAATTCTTCAATTAAAATTTTTGGTGACCTATGAATGCAGGGGGTTTCAATGGCGTCGCAGCAGGACATAGTCACGACGAATTGTCTCGATGCAAGCATTGAGTCTGCAAAAACACAATAATTCAAAAAAGCGGTGTACTTCCAGCATAATATTATGTCTTCCGAATGCATTATACTGGTACTATACTTTATTGTACTTACGTGTCTTCGGCAGTTTTAATGCGCTCTCGCAATCGCAGCTGTATCCGTTCGTTGAGGTCCAACAGCGGGTCGCCGCTGTCCTCCGATTTGGGCAAACTCATTCGGTACGTGTGTCCACTTGGACCCACTGAGCGGTGCCGAGATTCCTTTCGTTTTTCTCCATCTATTTCACGCTGTTCCGCATAATTCTCCAGCAGTACATCCACTCGCGAACCCGGCCGCGATCCGGAAACTGCCCGTCCGGGCAGCGTTCCTTTGCGACCGCGCTGGGAATCTGCTGATGACTCGCGCGGGCTGTCGTCCGCATGCTCCGCCGCGGCCCGCTGCAGACGGCTTTCCCGGCGCTCGGGAGCTGCATGCGCGGAAAGGTCATGAGTGGATGACGACTGGTGCAGACGGTGAGGAATGGAGACAACGGGAATATCAGCCGGTGGATGATGATCGCCACGGGACACCGATTCCCGGTGGCGATCGGCGTGGGAAACGGAATTGCGCTGGCTGCCTCGCGAAACCGATTCCCGATGGTGGTTGTCGTGTGAAACAGATTCTCGATGGTGTTTGTCGAGTGAGACAGAATCCCGATGAGGGCTGTCGTGTAAAACTCCTTCCCGATGGGGGTTGCCGTGTGAAACCGATTCTCGGTGTTTGCTGCCATGAGAAACCGACTCCCGGTGGTGGTTGCCATGAGAAACAGATTCCCGATGGTGATGACCTTCATGAGATACACTACTCCGGGAAATGGAATCACGCGGACCGTGAGCTGCTTTAGCGTTAGCGTCGATGTCATGGGATTCTCGGCGCACCGCTTCACTGGCACGAGAGTCGCGACGGGACGAAACCGAGGATTTCCGTTCTGGTTCAGTGTGGGAGTCTTTTCTCAGACTCGATGTTGGTTCGGGTGTGGGCCCTGTCGTGCCGGCGGTGAAGTAGGTTGAAAAAGGGGCGTCGTTGGCGGCAGACGGCGCTTCGATGGTTTGCGAGCGATCACGTTGAGATCCGTACGCGGGTGAGGCACTTCCCATTCGCATTTCGTAAATGCTATTCCAGTTATCTACAACACAGATTTTAAGTCGACATTAGCTTTACCGTGGTTGGAAAATTCAACACAGATACAGACTCCCTTCCAGAAAATTCGGTAGTGACCAACCTGGCGCGGAAGTATGCTGCGCAACTTCGCCCACTGATTGTTCGATTGAATTTTTCGACATCTAATTTTCTCGCTTCATTTGGATTTCGAGATTCGCTTTCAATAAAATTCTATCATTCAACATAACGGATTCCGTAGCTTGGCACACACCGCTAAAATTTATTTATCCATCAATATTTACCATTTTGTTTCATTATTTCGAAAAACGGTTAGTTTTCGTTAATATAATATGAACAATATACTAGTACTTAAACGTAGCGACGTAGATACTCGTATATAGCATTAGAACTGGCTATTGCGCAAACAAAAACTAACCTTGACGCAGTGCATCGGCAGTGTTATGCGTCGAAGAGAACCCCGAATCGCGCAGATCCTTTTCTCCGCCAAACGACCGCGAAACGGACATGGCCCGGCTGGGCACCAGTGACCGTCCCTGCTCCATCACCCGGTCGCCGGTGGCATGGGATTCGCGCGACATGGATCGATGCCGGAAGGAAGCCGCGGAGTCGTTGGACTGCTTGGATGATGACCGCGGCCGGGGCGGCGGCTGTGTGTCGCCGGTCGGCGCCGCATACACCGACGGCTTCCGAGTGTGATCCTGCAGAAGAGAGTGGCCCTGTGGATTACAAGGCAAACAGTCCAATAACAATGCTGGTCAATTAATCCCAATGGGACTGGAGTGTGAGGGAAGAAAAGAGAGAAGAGTTTCTATATCGGTATATACCTGCGTCGGCGCGGTGCGCTCCAGATGCTGTATTCGCACTTCATGATTATCCAGCCGGCTGCCAATGTTCCGCTCGAAACGGGCGTTGTTATCCACCAAATCGTGCTCAATACGAATTAAACGCTCTTCAATCGATCGGAACTTGAGATTCTGCAGGGATTCCTGAAAATGCAACCCTCGGAAGGTTAATGAATCATCGCTACAGGTTAACGACAGTAAAGCAATCTGCAAACGATATATAACAATTATATATAACAATTATAAGACAGCATAAAAAGAATAATTCGCAGTGTACACTTTTACTACGCATACTGCTATGCAGTTATAAACAATTCCAAAACTGCAGCATCTTTAATACTAAAATATTATTATTACACTGGTATTGGTATTGATCCAATTTGTCCAGCGATCTGCTAAGAAATGCATGGGAAGATCGCAATTGTCGGATGAAAGTGGGCATTTCGCAGCTCATTTACCGTATTTATCGAATTAGAAGCCCAGGGTTACAAATATTACAAATGACCCACGGGGTGGGCTCCAATTACGGGCATGGGCTTGTATTTAGGGGGGGGCTTCAATTTTTCAAACCAGCTTTTTGGCATTTTTTAATATGGGGTTTACGGTATTTAATTAAGCCCATGGGCCTCTATTTCGGGGGGGGGCTTATAACTTTCAAACGACCTTAGGGGTGGGCTCTAATTACGGGGGGGGCTTGTATTTTGGGGGGGCTTCAAATTCGATAATTACGGTAACTTTTAGCTCCATTCCACTGGGATTTTGCAAAGCGCTTAAGACATATAAAGACTTTCTTACAACAACACAATTGCAGCTTAAAAATAAAGGAATTGGCCTCGTTGCCTGTCATGGTCACTGTAGAACACGTAGAAATTACAGGAGTTCCTGTGTACAATACACTGCAATGCTTTCGTTAAAAGAAACGGAAGGAAACAAAATCCCAAGCTATATCAGCCTCTCTCTAACAGACGTTCTTTAAGATCACTTTCACGTATATAAGGAAGCGGTGCTATTCGGCTGCTTCCAAATAATGCCATCGATCCGCTTACCTTGAAGAAAATTTTCAAACACTACGAGATTATTATTCCATGCTGGTGCAAATGCATAACCCATACCGGATTATCGATTAGTGAGCCTGTGCGAATTACAAGACCTGATTAAGAGAAGAAATGTTATGTTCGAGTTTTTGCAGATAGTCGACTCAAAATTACCATTTTCCAAAACTAACGCCAAAAAGCTACAAAATACTAACTCAACAGACATAAACAAAATTATCTGCGACATTGTTCGTACATGACGTTTTTTTTCTGCATCAAATGTTGTAAAATAGCGTATTACTTACAATTTGTTCAAATTTTTCCAGAACGGAATGAATTCCATTTTCCTCGTTGGCATTATGCGCCATAACGACTCCTCCACGGTCGGCCGGCGACTTTTTCCACTCTCCCGGACGGGAATCTGCAAAAGGTTTGTTGTAAACCGAAACCCTTAACATCCGCAAATTGGTTTATGAAAACCCAGCAACAAAAATTTAATTACCGGAGCAAAAGTTTCAAGGAGTAAGTTTGACGTACCTTTCAATAAAACAGGAGTGCGATTAAGCGATGAGGTGTTCCAGCTGCGAATCCCCTCGTCGGGACTCTGCTCATCATCACTATCCGAATTACCGGCACTGGCAAGTGTCTCGCGCACTGCCTGCCAAGGAATATCGACGGGCCGCGTGCCGGCCGGCCGGATAACCTGACTATGGGACTTCTCACTGACAGTCGTACTCCCGTACACACTCTTGTTCGATGAGAACGAATCGCGCACCGTCGCATGCGCCAGACGCTCAGCCACGTCCAGTTTTAGTTGCTGCAGATTATCGGCATCATTCTCGCTGATTACCTGTACATAACGGCGTGATGATGTCGACGGGGAGGATCACGAAATATATGCCTGATGTTTACCAAACGGCATACACATACAGTTCTTAATGGAATCAGGCCGGGATAGACGCCGGTATTATTGATTAGTCCATTGAGGACCCATTTAGACTACTTTGGTACCGAGTCTACCTAGCTACTACTTCAGTTTGACAGGTAAACGGGATGAAAAAGCACGGCTTTCATTTGTGTAGGCCGGTATATATGCCTATGCTCAGAGAACTGTTCCACCCTGAACCGAGATTTTGCGCGGAATAAGAATAGTTCAAAAATATCATATTTTCGGATTTCGTTTGAATGGTCAATGTATAAAACAGCAGAGTACAGTAACAAATTTTCACTCTCGAAACCGAATAAAAAGCGTACACCTGCAGACGTTGAATACTGCAACTAATGTAAAGTTTTAATATAGGTACGAAAAAATGGAGCAAGGTAAAACAAGGGCGCATGTTATACTGCATAAAACTTAAAATATTCGAAATAAAAAAGTGTGGATATAGCCAAACAGACATACGTCGCAATGACGAAAGAAATAAAAAGCAACTATATTTTCCTTACCGGTTCAGGTGTTTCGGCATCCAAAATGCGAAGTTTCGCCGTAATGCGTACAATTTCGTCCACTTTCGCCAGTGGATGGCCCGGACAAATATACTGATACAATGGTAACGCCTGTTCGTGCTGAATTATTTCCCGCAGTCCCTAAAATGCGATGGCCATCGATTTTCGCGGAAATCAGTCGTAATTTTCTTTGCAAAGTTCGCACGCAAACCCAGCTGCCAAATCGCACACCTTGAAAAACGATCGAGCAAACTTCTCCCGATCGATGACTTTTTCGTTGACAATCAGCTCGTCCAAATGGATATTCTTCGCCTCGAACATGTCTTGAAAGGTTCGATAAATGTACGTGTAGATCATGAATCCCACACTCGGCGCACCTTTCTTGATCCTGCGAAAGAAGCCGCATTCAACGCTTTATATAGCGCAGATTAACAAATTACCGAATCAATAAACAATTAAATACTTAATTTAAGGAATCACACGTACATACTACACAGTTATTTTTCGTTAAACCATAACTACATGGAAAACCACACGTCTTATACCAAACTTGTAAAAAAGGGAAAAAAATACGAAATCAAACGTAAACTTAGAGACGTCGACAACAGTAAAGTGGTTTGTCTCTATGAGACCTACAGTGACCTAGTTGCACTTGTTTTGTAGAGAAAAAAATATCGAGTATTTTAGAAGTATCAAACTAACCAAAGGGCAAAAGCTTCCTTTCAAAAATAAATCCAAAGTTAATATACGCTCCAGCACAGAGCCTACGAGGATGCTGTTTTTGCGTGTTTAATTTCATCCACGGTCGAGTCAGGGAAACCGTTCGTAACTATCCCCCACGTGCGGTTCTCCCTTGCGCTAAACGCGACACCTAATGTGCGGTTGCCACAATGTCTCGTAGACGAATATGAAGCTTTTCTGCCATTTTTAGTCGAACTTTCTCCGCTTGGGATAATTTGGAATCAAGGTAACTAGCTAGACTCTTCCGATTTTCCTTGAAAGCACAACAAATTCTTATGTTTGCGCCAAACGGAAGTCAACAAAGCTAAGTGCGTATGTATCCACTGAATCAAAGAACTCTACAGGCAACACTAGCAGTCTGTGAGCAGTGGACATTTTGGCGATTCTGCGAGATTCTGCTGAACAGCTTTCCCATTTTTTTGGTAAAACTTCAAGATCAGGTTATCTGCAACATTAAAAGTTCACTCGCATGCCACTCGGGGGAGGCCTTGTTCAAAAGATATGAGAGCCAGAAAGTACGGTTTGGCTTGATCGGGCAAGGTCTACGATTTTTTGGGCCACCAGTTTAAACGGTCTTCCGTTAACACACATACCATTCGATAGAGAATTCAATTCTCTACCCAATTGGTGCAACCACAAAAGCCACCAATTAAAAGCGTTAGGGGAGGGGCAGTGGAAACAAGCTGCACCACGGTTCCGCTGCATTTTGACGGCTAACAGCTCGGTTTAACCGCAGAGTGAGAGTCAGTACACCAACTGTGTCGACGTCTCTACGTAAACTGTTGTAGAATCTGAGTCAGATATCCAGTTTATTTCTGTAATTACAAAGTAGTGTCTTCTTATATGCGGTATGCCTGAGTTTGTAGTGCTTGAGACGAACTAAATTTGTTTATCGACGATCATCAAATTTGTGTATTATGCAGTCATACCTAGGCACAATCCGTTCCAGAATGTGCAGTGGGAAACCAATAGACTGCATCGCTTCGAACAGCGGCACCAGTTTACTGGATTCCACGCGGATTTGTAAATCACACGAATCACTCGATGTCGACATTTTCCGCTTGTCCGCTTTGAGCAAAAAATCCAGCCAACTCTCATACAATCACTGAAACGACGGTCGAAACAATCGTAAAAATGCTAGCCAGATAGGTAAGAACAAAAATCCTACTCAACACAGTAAATTATTAATGACTTTTGACGACAATCGCTTGCACAAACAAAGCTACGAAAAGTCTCACCAGTCAGCTTCACTCAGTTTAGACAGTACGTATATCGGTATATGACTGCAAATGCTGGGAATTAGTTCTCGAACTCGAATCTGCGGTAGCGTAAGCTCAAACATTCCCTAATCATTACGGATGGCTTATAGATACAAAAATTGTGAATGCGCTCGATCCAGATTTTTCAACGTTTTTACCTGACAGAAGAGTAAAGGGAATAATGGTCAGATCATGTCCGTAATCCACACAAACGACCTTCAAGTTTGCTCATGGAAAACTTAGAAGCATAAAATCAATTACGACACTGAAGGCCCCATCTGCTCCGGCTGTATATTCGCGGATTTTGTTTTGCAGTGGTGGGAAATTGGGATGGTCTCTTTACTTATCAATATAAAATTATAAACAGGTAATTACATCTCCCAATCTTAAGCCAGTTCTGAAATCCGGAAGCCGCGTCAAATGTTTACAGGAAATCTAAAATCTAAAACAATGAACACTGCGGTTGCATGGCACTGTCTGACAACATGAAATCAACCGCAGGACAGCATACTGCGCTCCAGCATGCAGGTGTTGATTCCGTTAGTACACTACTCCTGTCTGTAATATTGTAAATAGGGCATTACGCAGCCCGGCAGCCGCAGACAATGGCCACTGGAGAGGGAGCGGGAGCGGAGAAAAAAGACCGTCTATGCAAACACATGCACGTCTCGACATCCGTAATAATTTAAAATCGATAATACTACCTCTGTTGTTAACGGCAATGGAGCAAGTATGGACACTAGCTAACACGAAATTGCATCCGAAAAGGAGTACGGAATCGATCAGGCCTGAATCCTGATCACAGGCTAACCTGAACGATAAAAATTATTGCCAAACTATCGCTATAATACCCGCTGCCAGTTTAAATACTGATGGATGTATCGCTTCGTTTTGGCATACCCTGCTTCGGCTACATATGTACTATTTCGCAACCGAAACTACAGAAAAGGTTTATCAAATCGTGATAGCAAAAAATGAATTTAATGCCTAATGTTAGCGAAGCACTAAGTAGTATGATAAAATTAATACTGCTGTGGAGTTCGGCAATAATTTCTAGATCTGATATGGTACGCGCCGTTAGATTACAGCAATTTGTACCGATTCTTTGGTTTTTACTGTTTCTTTTCGGTACATTTAACAGTGCTCACATTCAAAACCCTACAGAGAAATTTTAGTATATATTTAAAAAAATCAATTTGATTTAGATAAAACTTTTTATTGCAGGACCGTGGATTTTACCGTATTATTCAACATTACATGGTGATAAATTATTAGAAACAGGAGCCTATGCATGCACTGTGGGCCTCACGTGCACCGATTTTGGAAAGCGGCAAATTAAACAAACTCCTCCCCATTTAGCAATGACCTTTAAGTTCGCGCCGCTCTCGTTCTATAAAGTGGAATCCAAAACCAGTTAAGGTACAAAGGTACCAAAACCAGTTAAGGTCTGCATCCACGTTTTAGAATTAATCCTCATTATAATTAAGCAAATTATAATTACTAAATTGCAATCATGACGTACATAGTGCAGTACTACGTATGCACCTACAGTGAGCAAGTGAGTGCTATATAGTTAACGCTGGTATATATCACTACTTAAGCTTCTACAGCTACTTTAGATCTTCACTTGAAAAACCACTAAACAATGTTTATTCCGGCAGATCAGTTTACAAATACACAGCAAGCCGACAATGCAATCGCATTCCTATGGACACAAGTGCACCAAGTAGTAATTCGCCAGATTATTACAGTGCACATGATGACTGCTAACGATGTCAAGCCGAAGTCAATCGTGCTGGGTGAATTCAAAATACGTAAATTAAAAACGTAGCAATATTTTATAATGCAACACCTTAATTAGTAAAATACTATATGTTGTATTAATTGTGTCTTCTTGTACTTGTACAGTTGAAGTGACGCTGCAACTCTTGCGAAAGTCATTTTATAGACTTATGGCTGGTTTCGGCAGAAGTCACAGAACGAAGCCGGGCGCAGCATGGTTGGAAGTTCTACTCGTAGGGATTTGTTAATGGCCGACAAATGTGGTAACGAGCAGCGATTACATCCACGAAACGATAAATATACGGTAATCACTGAACAAAGAATTTCACGCTGTTTTGTGTTGTATAGGGAATATAAGGTGGCACTGATAGATTTCTATGCAGTAATTGCAGGCAGATACAACAGGTGTTTGCAAGCGCGGCGTGCTTATCCATCTTACTCTTCTTAATTTGTTTGCCAGTTGCAACAAGTTGGACGCCGACCAAGTTGGTTCACGGTTGGTTTCCATTGTAATTTTAGATTATGCATCTATAAAACTGGCTATTGACGTCAATTGAGAAGGACCTCCCATTTTCAATCGCTAACCTGGTTGGAATTGTTACTACATTCGGCAATCTTTTTTACATTAATGCATGCTGCGCAGCGGAAGTGGTGCAGAATGACATTTCTACTTCATTCGTTCAGAACATGCTATCAAAATATCTCGAGTGCTTAGTTGCAATTATTAATACCATCATTCATGATCAGGGCCATGGGATCCTGAATCCTTGATACAAAAGCTCATACCGATGCTTCTTGTCTTTGTCGGAAGATTAATTGTGGCTGCACCAAAACCATGTACTGGTTCAAGCTTTCTCTTGGATGTAAGTTCAGTTTTGCAACTGTATCTGCGGTCTGATAATGCATTTGTGCAGAACTAACATTAGCAAAATTTCCAATTAATGCAAAGAACATGGCTACTTTATTTTATTTTATTATATGACTGTCACACTTCGCATTTGCGAATTGCAGTTCACAATGAACAGTTGAATTTTTCTAATAATGGATAAAAAATTATAGCACACAGTGTAGCGTACAGCACTTTTTGTTTGTCGTGTTATGCAAAAATTGTATAGTTGGTACAGTAATACCACAGCCCAATAACACTACTGCTACTACAAGATAAGCCTACAAAGACTACAATTTATTAATTTCATTAGATAAGCCAACAAAGACCGCGACTACGAATAATATAGTGCAATATTTACAACGATCGCATATTCATTAAGCGAACCCATCGCATTTTCATTAAGCGAGGTATTACGTACTAAGTCTTTATATCTTTTTTAGGTTTTCGAAAGAACAATAATTTGAGCATATTGTACATGTTAATTTGAGCATATTGTAAATGTTGTTCATAAAAAATTAATTTATTGCACAATCCCAGTGGTATTTATTTGCGACCAAAGTCCAGCAACTGTCGTGCTTCGTGCTTTCCAGTAGAAATCTTATTAATTTCGGAAAATTCATGCAGTTGGTGGAAATGGGTGTACAGTGGTATACTTGCACAAGCTGGAAAACGGCAAAACGCAATGAATGAATCACAATTTAGACAGTGCACCGCATCAATTATTTACTTGCTGTATCTGTGGGCTGTGGCATTATGTGCAACTTGCAATATTATCGTATGAATGCTGTGTGCTGCTATCTGCCCACTCCGTACAATATTTCGTCGAATTAGTGTACTATTCACCTGCAGTAAAAAGAAATACTGAATTCGATTACTTTGAACGCGTGACGAATTGTTTGACTGATTTGGGTTTATTACGTCGATAGCGCGTTTTGGTTTTACTTATTAGACGCGCGAGCCTGTAATACACTGGAGCCGCCAGCGCATTTTACAGAAATTTTATATACGAGTAATGCATGTGAACTGTGATTACTGCCGGATGCCCGGTCCATTCAAACAGAAAAAACTGGTTCTCACGAAATGTTTTTTATTAATGTTTCTCGTTTGGTTTTAATTTGCAAGTATCAAAGTAACAAATTTTAATCAAAGGCTCAGTTCTTATAACCTCCCGGTATTCGATAGTAGTGTATCGTACCGAATTTGCACATGGTTAGATGCGTTACATTACAGGCAGCCGGATGTCAACTACTGCCTTGTAAGATCGGTCAACAATAAATCTGTTGGTTAAGGTTTTGCTTGACCGATTACTGTCTTTGCCACTTTGGTATGGATACTGTGCCACGAAATTGTAAGTACAGATTGCCATTATTTCATAGTAAAAACTTTCATTCATCGTAAGTTGGCCCGACCACGTTCGGTGCAGCGGAATCCGCAGCGTGTGATCCAGTTGTATTTCGCGTAGGTACGCAGATTCCTGACATTTTTCCTTGCACATGGGCACATGTCACAATCACCTCCAGTAATCAGCGACATTCTAATTACCGACATTCCCTAGATGCGGTTTCCGTATGTCTTGTGCATAATAATCCCACGCCTGAATATTGCGACGGAATGCCGAAGAACTGTCCCGATATTTCCCGTGTGGTTTTCCCATCTGTTCCCGCGGTGTGCGTGCCATCCTGTGATCGCCTCAGTCCGTGTTCCGCGGAAGTTGTGACGCCCCGGCAGTCAGCTGATCCCGAGGAATCTCCCTGCCCGTGCGCCACCTCCATCTCCTTCACCCCCGCGAACCCCGCAGAGGGATGTGGCGGCGCACTGACAGCAACAGCAGCAGCAGAGGAGGACGCTGCCACGCTGCAACCGAGTCAGCGCAATTGCTTACAACTCGCTGAACCAGCGGCCGCGCGGGTCCGCTCCCGCAGTTTCGGGTCGGGATTGTGTTTGCGCGATTATTCGGGTCTGATGAATTTACCCTCCCGACGATCTCCGTCGCCCAAGCCTGGCTTACAAGGACCGCTGCGAGCGCGGGTAAGGCGATGTGTTGGTGTGTTTTGATTGTGAGTTTTCGGTTATTTGAGAGCAATTATCAAGATTTTGTTTCGATTATGACGTAGGTAGATGACAATGATTAATGGAATGTGTCCGGTCCGTTCTGAACAGTGTGAGATTTTGTGGCATTAATTAGGTCGATTACCTGACATCCAACAGGTGGTTGTGAGCTTATCTCGCACTTTGATAAGCATGCGACGTAACTACATAGTTTTTGCTCCGGAATCAGTGATTAATTCTTTAGCGAACGTCAGTTTAAATATCGCCAGTTTAATGCCCATGCATTCATTATTCAAAAATTTATATTTACCCATTTGAATGCACGATTGTTTGTGATTTATTCTTTAACCGAACCGGTACTTCTTTTGCTCCCTTCTAAAATTTGATTATTTTTGCTATTGCTGATCTGGTTTCTGCTCCAGAGTTCTGTTTTTCTTGTTAAGATTTCGTATTGTGCAGTGAAGGGTTATTATTAGTTCTTCTGAAATGCTAGATGCGTTACAAATGGTATGGTGAAAATAATAGTTTGGTAATTTTGCTATGAAATATGAATGCATTAATTTTTCCATGAAACGCGTAATCGAGCTTAAACCGATTACAATTTATAAAGCGTTTGGAATATTATATTTGTCTTCTACTGCGGTAGACTGTCAAAACGTAGTGTTTTTTGTAAGCACGACTGTGCAAGAGCAAGAGATGGTTGATTCACAGCTTGAGATGCAATTGTCCGTTTTGATTTTTAACCATGATTCTGCATTAAGTTAAGTATTGTTTGATTTCTACTATCAGTGGAAATAAAACGTTAAATCAGCAGTTCGGTACGGCTCTCTACATTGAGTACGTAGTGGATTTGCTAGCAGGAAATCCGGTCATTCCGCTGTAGTAAATAAACAAACAAAGCTGTTTGGCCTTTGCATCCCAGAACGCATGGCATCTGGAAAGCATAAGAAGTCGCGCGTGATCGGGTACGGCGGTTAGCGGTAGTACGTACTTTAACGTTTGCGCAACTGTATTTTTATGACTTGTAAACTGAAAGCAAAAAAACTATGATACCACAAGGAACAAGACGCGATGCGTAGATGATTGACAAATGATTAATAAGTGCTGTCTTTGTAGTATTACTGGGCCCTTGTGCGTCAATACATCTACTGTTCCTTCGCTATACAGGGCGACAAACGAAAGCCCTGGGTTCAGCTAGCCGGACACAAAGGCATGGTTGTTGTTATCTAGGCCGGAAGTGGCGAGTGTTCGAACGATTGATTGATTTACAGATTCCTTTCAGACAGGAAAGGAAGTCGGAACTGTGCTGAAAAAGATGTGCCCGGAAGAACTGCACTGTCTGACCGAGTTAATGAACGATTCGCTAAAGTCGTTCGTACCTCTCTACCTGGGCATGGTGACGGATGTTACCAGTAGACAGGGTAAAACCATATCTGATGTTGGAATTTTCAATATTTATGCAGAAAATCTTTACAAGTTTATCCATAGATTATATGATCATGCGAGATCTCCTAATTGGATTTGACCCTGCGGTATCCGTTATGGATTGCAAAATTGGCATCAGAACCTATCTGGAAGATGAATTAACCAAAGCCAGGAAAAAACCAGAATTGAGACCGGTAAATTTATGTTTTTTTTTGCATTTTTGTGTGGTTTCGATTGCTTTTGTGTAATCGCTGTAGAGGTGAACAATTACTTATAATTTTCTAACTGTTTCGCAAGAAGCTAACAGCGATATAATTATTAGGATATGTATCAGAAAATGATTGAACTGGATAGAAACGCTCCGACTGCAGAAGAGCATGCGCAGAAAGCTGTGACAAAACCACGTTACATGCAATGGAGAGAAACTCTCAGCTCAAGTGCAAGTTTGGGATTTCGAGTTGAAGGAATTAAGGTGGATCACTGGATATCGTATATTTTGGCATTTGTTAGAGGTGGATTAATACTGGTTTGCAACTGTAGAAACTTGATGGGTTCTCGTCCAAAGATTTTAAATTTACCAAAAGTCGACAGGATGTTATTACGACCTTGAAAATGTTTACGGACTGCAATAAGGACGTCATCGTAAGTGTTTCTTTGTGTTTTAATGGATTTTAGCTTGTGAGGGCAAAGCTAAATTTTAAAATATTTGCATTAACCTTTTCTTTTTCAGCAAATGTACATTTTGCGGTTAAGGGTACTCAAAAAAGCTTTATTGGAATCCCGATTTTTTGCGGCTCATGAGGTAGGTCTTTTAGACAGTTTAGTGTGGACATTGGCTGTCTGGTCCAGATGTTACGCACTTAATGAGATTCATTGCAGGTTATCGGCACTTCGTTATTGTTTATTCACGACAAGGACAATCTGGCTGGCATATGGATGATTGACTTTGCTAAAACTGTGCCCTTGCCCGCTGACGTTCACGTTGATCATGTGCGTCCCTGGGAAGAAGGAAATCATGAGGACGGCTATCTTTTCGGTTTGAACAATCTCATTGATTGTTTCGAAGAACTTCAGCGTCAATTGGAGTTGACCAAATCCGTATGATCCCAAAGATTCCATTCCGAGGTACACATTCGAATAGTTCGCTAACCGATCTTCACTTCCGGAAAATGCCACTTGTATTACTTCATCTATCTTTCTCTATGAACTAAAGCCACCGACTGGTTGAAATATTTTCCGTAAAATACTTTATTGGTCGGCTTCCATGTTGATCCAGTGCCTTTTTGTATTTGTTCCTCAGTGATTGTTGACCGGTTTCCGATGAGATAGTGTGTTTGTATTTATCAATTGTGAAGATTAGAAACGTATTGTTCGTTTGCTCTGTGATTACTCTTACCTATGCGACTTGTGAATTCAGAAAGCAAAACGTATTTTCACCACTGAATTTGTCTTTTCCGTTTAGCATAACCGATAGGCGTAGTGGCTAATTAGTCCGCCTGATGGGAATCAGTAGATTATGGAACTATTTTAAGCTGTTAACCCGCAACAGGTAAGTATTTTCTTGAAAAACGAAAATGAATTCCTGTCGTTTTCGCTAGATTGTTTTTATTATTGCCAAATGGGCTTCTAAGGAGATCTGTTTAAGTTCCATTTCGTGCAGATCTTGCAGCGCATCCATATTAGTTGCAGCAAAATTAGCGGCACGATTTTTGACCGTCTCGTTTTTATTTTGAACTGCCCACTCTAACCAACTTAAACAGTTGCCAGTTTGCAGTCTTTGCTGGAATTGCTCTTCACAGGCTGCTTCCAGTTCGGCCCACTGCATGTGCAGTGCCGCTGCAAAAACGGGCTGCAGTTGGTCGTCCGATAAGCCTTCGGAAGGGATGACAAAATACGCGAAATCCAAAATTTGATTCAGCGTGGGTCGGTCAACCCACCCCGCCGTGATGATTATGGGCGACGGGCGTGTCGTCGTTTCTCCCGATAAAGGTTTGAACACCGGGAGATACGATTCAAAGAACGGTATCCGAATACGAAGAATCAGGCTGTGTGCCAGGATCTCCGCGCCATCCTTCGTTGTGATGGCAAGGTCACAGGAAGCGGTATCCTTGCGGTGGTGAGCAAAAATCTGCTTCCAGCTGGGCAGGGTGGGCTCAGCAATCTGATAAGATGAGGCGATGTGTGCCGTACCCAGCTGCTCATCACCATCCACGCATTCCCATTTGACCACACTGATGCTCAATGGGGGAGATGCCAGGCGACCTTTCTTGCGCTTCCCTGACGGAGGCGCATCGGATTTCGATCGCTTTGGACTGGGTCCTGTGCTTTCGTTACCGGGAGCTCTTTTTGGCATTACGTATGTAAAAAAGGCAATACCTGGTCATGGAACACATGGAAGGCACGCAACTAGTGCAAGTTATCTGTTCTACATCAGTACTTCTATCACTTCGTAAGCAAACAGCCATTTATAAAGCAACAACTATCCACATAGCAACTGATGCATCATTCTATGTAGTTGAAACTGCATACTGCATCAAGAATATGTGTGCTACCCGTAATAAGTTCAGTGTTGCACTTATTATAAATGTATTATAAATACTTACATTTTCCTCGTAATCATATTAAATCAAAATGTTGCGACATACTAAGTATTTGCTTAACCAAAGGACAGATTTACGGTAGGTCTTCGTCCCGGGACATTTTGTGTACTCGTACTGATTGTACAAAACCGAATCGAGTATTAGGGCGACGCCTCACAGACTCTAATTTGACATCTAAAATTGTTATTAGATCGGATGCACGGACATATACAGTAAAGATCAGTTAACCATCTGCCAGAGTGATGATTTCACGAATAAATTAAACCATGCAAAAGCTTGGCACAGATAAAAAACTTCCTCAAGTGGAAGGTACGAATGAAATGACAAATGGACCTGGATGGGAAAGGTTATTCTTTTAATGCCATAAAACTATCTGTATTGCCAACAAAATAAGGATAAAATTATTATGTAATAAACACACAAGAGAAACTAGCGAGCTAAAATTAATAAAGCGCAAAAACACAACTACGAACAACAGCACAAACTGGAATTTGCCTTCAACGGGACAAAGCAGCAGCCAACACAGTCAACACGTACTTCAAACTCAAGATCAGTTACTATCACAGGCTATACTCAAATATTTTTTTCCTGGATTTTGACACAAATTTCACGAACAACATATTGATTGTTAAATTTGTGACCGCGGTACGGGGGGACGATGATCTAATAGGCCGGCGACTGGAAGCCGTGAGCGTCTTTCTGACCAGGTGAGGAGAAGGGCGGCTCCTGGTAGCGATCGTCCGGCGCACCCGGGTAGCTGCTATAGCCCCCACGGGGCATCCCGCCCGCCATGTCCCCTTCGAAACCACTGGGCGCGAAGGCGTTGGCTGCTCCCTGTTTGTACTTCAGGTAGCTGAGATAACCCAACGCTCCCCAAACGAAAATGCTGAAAAAGGAAAATGCCGCCGCAGCCTGAGCATTGGTCGTTCCGTAACCAGCTGGAATCTCCTCGCTCTCCGTCTTCGACCACTGATCCACCAGATAGCAGAACGTAATGAACCATAAGAACGTCCACAGAGCCGTAAACCCTAGTTCGGCGATTACGGCACGTCGACGGATTTTGATGCTGCTGATCTGCTCAAAGCGAGCTTCCAGGACTAGCAGAGCGACAGCTCCCAGGAATCCCAACACGCCTATGCCGACGGTCCACCCACCTAAAACGGCTGGCTATCAGCGAGTCGTTAAAGGTTAGCGCATACACAGAAAAAGATTACTATCTAGGCAGTAAATTTACTTTAATTATAACTCCCAACAGTAGCAGTTAACCGGTACAACACGATCGATACTTATTGTTAGTAGAAATCTGGAAGATAAGGCAGCTCAATGACATGCCTAAAACGAAGGCGAATTAATCTTACATGCGCCGCTCTCGTTAATGATGCACTTCTCCTCCTTATTTTCCATCGTCATGTAGCCTTCCGACGAAATGCAGGCAAAAACGATAATGGCAAAGAGGATGGAGACTATGCGCAGGATGACGGAGGGCCGGCGAATAAAGGTCATAACGTCGAACGCCGATCCGGCCTTGCCGGCGCCGTAGGCGCCCCCCGCATTCATCATATTCTGAGGATTGAGCATGCCCGTGTTCATCATCTTCAAGCCGTTGACTGCCTCTAAACGTAGTCCACGCACCGAAAGTGTTACACTAGGAAAATAAAAATCAACCCTTTTTCTTTCGCCACTGACATTTATCGATTTTTATTAGTGTGAGGAGACGGAGAATCAATCGTACCCAATGGTAGGGATTTACGTGAAAGCGAAATTTAGCCGCATATGCACATGTGTGTACAGGCAGCCAAATGGAAAGGGAGCAGGGAAGCCGGAGAGCTGTAGATCGCGATGCTGCTGCTGTATTACCGCCAGCGCAACTGTGCCGATCCCGGGATGCAATGAGCTGTGTGGGAAAGGCAGTATTAAATATCCCGTTAACGTTGTAAATCCAGGTCCCTTTTCGCGCAGGCTCTGCAAGAAAACGGCCACTGAGAATACGTATGACTACACAAATTTGAATTTATTCTACGTTCCCTTAAGCCCGCGCCGTACTGTAATACGCCGCGGTGGAAGCTTTAAAAAGCATGCTCGCATGAGAGCTTGGGTTAACTGAGGTCATAAGACAATGTGGCACATGTTTATGCAGTGCCTCCTGACCTAAATGACATGTTTATGCAGTGGTGTTGCTAATGAATGTACCGGAAACCGCGCTACGTCCCTTCGCCAGTGCCCCAGGAATATCAAAATTCCTCTTCGATTTAATTACTTTGCAACAAAGTCCGCAGGGTCATCAGCAGAATTTATCCCTGTTAAGTATCGCGAAATTCAACAACATCCTTTTATTATTCTAGATCTCCGCACGCAAACGTTTTTGCGAATTCACCGTAATTATTAGAATTATTAGATAGGAATGCCGTTTTGAGAAACATGCAAACCAGAGAAGAATAAGTAAAAACATCCGATTCACCACTTTTGAAGATTAAAATTGAGTCAACGTATATCATATCAGTGTATACGAGTACGACTCGTCCTTCTGCATTTCATTCACACATTTAAAAAATTTTGTATTTTGAAGCTTAATTCTTGCCAGTGGTGTATATTTAAAGGAGACTTTAACAACACAAATACAAAACGAAAAAGAAAAGGTTACATATACGACTGCATATATATAGTATACGACTGTTTTAATAGATCACATCCAATCCTTCCATGGTGTATCGTCTTCAGTTCACATCATACCAAAATCTATTTAAACAGGTGTGCTAAATCAACAGCTAATCCGTACACCGCTTTCATCCGCCAAACGTAGTACTCGTATACAGTATGCAGCTGAAAAGTTTGTACGCCTAACGGGGCAACAGAGGGAACCACCGGGAAACCGAAAAATTTCTTACCACAAGCGGGAATATCTGTATTTAGTCAGCGCAATCTTTAGAACTAAGTGGACGTTAGCATTTGCTTGGAGAGTTCAGCATAAAATTAACAAACACAATTTAATGCAGAATTTTTCACATTTCATGTAAATGCTAACATAAGTGACTGAACAAATCAAAAGGCAAAGGCCGATAAAATGTGAGCTTCGAAATTGACTCTGACTACTGCAATCGAATTTTCGAGACACGTACGGTAATGGACAATGAGGAAAGGGATACCAGAATCAGGCGAAAAACCGTCGACTCCAACATTTCGCATTTATAGAGGCCAGCATTATTGCACCAAACAAGAAATACAGTACCACATATGGTATGCCCAGACTCCCTTATAGCTGTTACGATGTAATTGTCTTTTAACAGTATTTACTGTTATATCAAAAATGTTCTAAACTGTCAACACTACGCTAGCAATGATCCTGTGTGCGGTGTTGTTTGCGTGTTAAATCCCAAATCGATTTGTACAAAATTAATTAGCCTGAAAGTAATAAAGGAAATAAAAAGTTCAACGATTATGGAGTACATGCGCCCAGGCACAGCATCACACGGGTCGGGATTTTATGGCCCTTTAAAATAATTATTTAATGACCAAGTCATAAAATAATGGCGGTAGTGCCGACAAACCACAGGTAGCAAGCACCCTCAGACAGTGAACTTTAGCATGTTATAATACGAGTACAACGAGTGTTTCCTGCCGGTAAAATACGCATACACGGAAACTGGATGCAGAATTGCTTCTTACTTTAATTTATGTTTTATTATACAGTAGTCTCAGAATACGAAGCTGACTGCAATAACTACACGACGTAAGCCTCATTACCTTAATGATTAATCCTTCCGCTTGATCTTCCAGCTCCAAATGGAGAAGTTAATAACACAATCCGACTGTCGCTGGCGAGATCGGCTAAATCAAAAGTCAGAAACAGAAATCAGCATACCATGACCGTACACTGGACACACCTTTCCAGCTGAAGCCAAGAACGATAATAACCACTGTGTGCGACGACGGAAATTGAAAAAATGTTGCAGAGGAAGATGCCTCTCACTTACAGGGATTCGCCCTGGATGACGATAGGGAGATTTAAGCAAATGACAGTTCGCCAACGCGGCAAATGTGGATTTACGTTGATCAGGATGCACCTATGCATGTGAGTGTGTGTGCTGCGGGAGCCTGGCTGTTACGACTGAAAGCGAAATCACGAGAACGGCCTCGCTCAATGCAGTTAGCCCCGGACGTACAGCACATACTGTACCCACTGTACCGTACATATCCACATCCACAGCGGCCAACACCCCAGTCGCAGTGAGTACGAATAACGCCAACTGGCAAGAGCACAGCTTTAATGGTTCAAAGACATCGGAATCGTAAAGAACCGCTGGATGTTAGATAACTCCAATGGCAGTCTTGCGCCTGCTCGTAAGTACCGTACACCCAAGTTGACCCAACCAGTTGGCGCGTTCGGATTCACGCATGTTTAACGTCATCGCTGATCGGAAGTGCTCGAGACTTAGCGAATGGGCTGGTAAATTGGGAATACGGAATGAGTTGTATCCACTCCCTAACCTGACACATCTCTCCCGAAACTGCAGAGGGTATTATGGGATCGCATGCTATTAACAATTAATCCTCCGTTATAAAAAGTGCTAAGTCCATAAACGCCGGAAATCTTGAAATAGCCGTCTGGAAGCAGATACCATGCAGAAAATAAGAAATAAAATACCGGCGTTTCCGAATAACACAGCTTCCGTCGTAGTACCTGATGGGCCGATATGATGCTAACAACACAAATTGAATATTACTTACTTTTAAATTTTTAATCCCCATAACTCGCAACCTTTTCGTTTTCTTATGTCTTTATCTGATTACTGTTGCATTCCAAAAAAGCCCAGAGGAATGTATTACAACAAGACTTTGCATTTATGCTGCTATGCTTATCTTTTGGATCACCCATAAAAAAATTATTTCTTTAATTATCTGGAGAGCTAACAAATTATGGACCTTTTTTGCAAAGTACAGATTAACACAAACCCAAAAGTGAGATTCGTTACGTTAATGGGGTCAAGTTACGTAACGAGAGATCTATAAAATCTTTATAACCCTATATACTTGCCCATTGTGTCCGGGTGACAATTTCTTCCAGAATCCACCTGGTTAAATTCTATGTTGTTTTACAAGCTGATATAAATGAGCGCTTTGACACCAACTTGTGACAGTACGATACCATGCTCGTTCATCATCTTGGTCTCAGCACTAACATAGAATGATATGCGCAAAACGTTCGCTGCGATTATGGGTTTGACTTTGGGATGTGCATCACATAATCGTAATTCCGGAAATGGAGTGCGCTTCAACAGTAAATCTATCCTAACAACAAAAATTAAAGGAGTATTTACGTCTCTGTTCCGACCTGATAATAATAATACACTCGTATAGTCTAGTATACTGGGTAGAAAGTCAGCACATAAAATTAATGAATGAGCAGTGCATGCGCCAAGTAAAAAAACTTTCATTTCACCACCTATGTATTTCTGTTAAACAGTTGAGCTGACATTTTGTTGGGTTTGCGACATAGTTTTTGTTCCACGTTTTCGACAAAACAAACATCGAAACGTGATTTTCCTTAACGGATAAAAATCATTTCAAAACCTTAAATCTTGAACAAAAAACAATTAACCTGATCCATGCGTCGAGTACGACTGAATGACAAGAAAGCTGCTTACAAACGAAATAATTTACCCCAGAACCCAATACCAAAAAACCCGCGAAAATACCAAAAATTACTTAAGGTTAAGCATGGAATCGGAAAAGATCGGCATCATGGCATGTGCTTGCATATGAAATGGCAATTATGGCCCGTCACCAAGGCTTGAACTTGAAGCAATTGGCTCATTTAGTCTTGTTTTCGAGACTATCCGCCGCAGATTTCTGGCTGGCTTCCTCTTCTTCCTCCAGAGCATAGTCCGTTGGCTCCTCACCTGGTCGCAGCAGACGACCAACTAGATGGTACTTATCTGCAAATAAGCTGGTTATTAAAAATAACAAATAACTACAGATTTCGTCTAAAAAACTAAAACTAGAACATACAGAATTCTACAGGGCGAACCGAGTGTCTCTCCCAAATACTTCTACTTGTGAAATTATTCACCTAAAAATATTCGAGGTATAACAATTTTACCTTGAAACTGCTGTTCCCAGTCCTTAACCGTGTTCATCTGATCCAGCGTCAAATCCGACAGGTCGTCGTACGTGTCCCGCACCGCTGAATCATCCAGGGCAAACGTACCCAAACCTCTCGATGCATCTCTTCCCGCAAAAATCCCATACGGACCACCTAAGAAAAATAAACGCCGTTGAAGAAAAGTGATTTCTAATGGTCCATTCACCATAAGATTATCGTAACAGCATGAAATCTTCCAAATACACGACAGATAGTTTAAATGCAGAAGGACAGAACCCAGCGAACTATAAGCGCAGGAAAGTACCTGGGCCATAGAAACTTTTGCCTCTGGTAACATCGAACACTTTCCCATTAACAGCCATAAGGATGCGACCTTCGGGACCCAGGCCATTGAAGACTTTCAGTTCTTCCAGAGTGTAATCCTTTTTGGGCAATTTGGGCAAGGGAGGCGGACGCACAGGCCGAGGGGCATTTGCCCGTCTACGGTCCTGAATAATCTTGTAGATCAGATAAAAGGTAACGGCCAAAAGGCTCAAATTCAGAGGACTCGTCAGGATCTCACTGACAGATCCTGCCAGTCGCTGCAGCAGGGTTCCACTTTCCGCAATCAGCTGATCCGCTGGAGGGGGTGTGTTGACAGACGCGCTGGGGTTTCCACTAGTTGCTCCTGCATCTTTACTGTCCATGGTATAATGACTAAAATATAACTGCAATGTCTACATAAAAACACGAGGCCAAGATGGATCTAGGGAGCTGGCAATTCCGAAGCTCCACTCCAATGTGCGGGTGTACATTGTACCACGAATGGCAAAGTGAACGTCGAGTTGGATTTGTAGCGAATTCGAAATTTTTCGGTTTTTCTTCTGGATGGCCGACAGGCGATGAACGGTAGGCTCTCGAGCCCGACCCGTTGAAAAACCGATGTAGATTGGAAAAGAGCCGCTTTTCTTTGTTGCTTTAATACTGCACCGGAAGTCATAGCCAAAATTTAATAAGTAATTGTATTTGTGACTACTGTTTTTAGCGAAATGGTTTCTGAACTGTTTTGTGGATCGGTTGGAAAACAATCAAGTTGAACCAACCCATTAAGAAGGGCAAGTAATAGTCATTACTGTAGAAAACCAAAAGAGGTTGTCAGTACTCGACGACTCGTATTGATTTTTGGTTGTTTATTAATAATTGTTAATGTTTCACTTTGATTGACTACGTAGTGTTTCGCATATGTATGCAAATCGGTCTTATTGCTTGCGAAAAATTATTAATATAATTTAATATTACTGTAATAGTATTAACACTGCAGAGTCCTAGGATGCAATATGGTGTTTAACTTTCTGTGATAAATATAGATATAGTTGTTATTGTGGTCCTTGTAAAGACCCCAATGATAATAATTATAATTGTGGGGGTTATTATTGTGGTCTTTGTGAATAGTACATAATTTTTGTCTGTCGATAGATGTTGTTTAAGGAAAGCCAAAATTTCGTTTTGACAATCGCAATAAGCGCAGCAATCTCTGTTTCCGTCTTTCTGATTTTATCAGAATTTTCAGAACACATGTTACGGTATTACCATGGCAAACTAAACGCTAGTATTATGGTATGCCATGGTATCACCAAATACCAATATCTGTTTAATATAAAGTGTAATAAGTAATTCAGTTCGAAATCCTTGATCCACCACTCGCCATCGTTTCCATATAAATAGATCTATATTTACTATCTAAATCGTAAAATTTAATATGTAAAAGGTTTTGTTGTTTTAAATAGATCAAAGTATAATTTTCTAGTATGCAATAACTGAATCACAATTTTAGCGTGAACAGTAAGTAAAGGTGTACGCTATATACCGGTACTGCAACTATGTTCTATGTACGTATGATATTGAAGTTTCAGCTTTTGTCGTGCTTTATTATTGCATAAATTAATGATAGGTGCGTATTAAAGCCCATTTACCACATTGTACTTACAATTACTGTAACAATATGTAGAAGATATGTACAAGTACTTTAGAGCATAATACATACGTATTTTTAACGGCATTTATTGCTAGATCCTGTGTGTGATAAAAACACACAAATACATAAGGTTAAAATAGTGTGTGACATTTATAAGTGTTACAAGTGCTTACTGTTTGGTTTTACGAATGTGTAGTTCTTACAAAAGTTTATTTACTGATTGCGTATCGGTATCGCGTGTCTTAACAGATTCATGAAGAATCATACCTACTCAGGCTACTCGCAGCATTAGAAGACATAATTCCGCAGCATCAAACACAAAGGCTACTACCATACAGGGAGCTTGCCGGCAGTCAGATTCTTGCGTTACAGTAAAATTTAACGTGGTGTTTTGCTCATTACAGTGTTGTGCCAATACCGCTGAATGCCATCGGGCTACTTTGTTTTATATTTACTAAGTCGACTTTTAAAAAAAGATTTTGTTAGTATATTTCACTCATTTTTATCGAAAATAACATATTTTTACGAACGGCAAGTAGAAGTAAGTAATATTGCAGGCGATACATTGTCCCTGTATGCATGCGGTAGCCGTTAAAGAGGTCAATGGTTGCCCGTTCATTTTGCCACCGAGAAAAGATTCAAAGTTGTAGCCTCTCTGCTCTAATCGTGCGCTCGTTGCTCCTACCCTGCGTAATAACATGCGCAGAGCGCCTTGTACATACATTCATGTGTAGAATAGTTTAGCGGCAGCCGTCCCCATGAGTCTATGAGGTCGGCCGATGCCAGTAGTGCGCCGAAGCACCATAATATACTGCGGCTTTATTAATTTGCGAAACAAGGATATCGGTTTTTCAAATGAAACATAGCGCATCATCATAAACTGCAATTTCGAAATTATTGCGATTGTGGTATGGTGTATTTTAGCCCCAAAATTCGTCATCAAAATCCAGCTAGCCCCGACTGATTTACCCGAACAGTCAGCTACGCGCGCTACGCCAGAAAGTTTAATGTGTGATCGGTGTTTTTGTGCCAAACCTTAACTGCACTCACTCACCAGACAGACTTTCCAGTCTTTCAGTCACGCAGTGTGCTAAACCTTTTAGTAGTACGTTTACAATTCTATATCACATTTACGAGAGCGTAAGATCTGTTTTGCGAATTATCGATATTTCCCCATCCTGTTATAGCGTTGTCTTCCCCTTCATCTGCTACAGTGCCTTCTTTCGATTGTGCCAGTTATAATATCCCCGTTCAAAGTGAATCCTCATCGCCACTTTTCAATAAGCTCAAAAATCCCGATTCCTGTAATTATTGAAATTGGTGTTTGGATGATCCGTTTGGCTGTACAACCTGTTTCGACGACGGCCAGTCAGTCCATCGCCAGCCATCCCTGGGTAACAAGTCACACCATACAACGGTATCCTCTGTCGCAACATTGAATGGGATGCGGTGCGCCTTGCGGTTTCCTTTGACAAAAGGATTCTGACTTCCTTAGTGTGTTTTTGTTTGGCGCCCTGGAACGCCGGGACGAATGCAGCTATGATGGACATTCTCCCATGTCTTCCATGCTCATTGTTGCTGCCATCATCACTTTGTCCGTGAGATCAGGCGGACCTTCAAATGCTTGGCGGCCTTAAAATGGATGCTGGTGAGTTTCTATTACTGTTGCTTGGCGTATGTGCCGCGGTGCCCCTGATATGACTGTGCTGCTGCTCTAAATTGTGTCAAGTGTAAACCGTAAACGAAGCCATCGTCATTGTCACTAACTGTTGGGGCTAGATCTAGAAATGGTAGTTTTGTTGTCAGGTAGACGCGATGCCGCTGTTTTTCCTGGTTGCATGCTGTAGTAGTCATATAATGAGCAGACGTTGACGTTGCAGGTTGTGAAACGAAAATGCATATCACGTCGCCCAAGCCGTTTGCGGAAATTTCTCATGGAATCATGGTGCATGCCTTATCTGCGACGAAAAGCAGCAAGAAGAAAGTCAAAGATGAACGGCACCTTAATAAGATAGGCAACTATCGGCGCCATCACAAGAGCAAGCAGGAGGATACGGAGAGCTTCTTCAGCAATACGTGCATCACGGAAATTCGCGAATCCAAGGATCTGTGCAAGAAATTCCAGGAGACCAAGGCCAAGAAGAATAAGAAAGAGAAACTGGACAAAAACAATAAGGTAGGCATCTGCTCAAGTATGTGCCGAGTGACGCTTCTAGCGTTGTTTGTGTCGGTGTTAGTTAGACATCCCCATCGGCTGTATATGTGTAGTTTCCTTTGAATGGGTTCTTTCGCACTACAAATTTGTGTAGACGAAAAAATTACGGTACGCACGTTTGCATTTTATTATGTTACGTAACTTTACGGCAATGTAAATTGTAATGCATAGTTGTTTTTCTTCGAAAGTGCAGGTATGAAATGAGTGTGAAGTGGGTGCCGCATTCTTTCAAATATTAGTAACAGTTTCCTTGCATGTACGACAGTAGGTAAGTTAAATTAGAGATAAATGTTGATGTTAGTTTTGCAGAACGTATGAATTCGCTCATTTTATTGGTAGTTCTTTTAAGTGCTTGACAGTTTACACTTTGAAGTGATACCTACATTTACCGTTCTAGTTTTCCATCACACACTTCCAAGCAATATTCCAGGTGTGCAACTGCGCACTGGAGTTGGCAGAGTAATTCTTTTATTTGCATATGTACCGAAGCTGAAAGTTGCACTTTCGATTTGCACATTTCCGGTTTTTATCAAGTTCACGTCTTTTCGTACAATTTTAACTTCGTGACTCACAATCAGGAGGTGAGCGGTACGTCGTCTGATTTTCACGTACCGCGGGTGACCTATGCGTAGAGAAATAATATACTGAGTATCATCGGGACAAAGTCCGTTGTTGCCGCAGCGTCGCACTGATTTCGATGAAGTTTTCTTATGACGAATGTATAAATGCAACTGTTTGCACAAATCATTCCAGCGTATGTGGCGCGAATGGGTTTCTAGTTTATCAGTCGATGTGACGCCTGGTTCCGGTTTTGCGAATAATAGTTGCATCATCACTTCACAACATCAAGTTGCTAACCTGTTGATGTTGCCTTTTGCAGAAAAATGATGTTCTACCTGTTACAACGATCAACGATGAGAATCGCACAGCGGTCTATCAGCGTACGGATAGCGGCGCGCCACTTGGTCCACACGCTGTTGTTAACGGCAACATATCCCCGCCAAGTGCTATAAATATTAAACCGGCTGATCTGTTTCGTGGTAATAGTACTCCAAATTCACATAATTTTCCTGACGGCGCACAGACACTGGCAATTGGCGCAAATGACAACTTCAATGTTCTGTACGGTGCCGATGGCAACTTTCCTGATTTTTTGGAAGCCGGCCCATTACTGGATGATCTCCTTTCCACTGGAAACGATTTACCTGCAGATCCTGGAGACATAAACTCCATTTTGGATCATTTGCAGGAGACGTTGCCAGACTCTTTTCGGGAGCATGTCAGGGCATTCGAGGCTCAGTCACCCCAGATTCCCTATGATAATGCCGTTAAGAATGAAAACTTTGCATCTCCGCATGAGATGAATGGATTCCTTTCGCCAGAATCTCGCGGTTCGAATTCAACTCCGAACTCTGCATATTCTCCGAGAAGCACAATGGCTCCTACTGGTACGATGGTTTTGGCAATCAGCTATCATTTCCATGTTTTATAGTGATTCAAGTAGTTAACTTCGACGTCGATGATACTTTGGACATTCATTTTTCTCTCAGCAGACTGGATTAATCTTGATCTCGATTAATCTGGATTCCCTGAACTTGCAGAGTGGATTGTACTAGCTAGCTCTTTCGTTTCTCTGAATTCATTGCACGTGCAGTTTATAGTAGTATACTTCGGTTTTTTTGTGCACTATGTTATTCTGATCTTGAAATCTGTTACAGTCATGAACGGACCAAACGCCATGCAGCGGGTGACCCCCGACAATCTGAGACCCGGTGTCGACTCCAAACGTTTTCTTCCGTCACAAGCCGACAAAGCACCACTTCCTCCTTTCCCGGGAATGCGTTGCAATCTCCCGACGCAGGCTTCCGATCGCACATATAATCCTCATCAGAAACCTCTCTCACCCTTCGCCCCGATGCATGATTTCTCTGCGCGGCTGGACCCGCAGAAGCCTTCTGGCCCGGTGATGAATGCTCCTCATGGGAATGGATCGTTTCCTATGGTGCAGCAACAGCAACAAACAATGCAGCAGCAGCAGTCTTCCGTGGAAATGTACAATAACGCACACGCGTATGTCCGGCCTGTTGGACAGCCAATGCAGCAGCAGCCGATGGTGTTCGACAATATGCAGCACATGCAGGCCCCGCGACATGTCATGCGAGCGAACCAGCCGGCACCTGCAGTGACGAATAATAGGTATTATCCGGCTGATGTACCCGGGCCAGGCCAGTTTCAGCAGGCACAAAATATATCTCCAAATCCGGTTACATACAACAACCATATGAACGATGGTGGAGGGATGGTGTACAATCCGAATCCCCAAGCGACGTCCTATGGACAGAACGTGCAGCCGGGTTACAATGGGCCGATGATGGCCAATCGTCTGCCCAGTGTACAGCAGTATGCCGCAGCTCCCAGTATTCGTGCACCTCAGTATCGTAACGCTATGCCGCCGGCCAGTGGACAGACGACGGTGGGTGGTCGCATGTACATGAACCCAACCGGAAGTGGCAGTGGCGGTCCGTATGCAAATCATATGCAAAACCCCTCAGTGTACCCGGCCAACATCGAACAGCAACCGTCCATGAGGCATATGACCGGCTATCGACCGCCGTACGGACCCGTGAAAACCAGTTTAGTTCAACAACCGCAACAACAACATTATGCTCCATCGACTAACATGAACGTTCCCCAGCAGCAGCAAGCACCACAGCATAGGCAGCAACAGTCCGCCGGGTTCTACCCCATGCAGAATGGCGGTTTTATGCCGGATCAGCAGGGTTTTGTACATAATCACCCTGGTGATCCATATGCCGGCAGCTGGACATCCTGAAGAATGGTGCGTTTAGTCATTTGTGCTTCCGACGGCATCTCGTGGCCAGTGTGTGCTTCCTGTGCAGGCAAAGGGCAGGCGGGGTTTTTTGAGTTTCTTAGTAGTTGTAATTTTCGTATCTTTGTCTCCGTTATAATAGTTTACAGCGACGGTAATTTTACCCTAGCGGAATTAGACATTCCGAGTATTTTTGGAATAATTTTGGAATTTTGAATGTACCATAGTTATCCTTCCGTTGCTCAGGTGTTCCATTTTCTGGATTTCTGTTCTTATCTGGCAAAACGAATAATTCCTTTGACTGAGCAGCGTTTATTTATTTTGTACAGTGCCTACCGGTATTTGTGAAGTGGGTATTTTCGCGTAATAACGGCACTTGGTTTCGTGTGCACAGTATCGATAACATGCGTTCGGGAATTCAGTATTGTTGCTAACTTGCTACGATATAAATAAGGACGTTATGCCTCCAGAGGCGGGTTTTTGGGATTCGTAAAAACTAAAACATAATAACAATGGTTACTAACAAGCTTCGGTTACTTATTTGATAATCTGTAAATATTAATTTTGAATTTTTTTTACCAAATGTTTGAATTCTGCTTTAATTACTTTATAGCACAACTAACACGGGAGAATTTAATTTTACTGCAGTTGAAACGAAACTGAAAAGATATGCACTGTATTATGCGCATGAGAAGAATATCACCATTAGTGTCATGAAAAAGTTCAGCGCAGCATTCAATGAATCGAAAAAATCACATCCAAGCCTTGAGTCAGTTCTTTCGTCCACTGCAACTGATTTTGTGCATTTGTTTTACAAAACACCCGGGCTTAGTTTATCGGATGCGCCTAAGCTTTTTCCGTTTTCCCATATGTCGGCGAATGGAAGAAAGAGGTTTTCTTGGACAAAATCCATTGTCTGCATCAAATACGCCCACGCTGCCTACGAAATATAATCAAATAGTTTTCAGGGTACAAAAATGTACTGTTTCGATGTAGCCAGTTTATGCGTAATTTTGTAGTGCCCTCGCCAGGACATTGTATTCTCCGCGTGCCTGTACTATTACTTACAAGCTGGCTTTTGTGTATTCTCCGCGTGCCTGTACTATTACTTACAAGCTGGCTTTTGACAAACTCCATGCTTGATGCAGCTGGAAAAAGTAACAAAATAATTATATAATTTATAAAGTTTACAATGTAGAATTTAATAATACATTTAAAAAAATAAAAATCTTAAGGTAATTCTTCGTACACAGCACATTGTGACCTTACCGTAGCCCTTCGGGTGTTAATGGATGCTCTCCTTTTTTGATTTGGAGACATTCATGCTGCATATCAAAGCAGTCGCACATGCAACCGTTATCGCTCCTTCTCGGATTAAATGGATTTGGGCAAACTTTGCACCTGAAAGTGAAGTCGATGTAATTTTTATGTTTTCTTCTCTTAATGCTGTACAATAAGCAGTACTGGGAATGCCCACAAAAACAGCAAGGAAAATCAATGCCCGTATGTCTAATAAGCTGTGTATGTTTCATATTAATCATTCAAATTGCTGCAAAATGCAGAGACTAACACCAAGCACAGTATAATAAGTACGTACACACTACACAGAAATTAGTCTAAAGAAAAACACATTGCCAGGTATTTTTAAACTGGAGTCTACCCTTCATGTTTGGAACTGGTCAGCCGATGCTTCACTGAATGGAAAAACGAATACCGCCATAATTTCTTGAGTTCTTCCATCTCAGGATACTGGCACTCGCATCGCGTATGATTTACAAACTAAAATTAGCACAGGTATGAAGGATTTGAGATATGGAGCCTTCATCGGATAAAATCAATCACTAGTTTACAGTTTTGTGAATATATAGATATCTACTTAAATTTATAGATATCTACGGTATATAACAATGATTAGACACTATAAGTACGAGTAAAAGATTACATAATACTCGTATCGACTGTCAGTTTGTTAGTACTGCGGCAATATCTACAAAGTCCGGGCAACTTTTTTAGAGTTAGCGAGAAAGCACAAAAAATTCACTTCGCATAATGATGTTCTTGAGAGCTAAACACATCGGACTAATTAAAATCAGTTAAAAACTAACGCTTACGGTCACTGTGAGACCAACAACTTCCATATACAAACGTGTAAATATACCATTCAAATTATTTTGCATTTCTAGAGGGATGTTTTTTGCAGTGTTACCTGGTGCGCATCAGTGCGGCGGCATACAAAATATACTTTTGGTTTACCTTCAAAGTTCGCAAAAAATCGACCGAATCAAACTTAACAAGCATTTCCTCTTCATTATCTGGAGATCCCTCTACGGACATAACCTGAAAAAGGGACATACTGAGTCCAAAGATCAATAAGGAAGTGTGTCGTATATATATACTTACAACCAGTTATGTTCAGGGGTGCTAGGATTAACATCAATTACGTAAGTGATACCTTGTGAGTGTTTTACCCAACTCTGTATGACCTTTGAATTTAATGCTTTGTTAATGGACAAGTTAGCCAGCACTTCGTACACCTGTCACAAACTCACAGTTATGATAAGGTAGTCACTTACAAACAAATCCCAATTAACAATTTCTCGCTCTGCTGAAGAGCAAATTTGTCCCGATTCACAAGAACAAAACAAAGGATCGCAGCGATGAAGTATTACGCCTGGAAGTAGGAAGCGAAATTATTTCGATATGATCGACTGTGGCAAACGTATACAGTTGAGTTTTTTCACCTGTTGCAAGCAATACGTAATCTACCATTGTTTTGCTCAGTAGATTAAGGAAAACTGCGACTGCTAGGCAGTGAAATTTTGCTGTTATGAGCTTATTGTGCAGGCAAAAGCTCTCTGTATTGGTAGATAAAATGTTATAGTAAGTTCTTGCTGCAGCTAAATTTTAATTCCAATAAGAAACTTTTGCTGTTCTGTAGACGCTTTTTTGTCTAGCTGGATAAATAATTTGTTTTTAAACGTCACTGGTTTTCCCGCTGGTCTGCACGACTCACTTGAGGGAACGTAGACTGCGGACAAATTGGGATAGAAATACGAAACATTAAATAACACTGGCCGAGGATTTTCGCATTCCGTATCCGTACGCAATGTATGGAAGTTATGAAATGATGAATCCATCCCTAAAATCAAAAGCAAATAACTACTATACCAAGGCATTCGAAGAGTCAATACTTCAGCAAGTTGATATGGATAGGATCCCATACCAGTACTATTATTAGGTTTATATATGTCCAGCAATTATACATAGCAGCGGTCATCGCTATCGAGACCTCTTTGACTTATCGTACCTTCGATTAATTTATTCAGTTCCCGCTGTATCTTATGATCCAAATACGTTGCAGCTCTCTCGCTGCGTGAAAAATGTCCACCAAACTCGCCAGTCGAGTTGCCCATCCGCAGTTCCGATGCGATATTTGCTCGCAACGTATTTGCGAAGTAATCACTGATTTCTTCATCAGAAATCCAATGTCCATATTGAATTCTTAACAGATCAAAGCCCGATCCTATTTGTGGCAGCAGCGATTTCAGTTCTTGAAACGAAACTGCATCCTGAACATGTGCAGCAACAAATTGTGTATTATAAACAATTCCAAAGGATTTGCAAATTTGCAACCGGCTTCGTAAAATAAAAGACTTTGTGGTCAAAAGATCTACTCCAGCAATGCAAAAAAATTAGGTCAAATTTAGAAATTTTCATTAACCTGCTGTGGAAAATAATGAGTGTTATATACGTAAATACGATCAGGTATGTGAACGAAAATTTCTTGCATGCATGACAGAAATTGATGGTACGTTGACCTTTCGCTACCTTTTTGTCTTTTTGCATGCAGATTACTTACAGCTTTAGTGCACTTTGTTATACGAAAAGTAATTCGGTAGTTTATAAGTGCACAAATGCTCACAGAGCTTTTGCATGCACTTTTACGTTAGCCTTAAAAGTGCACGTTGCACTAACCGTATCAGGTAAACGCCAGCCCTTTCTTGGAAACACGAGAAACACTTGCAACCATTCGTAAATATGTGTACCTTAAAATTTGGAACTCGAAACTCTGGATCTCGTAAATTATTATGGAAATTTTTCTTCTCCTCTAGTTCGGAAGTGGGAAAATCCGAGGTTTCATAATCCAGAGCATCTTGATCTGCGTGGTACAAATATTCCGTATTGCTGCTATCCGTTGCCTCCAGGTTTGACAGTTGATATCCGGCGTGAATTTTGTTTTCGCTATCGTCCCTGAAGAAATGTATTTCCTCTTGCTCCATGTGAATAGCATTTGCATGAGATAAAATAAAGAGCCAAAATGGTGCGGCTGTTTGTAAAGTAACGAAAAAGGACATAATGGCTCGTTTGGTAAATAATTTCCCACCCATCTCCTTATATAAATTATCCTTATATAAATATATAAATTATCGATGGTCAGCAACAGCCAAATTCACCGAGACCGGCATATATGCAATAGCTGAACTCCAGTACATTCATGGGAAACTGGTACAATAAGTATTCGCCCGCATAACGGCACTGATTCCGATACAGAACATATGAATGAGCCTTACGTGCGAGCGACATAAGGCTTATATTATAAGCGAGGACAATTACATGCAATCTTGCAGCCAAGAAGATAAACTGTTTTAAATTCTAAAAATTCAACCAGTGGGACGCCGTCAACGGTACGGGTATCTGTGCAGTTTGAAAGGGACTATGTCCGCAGGTGGGCGTTCTGGTCGCACTTATGCTAGTCAACAGTCGTGACTGTCCGTTAATATTACTTACAATCTTCATCGACAACTGCATTTTGCGCATAATCAGCCGCTGTCCTCCGATGGTCAGTTTATTGAAAATCCCACCTTGCCGGCTTGCCGGCAACGATAAGGATTAAGATAAATGGACAAAGAAATTCTGCGTTAATCCTTTTAGCCGCAATCTGTTTTTCGGCTCCGCAAAGACGTGTGTGAGTCAGCTGGTCAGTGGAAGCCATGGCTGGCGATGTTATTAGAGGTACTCAATAAAGACGATGAGTCTGTATAAATATTCATATTCATATGAAGAAGCGCGATGCTTACTTTTAATTACTTATTGCATACCAAGGTTTGTCGCCGTCTAGATCTGTCTTAAATGCTGAAGAATTTAGCATATAATGAAGCAATCTGCTCGTGCGTCAGAATTGGCATTTTAATTGGGCCTTTGCGGAACCTTCGCTTTATTTGCTTTGCCTTCTTTTGTACTACAATTTGTTTGGTCTGCATGAATAATAATTTTTCACAGTTCTAGTGAGCTGTGCATTAGCAGTTAAAGACTATCTATATTTGCGACTTGGATAAAATACTTAATTAACTAACAGGAAACTTATTAGCTTACGAAGACCTGCTTATAAGTTATAACACAAAGAGCTTACAATTAAGTTTAAAGGTTATAGTGTACATCCTGAATCGAATTTGAATGTCGTTGCCCAGAAGTACTGTATGTCAAGTGCAATACAACGTTTTACCGTTTGTGTGGTATCTGGTGTGAATGTGCTTGTTTTTCTGTTGTTTTTTGGCGGCTATTGCCTGTTAACATTTAAAATAAGCACAGAGATACGCCAATCATTGCTTGCCGCCGGGAATCATTGCTCGTAGTCAGGGGCGGCTGGAGCTTCTGCCGCCTGTGCTCGGCGGCTCGCAGTTAATTATTTATCAATTATCAGGTATTACATGTAGTAGTAGTAGTTAGTAGTAACTAGTATAGAAGGCCCTTAGTGCAAGCGAGCGAGCATGTAAATGTTTTTGTTGAAAAGACTTGGCAGGGTACAAAACAACCTAACCAAGTAGCCGAGAGTCTACCTAGCTTTTTGTATCTTTTGCATATGCCGAGTTATCAACAGATTTGCTCAGATATCAGTTTGTTTTTGCCACCGCTGCGATGCCGACGCGATACCATCATTTTTATGACGTTTTACGGAATCATGCCGACACGGTATATTAATTTTAAAACGATTCCTTCAGCAACTACAGCGCGGGCACTGCTAATGCTTTACCGCACATGGCCGCCGATTCTGCTTGTTCTCCGCCGCACCAAATTCTTTACTTTGGATTACTGGTCTTATTTCTTCAGTTTCTTATTCCCAGTATCTATATTTCATTCCCAAAACCGATAAGACTTATGCAGGTCACCGCCAAAGCCAATTCAGTAGCTACGCTCAGCTTGTCCGTTTATACTGCTTGGGAAGTTTTCGAGCCCTTTTTTAGAACCCCAGCCCCGGCCATCGTCAGTTCAGATAAATCGTTTTCACGCTTGAAATTTGAAAACCACCGCTTGCAAAGACAGAAACGATAAATTACTTACTGGAGAGATTTTTTAAAAGCACCTGCAATTTAGAGCGATTTTTCGCTGCGGATGCATTTGCACAACGATTTACAAAAGAAGACGCTAATGCCGATGGAATCGCACTGGTTCTGAAACGCACCGGCGGAGATTTCAAATTTTGTGTCCAATAATTTTCCACTAATTTGCTGCGGAAACGTTTATCGTTTCAGTACTTCATTCAGTGTTTGGTGGCAGTTATCCAGGAATCGGTGTTTTACCAATTTTTCTTTTTCCGTGAAAAGTGACTATCAAATGCGACGCTTTTCTGTAATAATAAAAACCCTTGACATGGATCTTTATTATTTTTTCTCCGTAAAGAAACAAAAATGTTTATCAATTAGGTTTATTTTATTAATTTTCAAAATAAACTGATATGCAATTTTATAAATGAGCTCATGTAAGAAGTTGAAAATTAATGGTGTAGCACAAAATGAGAAAGTTTGATCAATCACTCAAAAAATTCGCATTCTATTTGCAAGAATTTAAATTTGAACTTTGATAGAGTTATCTTTAAAATCTTGTTTAATTTTTTTTAAAAACAAAGGCTAAAAGAAATCGAAGAAAAAAAGGCGTTCCGTTCTACTTGCTGCTTCGCTCGCTTCGCAGCGCTTACTCTCTCTCGCGCTTACTTTTGCCGCTAGGCGTCGCTTCGGCCCCACTTCCAGTTTTTTTAGAAACAGTTACTCGCTACTGTACGGTATCATCACGAAAAGTAAACGTTTGAACTGAACCGTAGACAAAACCGTTTCCGAAGCCAAGGATATAATAATCCTTTGGTCTTACTTGCTGCTTCGCTCGCTGCGCTGCGCTTGCTCACGCCGCAGCTCGGCGTCGCCTCCGGCTCCGCCTTCGAATTCCGTAGAAACGCTTATTCGCCTCTGTATCATCGCTATAATGGAACGTTTGAACTACACCGTAAAAAATGTTTTTGGAAGAAAGAAGAATCGAACCCTTTGGCTTTACTTGCTGCTCCGCTCGCTGCGCTGCGCTTGCTCATGCCGCAGCTCAGTGCCGCCTTCGGCTCCTCCTTCGATTTCCGTAGAAACGGCTATTCGCTTCTGTATCATCGCGATAATGAAACGTTCGAAATACACCATGAAAAATGTTTTGGAAGGAAGAAGAATCGAGCCGTTTGGTTTCACTTGTTGCTCCGCTCGCTAGGCTGCGCTTGCTTAGGCCGCTGCTCGGCCATTGGCTACGCTTTCAGTTTCAACAGCAAGGGTGACGGCAATCCGTTAACAATATTTGTTACGGTAGCCCTTACGGTGACAGAAACTGAGATAGTTACGGTAACATGTTATAGTTATGGTAGCGTAACATTTATTATTGGTAACGCGTAATTAGAGTGGTGAAAGCTGGTAACGCTTTACCATGAGTCAATACAAAATGAAGGCGGTTCAGTTGGTCCTGTTAAGTCAGCGCTAATGTTGGTAAAATTGCTAACGATAGTGGCGGTAGTAACGGTTCCTGACTTCGATTAGCATGGTTTGCTACGTCATCGTTTCAAGGTAATGTTACTCGTTATGATTTTATGGTGCCGTTTGGCTCAAATTACCGAACTCAACTCCACTGGTCTATAAAGTTACATATTGGTTGAGGACCTTCAAGTATTTCCAACATTTGCTGAAAGCCCTGTAATGCTGTGAATCATGTTACAAAGTTTCCCCTCGCAGGAATGCGTTTCCCAGCCGTACCTCTACTACTACACACACAACATGCAGGCTTCGGTAGGGCGTAAGCCGCAAATTCTCCTGTAATGAATACCGTGGTTGTACATTCAGTTAACTTTTTGGGTTTCGTATAAGTTTTTAGAAACACAATTTTCTAATGCCAGCAAAAAAATAAACAATTGTGTTTCTAAAGAAGGAAATACGAAGTGGTTCCGCTGTACTTGCTGCGCCAGGTGCTTTGCTGCGCTCATTCATGCTCGGCGTCGCCTTGAGCCCTTTCTATAAAAACGGTCAGTTCTTAAAGCAACAGCATTTTATCGCTGTAACTCGCTACGCTAACCGTAACAGTTACGGTAATACGTACGGTAAACCGTTACGGTAACGGCAACAGGTAACAGTATAGCGTAACAGTATGGCGGGTTCGTGAAAAATGCCCCGGTGGTTCCCCGCATGTCGGTTCCCCAAAACCACACCAACCGGGGCGGGCAAAATTCCCGGACCGGGATCTAAAAAACGGACCCACCATACTGTTTGTATGGCGGGTTCGTGAAAAATGCCCCGGTGGTTCCCCGCATGTCGGTTCCCCAAAACCACACCAACCGGGGCGGGCAAAATTCCCGGACCGGGTTCTAAAAAACGGGCCTCCGTACTATATGTATAGCGGGTTCATAAAAAATGCCCCGGTGGTTCCCCGCATGTCGGTTCCCCAAAACCACACCAACCGGGGCGGGCAAAATTCCCGGACTGGGATCTAAAAAACGGACCAACCATACTGTTTGTATGGCGGGTTCGTGAAAAAAGCCCCGGTGGTTCCCTGCATGTCGGTTCCCCAAAACCACACCAACCGGGGCGGGCAAAGTTCCCGGACCGGGTTCGAAAAAGCGGACCCACCATACTGTTTGTATGGGGGGTTCGTGAAAAATGCCCCGGTGGTTCCCCGCATGTCGGTTCCCCAAAACCACATCAACCGGGTGGGCAAAATTCCCGGACCGGGTTCTAAAAAACGGACCCACCATACTGTTTGTATGGCGGGTTCGTGAAAAAAGCCCCGGTGGTTCCCCGCATGTCGGTTCCCCAAAACCACACCAACCGGGGCGGGCGAAATTCCCGGACCGGGTTCTAAAAAACGGCCCTCCATACTATATGTATGGCGGGTTCGTAAAAAATGCCCCGGTGGTTCCCCGTATGTCGGTTCCCCAAAACCACACCAACCGGGGCGGGCAAAATTACCGGACCGGGTTCGAAAAAACGGACCCACCATACTGTTTGTATGGGGGGTTCGTGAAAAATGCCCCGGTGGTTCCCCGCATGTCGGTTCCCCAAAAACGCAACCGGGGCGGGCAAAATTCCCGGACCGGGTTCTAAAAAACGGCCCTCCATACTATATGTATGGCGGGTTCGTGAAAAATGCCTCGGTGGTTCCCCGCATGTCGGTTCCTCAAAAACGATCCACCCGGGCCGGTCTGTACGAGTGTACCGGGTCCAAATTTACGATCTTCTACGCATTTACTGCACCAGGTCCGTCAAAATTAACCCGGTTAGTTTTTCGATTTTTTGACTACCTTCTCAATTGCTTCAGCGGGGGGCTGCGCCCCCCGCACCCCCTGCTTATTGGGGCTCCGCCCCAAACCCCGGCCAGGGGCTTCGCCCTTGGACCCCGGGGACCCAGCTCTCCGCATGTCGCACCGCAAATTAAAAACGCTCGCTCGCTTGACTAGTGACTTTCTGCTATGAAATTTTCTCACCAAAAATTGATCGAATTAAATGTTAATACAGAGGAACGTTTTCTTATGAAAATCTGATAAATTCTCAATCCTACAGTAAAACTGCAACCATATAATTCCCGGAATGCGGATCGGAAATTATCCAGAAATCTTTGTCAGAAGCACGCGTCATGGTTACCGCACACGGGGTACAGCGGTATCGCAAAAGCCATCCGTGCAACTGATTTTTCGGTCCTTTTTGGTGTTAATGCAGCTGATGCTGCTGCACCACAGTAAACTACTCCAGCCAGATTTTGTTCCCTGATTTCTCAGAACGGGCTGATCAAGTCGTAAAATGATGATGTTTCGAAATCTCGAATTTCCACTCGAATAGGGCGAATTTATTATTTACCGTCACTCTGTCAGTTCCTTTTTCGGGGTGCATATTTCAGTTCATTTAGTAAAGGCTACAGAGCTTAGAAGTTCCTAGGGTAATCTTTTGGAGCTTAAACCGTAAACGCCAAGCGGATCCTTTTTTGGTCAAAGACTTTTCCGATTCGAAATGGATCCACCGACGCAGCTTCCAGTCCATCGCTCCCTAAGCAATCCCGCGGCGGAAAACTCCGAATCGTCACCTGTGCCTCCGTCGCCCATTCCCGATGAACACATCATGCTAACCAACGAAGAAGCCACTCTGTGCAAACTGGATGCCATCAAAATGGGCTATTGGAAGGATCCCTACTTGCCGCAGTTCGTGCATGGATCATTCCGTCACGAACGCAAAGCACCGGACATGTACAAGGGCTACTATGCCCGTGTGAAATGTGTGGAACGCCTTGTTCTGGACTTCGTCCATGCTGTGATTAAGGACAACAAGGCAGAGATTCCCGTCGTGCAAATTGTTAATTTGGGAGCAGGATACGATACGCTGTACTGGCGGCTGAAATCCAACGAAAAACTGTGCAATCAGGTATGTGTCCATATTTATTTTCGTTGAAATATAGAATGGCTGGACTGCCTTACATTTTCATCACTCGTAGCGAATTGTTTTCTTCACATGCAATTTAATTCCGTTTTTCCATTCAAAAGTGTAAATTCTTTCAAATATTTTGTTTGATAACCAAACTCGAAACATTTATGAATGGAATTAAAATAAGTACAATTGATATTTTGACATCTTTTTTGTTAAATCTTCCTTTTGGATATTTTCTGAAAAATTTGTAGTCTTTTTAACGCTGCCAGCGCGTGGACCACCAAGTTGTTTTATTGTGATTTTAATTTTTAGGTGAGGATCAAAGTGGTCGATCTGGATCTACTTCCGGTGACGATAAAAAAATATCATGCCATTAAGACGCACAAACAGCTCAGCAGTCTGCTCACAGGAGGTACAACTTCATCAAAGTATTTCTGGAAATTCTGAAAAATAAGATACATTTTAACAATTTTTTATAAAGATGTGTTTAATGGTGGAAATTGTTTTTATCATTGCAGAGTGGAAAGAAGGAGAACTTCCACAAGGTGAACTACACACAGGCGACTATGATCTGATTTCCGCCGATATACGGGACACCCTTAACATTGAGCGCAAATTGGTAAGCGTTGTTAATAGCTCCAGCCATCATTCATGCTACTCCGTCGGCGCGCTATTCCGCCTCGAGTGCCTGATAATGATTCTTATTTAGATGGCAGCATGCAAATTGGATCCCAAGCGTCCCACGTTGTTTATTGCCGAGTGCGTATTGATTTACATGAACACAGGCAGCACCAAGCAGCTGCTAACATGGATCGCTGAGACCTTCGAGACGGCCTGCTTTATTAATTATGAGCAAGTCAACATGTCGGACAATTTCGGACAGATCATGTACAATTCCCTCAAAGAACAGGGCTGCGTCTTGGCTGACGCCGATAGCTGCAAGAGTCTGAAATTCCATGAAGAGCGCTTCGTGAAAACTGGATGGACGAAAGCCAGCGCGGCTGATATGAATGCTATGTGCAGTTCGCTTCCGAGGGCAGAAATTGAAAGGTGTTATTTTTGGAGGTTTAACCTTCCAGAGAATAAATAAATTATTTGAATCCTGTGAATGTTACGTAATTAAATCAGCGAAATTTTGTTTTTCTATGTAGGATCGATCGGATAGCCATGATCGATGAGCCGGACGTTCTCCAGCAACTGTTTAATCACTACTGCATTGCCTGGGCTTACAAGGGTGCGGTGGGGACCGAGCTGGAAAAAGTCAGACTGCTTTAACCAGTATTGTGGTGAGAAATGTGCTCTTTTATTGGTTCTGTGCATGTCATGAATGTTTTATTTTGGATTTTTATTTTCGCTCTTTTTGAAAACCTGGATTGGTTTCCATTTGCGTTCTCTTGAACCCAGTGATAGAGTGCAGTTACAAGAACGCACTAGTTTTTTATTTCTGGACATGTTGGTTAATCTTTTGCAGCGCTTCTGTTAATACGTATAATAAATGAGTTTTAAAGTCGAGCGAAAACCTGAAGTTAGTCTTGTTGAAGCATCGTGTACTTTTTGTAATACTGTACTTGTACCTTTATTTCTCGCGAATATGCGACAGATAGCGCGACAGTGATAATTTATCGTGCAGGGACACATTACATAATAATATGGTTAACCGGTTAATTCACTCTTAAGATTATCATTGGACATTATTGTCCATTAAACTGAAGTAAAGCTAAATGTTTTCCACCGCAAAGCCTTTCCAGTTCCCAAAGCAGCCATACTATGTAATATATTAGTTATACACTTGGTTCGTTTTTGCGCAGTAAGACTAATCTCTCTTTACTGCCCCATTTTCGGCATCCCACTGGGCGCACAGCGCGTCGTAATCTTTTTCCGTTACCTGGTCGGGCCCTGACTGCATTTTATGATTTAGTGATTTCATAATCTTTGGTAACATTTCCACAAACTCTGTGTTTGTTTCCGGTCCGTTAAATGCAATGGTCAGCAGGTTGGTAATGTAGTCGATGTCATCGTCCCAGAATGTTCCCTGTTCCGAGAGCAGTACGGCCATTTGCTGTCGTTTTTCAAGAATCATCTCGGACTCTTCACGGTGAAGGTCTTGAAATTCTGTCTGCTGACGAGGATGTTTGTATAATCCTTGAGCTGCCAGAAAGTCCAGCGCCGGAAGGTCTACACCATCTTTTTCGATTTCTGAACGATCAACGATCCCGATAAACAGAATCTGAGTCATTTCGTCATTACCTGCACAAAATCGGACAATGCTTAGTGCGTCGGTTCGCAAACAAAATTTTGTACACAAAGTAATGGCTTAGATACAGTGTTTTGCTTGCACTTCCTTACAAAAACTTTGTACACTAATTATGTGAGTATTATAACCTGTCCAGAGTCAAAGAGAGGATACACGAGTATAACAACTGCCATTAGGTACAACATGCGAACAAATGGATCACAAGCCAACTGTGGGTGCTTCGGGAGTTAAAAAATGGGAAATGTATTGTTATTATGTCATCCTTATTTTTGCTGGTGAATAACTTTTTTAAAATGCGTTTGATGTTTATGTTGTGTAACGTGATTAAAGATAATATGTGACTATCAGAAATTCTTCATCCTGCTCATTTGCCCACTGAGGGTGAGAAAAGCATGAAGGAAAGGTATGAAGCATACCAAAACTTGGTTCCAGGAAGGTTAGTGAAACAAAAGAAACAGCCCCCGTATTAATTACCCGTAAGTAAGAGTAAATTTTTTTTAAAGTTTTACGCTGTGCATATAATATACATACAATATGTACATAGTAAAGGTGTTACACTAACTAGTGCAGTTTCGTTTACGGTTGCCAACGAGTAGTACCGTAAGTGTAAAATGCATAACGTGGTTAATAAGTTTGCGTATTTAGTTTAATATGTAGATGTCTATGGTATTATTCTGTGTACCGCATTAAATTCTATGAACATACAAAGGAAGACCGCATTAAATTCTATGAACATACAAAGGAAGCGAAACCTTCAGTTAAACATTAACAATACAAAATTATTATGGTGCAGACTATAGAGCGCGTCTGCAAATACGAAAAACAAAAAAAACGGATGACATTTTCATTATGCTAGGCCTTGCGCGATCAAGCGGTGGAAAAAGTGGAAGTGTATGATTTTTACTAAGTACTAATAACTATTGTACGGCTGCTGAATTAGACTAATAAGAACATGATTTGCTAAGTCCAAAATCCTATATCCGGTTCTAATCGTTAATTATATTCTAGTACAGAGTATATAAATGTTTTACTTTAGTGAATTTTGAAAGGGGTTGACAGCATTCTGGTCTAGTATTTCTCAGGTAGTCTTTAATTCATCCAACATATATTTAATTATTAGGATAATCGTTAAGTTCTTACCTGCTCGAATATAGTAATGCGAGTAGTTTTGCAGCACCGTATTGGCGTACATATTATCTCTGTTCTGGTCCAGGAAAATGGTCAAATTTGTTGTTTCATGCAGCACAAACATGGATCGGTACAGATCAATTCCCTCTTTTAGCGCCGGCATAACCTGATTCAGCAGCATTTCACGGGTTATATTTCTTGCCACATATTGTTTAGGCGGTTTGACTTTGGATTTCTGCAGGGTTTTTTTCATGTTATCTCCAACAAAGTCGTTGAGAGTGCAGGGATTCATTAGAGATTCGGCACCGCTAACGGTAACCCGTAAAATATTGTGCATCAGCAGGTTGTCCATTCCGCGGGGTTTTAATGGGTAGTCATTCTCTTTTGTTCTGAAATGCAAAAAATATATTTATAAATGTATTTATAAAGGGATCCACCGTACGATGAACGTACACTCAACATTGCAAAATGTTTCGTATCGTGTAGAAATGTTCAATACAGGTATACTGTATTATATGTTTATTGATAATATACTTTATGCATCTGGTACATAAAACCATATAATACAGTAAAACAAAGTATGTCTATAAGTATAAAAGTATGTATACAGGACCAACATACGCCGAATTTACAGGAACTGGACTGCTTGAATTCATTAAAATTTCACCCCACGTCGATATAGTACCGCCATGCGCCACAGCAGTTACTGTGGCTAACAAGAGTGCGTATATCATTTTTTAAAATATCAACCAACAAAAAAATATACGTTCGAAATATCGAAAATTATTTGGAGGTAAGTATGCGAATCCGGATCATAAAATTGTAAAACTTGTGACTGTTAGAACGATACTACTGAGGTTTTTGTAACACACGCGTGAACAATAACGTGATGCCACGATGTGCTATGTCATTTTTAAAAGGCATTATCAACAGCTAAAGGGCGTTAGTTGTTGTTCCTTCCAGAAAAACTTGTCCGCGCCGGCCGCGCTGACATTTATTAGCTGTTTTAATCTAGGATTAACATACCCATTGGATTTGCAAGCACAATAATTTAGCGGTAAAATCGTTTGCAAAGCTACAAAGCGGAAAAAATGCTTTAAGGTACATACGTCAGTCAGCCAGCGACAAGCTTGAGTAATAACCGCGGGTCATTTAGAAAATCCCTTCGTTTGTAAACCATTATAATACGGTATTGTTTTAATTGACTTTTTTAATTATTTAAACGTACTCTGTAGTATCGTTTTTTACTACAATCAAAATATTATATATTCAGAAAAATTAGCCCAAACCGTTCGGGAAAAAATAGTGCTTGGAACAATACTGCATTTATAAATTATACGTACTGAAATTCAGGGAGCGCATATTGTAACTATCGTGTGGCAGTGGATGAACATAATATGTAGATAAAAACAATGAAGTACATTCTACAAGCTTTAAACTAGGAAAACTGCGTGCACACCGCAAGAACTAATGTTTTTCACAAATGTCAGATAATATGTACAGTTTTGTTTTAATCTGACAGTCAAATATATCAGATAAATTTACCATTACCAGACTTTTAAACTTTTGAATCATGCTGATATCCATGAATCTGCCACCACCGGATACCTAAACCGGACATACGGTCACCGCTTTGATTCTGAGATGAGTCGGCAGCTGCATCGTCGACGTGCCTAAAACGATATACAAATTCATAACCGACACAAACATGACGCTGTCTGTTTGCAATTATGGATACCGACTATTCTCCCGGCACTTGCAAGGTTCGAGTACCGTCGGTTATCCCGGTATTCCATTAGGACATGCATACCGTTGCTGTCAAGTAAGCTCTACAAGCCGACGCAAGCAGCACTTGACACATGAGAGCAACGCCAAGAGGTATACACTTACAGCTTTATCACCGGAAAGGTAGTTTGATCACCAGTCTATTGAGAAAGGTGCGAATTTGCACGGGTGATATGTTTAAGAATGTACTGTTGCAGCCTGTTTTAGAAAATGTGGAAAAACATTCAACGTCCTACGTTACACGAAATTATATGACACTATAGCACAATTCCAACTTATGCTGCAATAATGTTTAGCAATTAAGGTGAAATTATTATTATAAGAGTTGCATCTGATCGAAAATCTACGGCAATGTTTCGGCCAAATGTAAGTTTTCAGCACAGGAGTACATGCATAATAGTCTACTGCATTTTATTGTATGAATTCAGTTATTTGAAATATTATTGTTTGCGCGCACAATGTTGTTCCAGTTGTTTGTAACACAAGCTAAGTGAACATCCGACTTTAGTTCGTTTCTAGCGTTGCATGGTAGCCAGTAGCTACACTATAATACCCTTGTTACGAGTAATTGTCATATGCGATGTTGCAGAAGGAGGTAACATATATAAATTTGACCTCGCGCCAGGCAAGCGAAATAATTCAAAATTACAATTTGCCATCTGAGGATCCACTCTGGAAATCAGTTATCCCTCGGGGGCATTATTAACGATTTGGTAATGAGCTGAACAAAAGAGCACACCGCTTGACCATTTCCGCATCACAGCACTCAGGATGCCACACCGGTCGCGTCAAGGGTTAATTCTTCCATCCATTTATGCCTTTATTAGTGTGAGTGACCAATTAATAAATATGCAGAACAAAGACAAAATACGTGCTCGTATTGTTTATATCCTAGTTCCTCTATACAACCATTTTCTTCCAAGACAGTTAAACATTCATGCAGGTGAGAACGAGTGGAGGAGGTTGACTCAATATTGTGCTACAATGGGCTACATGCATGGACGTCGGATGCCGTCGAATTCCTATAATGGGAGGTAGATGCCGCTGCACGCACTTTACCAAAAAGTTAGCATTACTGGAACGTCTGTTTATGCGTTAGTATTCTTATTTTTTTAATTGTTACCTAGTTGCTGTTTTGTAAATTAGTAACTAAGAAAGCCTTGCGGTTGTCAGACATTATTTTAGTAGTTTTAGTTTTAGTTTATTTATTTTGACTCTAGAAAGGTGACGGTTAATCGCCAGAGCAAATGTTCGGTATATGTTAACTATAGAAGAAGATCTTTTTTTAGCAGGCAGTGAACGCTTTGAACTGTAGCAGTCAAATTCATCGTGTGTCTCTGTTAGTGTGTCAACTAAATGCAAACAGTTTGAAAAGTTGGTTCAGTTAATCGCCGTCATAATTTTTTATTGCTTGACTAAGCAAACAAACTCTGTCAGATGAAACTTTACGCCGGCGAACGTGATATGTGATGAGCTGGACGACGAGTTAACTCTCAAGAGAAAGCTTAAAAATCATCAGAAAATCCAGATCAGCGAGCGGATGAGAACAAATGTAATCGTTTAGTGTGGAATTGATAAACAAAACTCTGATTAAACATTATTCGTGGTTGCCCATATACAAAGCAATATCCTTTTCCCTTGAATCCACATCATTTCAAAACGGAAAACGAAGCTCACATATATGACCACGTGCTAATGCTGTGCCCGATACAACCAATTTGCAGTAACTAATGTGGGCGACCACTGCACTCAGTTTTATGCGTAATAAAGCGCAGGTACTGTATTGTCACAACATCCCTTAGGATTCACAATTCTTAATACAAATAGTTTCATTTATGACAAATTAATTAAAGCGCTGTTTAATCACACTCTCATTTTTTTGTGTGCCATAATTATATCCTAATTCCCGGTAGTGATAAATATGTGAGTGTGTTTAATATAAAACTTTTTGCATGAAGCTGCTAAAATTTTCCCTCGTGCAAATTTTGTTTTCAGCAGGTTTTTCCAGTTGGTTTTTCCAGTTGTGCAAAATGTAGGCCCGAGGTTTTATTTTAACCATCTCAAGCTTGAACTGAACCTCAGAACCACACGTTGCCGCGTAAAGCTGATTAGAAACCTGACAAGAAAATCCGCATAATCCGCACCAACCGGCACACAATTTGCCGTATTCTGACAAGCTGCTAGTTGGAGCGATCCCTTCCAGATCCATCTAATTGGGCAACCTAAGTCAAAAACTCCACAGGACTGTGATTATCGGGGCGGATATGGCTGGTGAATGTAGGGAAGATTCCTCGCACTGCTGACCATTCTCTCTCATGCATACACATATATTCAAATTTTCTCCCCTAAACCGGCAAATGGGTCAACGGCTGAACGTTGCACCAGGATTACAAGTGGGAGTACCCATAAGCAATTGATGGTTTCTTGGGAATAACAAATTCTACCGTAATACGACCAAAGAAAATGTAATATCGGCAGAAAAATTAGTTCGCTCGGGCGTGGTCCGTGTGACCACCACATGGTGCTAGTCGAACTCCAACAAACTTCCACACTTTTACAAATATGCCCAAGTAATTATTAGCAGGGGGTGTCTATTTCGCATGTGGGCATTAGACCACATGTAATGCATCAAAATTTTTTAAGATTTATTTCTCCATTAAGATTTTAATGGTGAAAAAATTTGGTATATACCCAAAGATCGCTTCCTGTATTTAACTGAAATTACCGTTCGTGTTAAACTTGGCTACAACTCGAATTTCCTACATTACTATTTGCCAGAGTGGATTAATTAAGATTTACGAATTTGAAATTTTTTTTCTATGCGAGAAACAGAAGAAATTGTGAACTCTATACCGGTGGAAAGCTATATGTTGCAAATAAATAAAAAGAACAATCATCTTTCCTCGAAAACCATAGTGCGTATATTATACCGCTGTACCATTTTTATGCTGCAATGACTATAAATCCGGCAATATGACCATGAATAACATGACGGACTACGCAAATCTTTTACATTGGGATAGACAAAAAAGGGGAATAAAAACGGTTGTTGCTCGTGATCAGATAGACCAGTTTTTTCTAACTTGGAAACCTGCAACCGTATCAAACAATTAATTTTGGGAACATCATGAAAAGTGAACATGCCGCATAGTTTCGTATAAACCTTATTTTTTCATTTCATTGTGCTCTATGACAGGTGACATTTGCTAAAACCATAAATTTCTGTACGACGCCAACAGACAAATCAGACGCATGCAAGAAAAGTTTTGGCAAACAAAACCAAAGGAACAAATTGTATTTGCTCTTCCGTACACTGCGTGCAGTGGTATCGGCGATACTGCACATATTTCTCTCTTCCCGGTTGCTCGCTCCGCAAACTGACCAAGTCGGCCAAACTACGCCTCCCCCGCTGCCGCAAATAAGAATCACAGTATTTACTACGGGATTTCTTAACCACCACGGTAACTGATTCGCATGTATACAGTTTGGAATCCAAGATCATATTTTTGCTGCTTTCTTCAAGGTGATCTTTACCAGTTAAGCAACATAGTTTGGAAATTGTTGTTGCTTGTGTACACGATGCATTCGATGATATTAAGCAACGCGGATGAGGATTTTTTTACAATAGTGGAACTGTTTGAAATTCTGGTCAATACTCTGCGCATTGCCGACAGATTGATGAATATTTGATTTAACTGTGCGAGAAACGAGCGCACTTGTGGCCCGTCTGCACCACTTTACGCTTGCAAATAACCCATACGTTAACGATAAACGTTTCGACTTTTCCATGTAATCGTGTTTGTGTTATTAGCTGTGGTCACTTGCGTATCAGTTGTATGTACTCTAATTTTTTCCAATTAATTTTAGTGGCGCACGTGGGCGGCTCATCAGTTTAACCGGTAAGCACTTCATAATAATCTATATCACATTATTACAAACTATTGTTCAGTCGTATATTTGTTCGTGGAATTAATCGGAATAGAATAAAATAGATATTATATAAAAATATGTTTTGGCCAGTGTAAAATATGGGCTGACCAATAGAAATATATTTGAAACAAACGAGCTATCGTGTGGAAATAGACATGGTAATAATGATGGTATTGCTATTCCTGCTAAGTTAATTTTCCCTCCTGCAAGAAATCTTTTTCAATTTTGTCTACCCGGTTTGAACCTGTTTCAGGTGGTTTTAAAGTGATCTAGTGATGAAATTATTTTTTGTGATGCTGCACTGTCGATCACAATTGCTGAATGTATTCGACCAGTTGATTAGATTTCGCATGTCCACTGCATCAATGATTAATACACGACAGAATAATATTGCAGCATTGATGAATGCATGACATTCATCGCAAAATTAGCCGATAAGCTTTTGAAAAACATATAATATCTTAATCGTCTTCTATGGCAAGTACAGTATGAAGTGTCCTTTTAATGATTAGGTGAATAACACTAACGCCGGCGAAGTGATTATTACGGACTACGCCGGTTTTTTATTCGCCTTACAAGCAATAACCATGAGACTTGAATTGGCAACAGCACTTTGGCTGAAAATGCTTTTGACCATTTCGAGCATTAAGATGATTGAATTGAATGCGACAAGTGTGTTATGACAAAAATCAGTAAAGAAGTCTTCAAAGAACTCCAGCTGACTGGCCTGCAGCGGTTTCATTGCTATCGGCCACATGGGATCACTTTTTAGCTCCTTTTTTCCCTGCCACTACACTTCCGCACCAGAACGACCAACTTAGTATTTACTTTAACATCTATTGATTTGACCGAAAAACCTAAGCGGAAACTTAGTGTTTAGACGAGCTTTTCAAGAAGTTAAACTCTATGGTGTTATAATTCGATCCACTGGCTGGATCGAATGAAACAACAGGAAATTCTGAACAATAGCCGAGCTGTTTTGGTCAACAGAAGTTATTATCTTTAAAATGCTGTAATTAAAGAGGTCAAGTTTTTACGGTAGTATTACAAGTACACACGTTTGGATTTAGATGACGCTCAGATTTTAGTGGATTGAAAAAATAAATTTTTAGTTACTTAGAAAATGCATCACAAAAGATTTGCTTTGCAATCTGGTCTGCTATTCAAAATAATTTGGACTCACCATGACTATCTAACTTTCTTCGTGGACGCGCGGCTGCACAATAATGTTCGTTTCCTTTTACACATGTTTGTTTCGCTATTGTGACCGCAGATTTCCGTGATATTGATATGAGTGCGACACCGGTGCTTAAATACACAGAAAAAATTGACACAGTATAATTCAGCGCCTGCATCTTATTCGCGATCAATATTCATCATTTTTTCGCGGCACGATGTAATGTTGCTGCCAGAAAGGTTTTCACTGTGTTCCTGCAGACGTTTGTACATGTCATAAATGCCGAGCTCGTTCAGCTGCAGCCCATTGAGGCGTTACATATCCTAATGACAACTTAAATGGCATTACCGCTGTATCAGATATCCATAAGTCAGTGTGATTTTGAAGGATCAATTCGGCAATATTAGGTGTATCTAATAGTGCGAGACAAACAATGCTGCTATAATAATGCAGAAGAATATCTAATTAACGCAGCAGGTCATTCCTGACAGGTATGTCCAGTGTGCATCGGGAATCTCCATTCTCTTCTGCACAGACTGCACTACACAGTACCTGGTATACACTATACAGTACGTTGTAAAAGCGCTTTATAGTTATTGCAGCAAATGCCGTATAGTTATTGCATTCTTTTGTTAAAATTAGTACCCCGCTTCAGATAGAAAATTATAATGCATGTGTACGAAGCAACTAAAAAAATATTTGTTCTCTTTTTAAAAAAAGTTGATATCAAAAAGTAGTAACTGCCTAGTTATCCTTGTGTAAAAGTCCGACCATATTAGTTATTAAAATAAACTTGATAGTCTTAAGAAAGCTATGCGAGCTGTATGCTACTGCGTAAAGTGCGTAAGCATGACATCCAAGAAGCATTATTATGGTATTGCATAAGGGATTATTCTGGTTTTGACGGTGCCCTGGATGACTGATTCAATCGAGTTTTCTTTGCTTCTAATTGGATAAATTGCAACATTGCTTCCTTTATCTGATGGATGTCGTGAATAACAGACACGAAATGAGTGATAATAAACGAAGTCATATGTTCCATGACGGACGAACTCGCAAAAGAGGATGGATGATGAAAGCTGTTAAAGCTGAAAAAATGAGCACCCAGCGTCTAGAGATGAAAGTTTTTTATATGACTACTGGAAAGATTTGGTCAGTTCCGTCGCAAGTGATGAATCGTGCATATGTATACATTGTAGACGGCATCCTGCGAAGCACGGACACGTTTTATCAGTTTGGCAATCAGAAACCGTACTGTAGTTACGTACATGATCAAGCACTTGTCCTTTCCGGATTACAACAGTTAATAAATTCCATTCAGTCTTTTGCTGCAATTAACACAAATTAAACACAGTATTATAAGCATTTCAATGCCAACGTGCAAACTGTCCAGTGCATATCTAGTAAAGCACAAATGTATTCAGATAACGTGGACTGCAAACGCATATAACAGCACTATAATAAACTGCTCGTATCGATAAAGTGGAAGGCTACTTTAATTCGACTTGCTACAGATGTAAAGTGCCCTTCAATTTAAAGAGGAGAAATAATATTAGACAATCAATATGTTGCACTCACTTATGAAATTGCATTTTCCGCACGCACTGACTCTTAAAGTAATGTGAAACATTTGTAAATTGTAACACGTTTATATAAATGATCATTACTACAAGTCAAAAGATTAACCTTAAACTAGGACATATGAGTGCTTTAGACTTAAAGTGGCTGAAATTTCAATTTCTATTTATTCCCAACTGTATTTTACGCGACCAATGACCCTGCAGTACACAGTATGTATTCGGTTTATACGTGAACAAACGCAACTATGTGTAATAACGAAGTTTGTACATTGCCATCGTGTGCTTCAATGCAGATAGATTTATATGCGAGTACTTACGATAGTAACAGTATATCGGCACAACAAAAATGTCCTTTTAAATTAAGCTATTTAAAAAAAATTCGTTGAAAGTTCGAGCAACCATTTTTGCTTCGAGAATTCAGCTGGGATTTTAGGGACACGATGTCAACCAAAGCAACTATAACGTGGTATCGATCACCCCCAAAAAAACTTGTTTTTATCCTACACCAGTCAGATCATATCTAGAGCTGGAGGAACTTATCAAATGCTCATAGTTATTAGGCTTTTTTCAGGAATTCTTAGCTTTTATTGCAAGATCATTAATGCCGATAATGGGTGCATAGTAGCTGTATTCCCATCACAGCGCGTCGTGGAGGCAAATGTCTTTGACGGTTAGCGAAGAGGAAGCAACGCAAAGTATCCATGACATTATTTTTACGATACACAAACATTCCGGAAGATGTCAGTATGGCTTGTCGGCATGTAAAGTAAGTATAAATAAAGCGGGATACATTGTGATCAACTTGCCTCCCGCTATTTCAGTATCGAATAAAAATTGCATACCGGCATGAATGCTACCGGTCTCAAATCGAAGCTTACGAAGGAGCGCCGATCTTAAAGTTTCTTTTCCAGCTGATCTCCGCTTATTATCTTGTATGCATTTTGGAATGTATATTCTCGTACTACAGAGATTCAGCAGCACAGGACTGCAAATTGCTCGTGCTAATAACTTAATAACTTAATATTCATTGAGAGCAACCATTGTTTTCGGCTTAAGTCATTACCTTTTATCTCGAGTTGCAAAGAGCAAAATGCGAAGAAACAAACTTGTATCTTGTCATTATCTTGAAGGATATCTGCCGTGAGTAAGCCGGTAATTTTGGAATAGCCATGGATCTTCCCAAATCGGCTTACTGTATTTTGCTTGGTGCTACAAGCATTCACCAGTACCAGTTATAAACTATGAAAACTAGGTTCACGTTAATGTTTTTTGTTTACGAAAGTTAATTTTTACATCGCGCAAGGTTATTGAGAAAATTTTCGCTGTAAGAAGGATAAGCCGTGTTTAAGGACCATAACACAGTATCTAAACTGAAGTTATTGTCAACAAATAGCATTTATCACAATTTTATCGGTGACAAACATTGGGAATCGAATGTGTGGTGAAAGCGAGATGAGTAATTACCAACGATAAAGCACCCAGTGCGTAGGGTTCGCTTGAGCAGGTATGGATATAAAGGCATTAATATTCGTGGTTATCATCCTTTTCTTTTGTCCAAATTATAGAGTGGAAAAGTTTGGGAATTTGCTCACCTTCACACCTCGTTTATCTCTGCTGCATAGGTAGCCGAAGACGGTAAATTGCAGTAAATTATTCAGGGTCACTGAAACTGCTTATTCGAGAAAAGTTATAAAACGGTTAATGGGCATATGTGCCCACAGGTATTTCAGGGTTCAAATAGTATCGCTACGAGTAGGGCTCGTAGGGTTTTAAGAGTAACTGATTTTTGACGACGAATAATTTTTCATTAAAACCTTTTTGTAGTGGACAAATAGCGTTCGCAACGAGAAAATATATTCGATGAACATATGTATTATATGTTGACTGGAAACCAGCATTTCCGGTTTCGTGATAAAACAGTGCTTCTACAAGAGCGGCTACCATTACAACAAATGCAAGATGATTACAGAATCTTTGGAAAGTTTTTATTGTATTGCATCGAGTATTGCAGACAACACTAGGGTACTGTGCTTGATGGCATGAATGGCTTTGGTACTTTGCAAGGATTACCACTGCGCACTGATAAAATTTACATTTTGTCAGCAGTGACCTGTTTAAATTTCCTTGTTGCGAACGGTAATGTAGGCAAAACAGCAGCCGATGTGTACCACCGGAAATTGTTTCATAAACCCACATTTTTGATCTGGTAGCC